GCGTGATTTAAATACGCCGGGCGAAACGTTCGCCATGTGACGCTATTGTAATTGCTCGTCGCAGGTGAACGGAACGAAACACGCCAAGGGTGGTAATTTATTCCTCCCGGTGTAAAGAAAAAAAAAAAAAAGCGGGTTAATTTTGCAAATAGGGTTGATCGGTTACGGGGAATTGAAAATTCGATGATTTTCTTTCTCGATGAACTTACAACGATGGAACGAATGGAAAAATTGAGAACGGTAGAAAAATTCTTCGCCTTTTATTCGAAATTTTCGATGGTTAAGGGGTTCGAAGACGAATACTCTTTTCTCACCCCTTCGATTCTTCCGATCGACTGGGCAACCCTTTACGCCTCGGTGTCGAGCTAACCAGGTGACGGTGTCGTTGCGGAAAATTGAGCAACCAGAGGACTTCCGGCCGATTTCACGACGACTCCGTGAAATTCGTTCGAAACGTTCACCCTTAAAAAGCTACAACATTTCGTAATTTCGATGAAAATTTGCAGGGGTTGTTTAAGAAGCCCGGGTAACGTCAACGCGTTTAGAAGTCGTTTAAACGTTTCCTTTCCGTAGAATGACACGGAGGAAAGGGAGGATTAATGGGCGCAAGGGATTTTTGAATTTGCGATCTCACGCGGAGAGACCCTGTTCACCCCTCTTGTCCCATCCCCGTTGAGGTATCTCTGTAAAAAGTCTCATCATCCCCATGTCGCAGAAGTGTTAGGTTATTAATCAACCCTGAAACCGTCCAACATCTTCGATTCGGACGATTTCTGTTTAAAGAAAGAAAATAGTGTGATTCGCAAGAAAGAGCGACGGAGACGGAGAGTACAGTAATATACCTTTGTAATCTGACATTCAGAGAATGCAAACTATTCTATTAACCCTTAGCAATAAAAATAAAAGAAACACCCCATTCGCGGAGGGGCCACATCTGTGCGGCGAGGAGCAGCCAGGGGTCTTTTTATTAATTCACTCCCCCGAATCGTGGCGCGGGAAGAGTAGAAAAGAGAGGAAGAAGGATGGAAGGGTCTGGATGACCCTCTCCTGCTATTTATTACCTAATCGTTACCCTCCTATTCTAATAAATTATGATATCGCCAGAGCAGGTGCTTCCGTGCGGTACTAACGAGCCTCCCGTTCACGGTATGTTACTCGGAACTTGTAACAGAAAATTTGAACAAATTACCAGTGCTGTTTTAAATCTATAGAAGCTTTAAAAATTACTCAAATATATTGAGAAATATTTTGATTTTCTCTTGTCAGTCGAGCAACAGCGCTGAACCAGAAACCCTATTACGTTTACTCTGCAAATCGATTAATACGATGATTAAAGATACTCAATAAAATAGCGTTGCTATCTTGGCAGTCGAGGAAACGTTTCCGCCCCGACGGACGCCCACCGGGAAGGTGAAAACGAGCAAGTATCCTCGTCGACTGGTCTCTGTCCGCTCGAACGAACAAGTTCTTACGAGTGCACGCACTCGCCGAATCGAGCCGGTAGTGGTCGCATTGATCGAAGGCGGCCATCCGTGAAACGCATTTAGCTTGTTGGCACACAAAACTCGACGGGACGTGGATCCCGAGAGCATGCGAACGCGCCCACGTGGACCGACTAGGTTCATTTCACGTGAAGGCGGGTAAAAGTGTCCGTCCGGGTTTTGAAATTACGACGCGAATGAAGAAGAATGTTTACTCGGTGATAAAACACATTTTCTCTCTGGTTCCCACCATTCGCTTCACATTTTCTTTTTTAAACTTTCACGGTGTATTAGAGAGACTAATCCTGTAAGAAGCTTGAAGGATCGTGATTAATGGACGAGGAGATTGAAGGAGTAAAGTATCAGAGGTTGAAATAAATTTAGAAATCTTGAATATTCGGGAAGTCTACAGAGATTTTTGATGGACCCTGTAAAACGATCATTTCGACCGACGACTGTTTGCGACATGCTACCTTCTGTGTTTTACGAGGACCCACCACGTGGAACAAGAGCTAACTCGTTCGACGTGTTTGAAACTCATTCGGGTCGAGCATCAGGCATGTGGGCATATGTGCTCGTTGTAAAGCGATAGAAGCAATGAAACGAGCAATCGCGTTAAGAGATCGTGACGATATTGACGTTACGATCAAACAGGGAAGGATTTTTGAAAATCGGTCTAGGTGGCAATGAAATTTTGTTAATTTCCTATTTTATGATATTTCAAAATTAGTCATTCGAGTATCCAAAAATTGTTCTCGAAACAAAGGATCGAATCGAGCATAGAAGAAGCAAGCGATCGTTTACGTAACTCCATGGATAGCAAGAGGAATGATTCTTTAAAAAAAAAAATCGGAATCACTCTCAAAGCGACCGCCACGGTAATCTTCAACCTGCGACGTATCATTAGAAGATTACAAATCCTCCAGACGGATCCTCTCTTCAACAACGGATCGAGTTCCGCTTCAACGACCACCGTCTCTCATTCGAGGGTCCTCGTTGGATGAATCTCGGCTCGAAAAAGAGAAACGGAGCCGAGCAGATGCGTTTCTGTCAAAACACGCGCCACGTAACGCGCGTGAAAAGTACAGATTGAAAGAGGAGCTCGATCCGTGCCTTACGGCTGATTCTTCAAGTTCTCGTGTTTAGGGAAAAAGCGTGCCTCGAATTCTTTGTGCACGAAATTAGATTCTCGACTCGATGGACTTGATTTAGTTGCCAAAAAAGGATTTCAATTAAAAAAAAAGAATTAATTTAGCTGTGAAAGAAAAAATTTTAAAGGAATTGTTTTCTCACGTTCTCTGTGAAGGATGCTTATCGCTCGGCTCGCGCCTAACTTCCTGTGGTTTACTGATAAACGATATCGTGCCTCGTTATACAGTGAGTGTAAAAAGTGTCTGGACACTGTTTAAAACAGAATAGCTCATTTAAAATTGGACCAAATGACTTGAGGTTTTTTGAGAAGTTCATATAAAAAAGATGAAAAATGATCCTTCACTATTTTCTTTCATGATTTCAATAAATTGTAATTTTTTAAAACGACAAAAGCACATTTGATTTGTATAACTTCTCAAAAAACCTCAAGTCATTTGATCTAATTTTAAACGAGGTATTTTGTTTTAAACACTTTTTACTCCCACTGCAGTTTCACGAAATCGTCGGGGTCTTTATTAAGATGTCGAAAAAGGGAGCACAGGAACCACGCATAACCGATAGAGTTTCCTTTGAAAATAACGATAAAAGAAAATTATGTCGAAAAACCCTGCGGATTACAAACAGTCAACAGGTAGAGAAAACACTTGAGAAATAAATCCAGTGAGATACTCGTATGTTTGACGACAGCTTTTGGAAATTTTCCGAAACATATTCGGCAGAGAAAGGTGAAGTATCCTCGAGGAATTCGAGGAGGGTTGTAACGCGGAACGCAAGGGGGTGGTCGTGCTCGTGTATCGTTTTGTATTTGTTGAAAACAGAGTCGTATTGTCGGTAGGGGGTCGAAGGGCGAGAGGTCGACGAGGCAGCAGGAAGGGCCTGTTAGGTACTCGTCGCATCTGCCTTCGATTTATTTCCAATCGTAATTGATGACTCCTGCCCCCGGCGTCTTTTTTCTCTCGAGTGTCCCGTGCCACCGTCGGGGTACCGTGTCAGGATTTTGCATAATGCAGCGAAAAGTCAGGCCAATAAATTATATCGACGCTATTAACGTACAATCGCTTCTGAAACGAAGCTTCCCTAATGGAGAATTTCGATGTAGAAATTCTGAAAATCTGAATTTCGTAGGTGCGATCCAAGTTTCCGTTACTTTCGCGAGCATCTCGAGGAACTGTTCGTGGGAAATGGCAAGGGTTCTTGTTCCCCCGTATCGTTTCCCCGCGAATATGGCTTCTTATAAGAATTCCAACGTTCGCATTATCGTCTTACATCGAGAGTCAATGGCCGTCTAATTATTCCGCTTTTCCTCGTACACTTTCAACCTTCGAAACTATGTATTATAAAATATCGAAATTCAATTTGCTGTTCAGGAATTCGATACCGAGCGACGACGCGTTTAAATTGAAACAATAAAAGCAGATTTACCGGGGCGGATCACGGCCGATTCCCATTTGATAGGATCAACTGCCACGATACCGTTGTGTTTCAACGCTCGAACGCCCACGGCATTATTCCAGAAAATAACCCCCTGATGTAGCTCCCCTTTGCTCTGTAAATACGCGAGGCGTTTGTACGTGTGCATGTGCGCACACCGTAGTCGAAAATCGCTCGTGATTTCTTCGAAGGGAAACCTTTTTCTTTTTTTTAATTTTTAGAATAATCATCGAATCGACGATGATTATATCTACTTCTACCGGAGGGGTCAAAATCACTTGTTTTTCAAATTAATAAGTCATTATGTCTCTTATGGTAATTTTGTAAAAATATTTTGTAATTTCTAAAAATGTATTTGAATTGTAGAAAAATAATATGAGAAACTTAAAAAATCACAAGTTTACCTACGTTGGGGGTCAAAATGACTCATCTCTATATATGGAGATGACAAAAAGGAAAACTGTTATACAGAAATTAGTTATTTGCATATTTTAGAAAACAAAATGTACTGAAAATGAATAATGATTATAAGAAATGCCAAACGAGTCATTTTGACCTCCCTTGGTAGATCTAGTGTTAAATGGTTTTGGTGAAACCCTTTGGGAAATCGTATTTAAGTCAGTCTCCATTGACCGGTGAAACGACAATGCGAGAATAGGTTCACGGTCTCGAATAGAAACTGTTTCGTCACCTTTTCACAGAACATTAATCAACCATGCTATTCCCGCTACTTTGAGCATCTTGTGTAGAATCAGAAACACGTGCCTACCCATTCTCTATTCTCCTATCCAAAATAAAATGTTTCTTAAACTACAACGATAACGTCGAGGAGAAATAAATCAGGAGATTCTGAACGCAAAGTAGGGTACTTTGCTTGAAATTTGATGAAAGAAGGAATACGAGGATGTTCAAACGGAGGGAATTCATTTTCATTTGTTATTCGACGGAAATGATGTTTAATCGATAAACAGCTTTATACAATCGGTGCGGCGAAGATCGATGGAGCGTGATTTCCACAGACTCTGGGCTTTTTCCCGGATGTGATTCACACTAAAAAGCTCGGAGGCCGCTATTAAATTAACCTAACTCTTTACAGATATGTACAATGCAACAGAAAGATCGTCAGCCGTGCTAAAAACAAAACGAAAAACTTGGTGGACGACTCCACGGAATTCCGTATGCATTCTCGTGAATCATTGTTACTCTCGCCGGACACTGACGTCATTGCTCGAAATCACGTCACGTTTCCCTTTCTGAAAAACTCTCATACGCAAGACATTCTCGTTTCATGTACGTGATAAGTCGTATATATACGTAACTATTTTCATGAATTATCTTTTTCAATTTTCTGTCTCGTTAGTGACAAACTCGCGTTTCTTTCGTGGACGTATATATACGGTCTAGGAGAATGCTCGTTTATTTGGAAAGGACGTATATATACGTTCTCGAAGATTCATCGATACGCGCGGTGGACGTATATATACGATCAAATCAACAGTTTCGATGAGAACAGACTTGAATTATATGTAATTTGTTATCAACTTGTTAGCTGAACCATTTTTAATAATAAAAAAAGAAGTATTTTAAACAAGCTGAAACAAATTAGACTGAGTTTTCATCCAAGTCCATTCTTACCTTATTCCACCCTTACTCCGTACCTGAAAGAAAGCTGATACAAAGAACAAAAAGAACGTAATATCTCGTCCAAAAGCAAACACCTTGCAGAGAAACAATCCTCGTCGCTGCAGCTCGAAGAGATCTATCGCGTGTCCTCGTTGAACGATACCAGCGAGAAAGATGAACGTGCTTAACTTAAAACCTAGCCTAATCTCGAGGATACCTTACACGTATTTGTCGAATTATAAAACTCGTCGTCGTCGGGGATGATACGTTTTAATGGGCAGAGAAATCTGATGAATAATTCCAAGCATGGGTTGGAGAAAATAATGAAACCTTCTCGATTACGCAAAATTAACATAATTACCAATTAGCAAAATCAAAATTTGTCATAAGCCTTGTATCGCCAAGATTCCTAACTCAACCATGAGCAGTTATCTGGAACTGCAACTCACACAATTTCTCAAGAGAGGTTCGAAAAGAAAATCCTAAAAGCACCCGAAAAAACTACTCTCCGAACGACCTGAATCTTTCAGCAACCTCGTCGAGATTCCTCTCAGCGATTCTCTCGTGGCTTCCTCCAGCCAGCTCGCGAACGGCTCGAAGGTGATTAGGAAACAGTCGAAACTGAAAAAAGTTCCGAGAGTTTTCACTGCCTCAGTAAACTCTTTGTCTCACTTCCATCTCGGAATCCTGTCGATGGGTCAAATGTGGCTCGATCGTGCTCGGCGTTCCAGTTCCGGTTCCTGTCACGTGGTGTCCGTGATGACCGTGATGGTGATGATGGTGATGATGGTGGTGGTTCAAGTGAGGCGGTTGAGCGGCGCCGCTTCTGTACGCTCTTTGCTTCTCGTCGAAATCGCGAACGCGTTGCTTGTACCGTTCCAATTGATCGCGAAGGAGAGCATCCTCCTCGGCGGCACGTTTCTCGTCATATTCCAGACATCCGACGCCGTCCAGTCGCTCCAGGTCGATCCATCCTCGCCATAATACGCACACCCCGTTCATGATCAGGCGCGACCTAAGGTGCACCTGAAAGTAGAGAAAGTCCATTTTTTTCATTACGAGATTTAAAGAGGAGAATGTTTAACACGTGAAAATGGGCATTTCTTACGAGACGTATTAAACCTGTAATTATTAAGAATAGGAATAATTAATTTTCAAATTTCAGATATCTAACTTTTAATTTGGTACTTTAAAACGATTTTTCTATCGTTTTCTTTTAATTATTGGAGTGCGTGTAATTAGCGATGCCGATCACCGGCGACCCCCATGGCATTCAACGTGTTAATATTCGAAGCAGCAGACTAAAGAATTTTCAATTCTAAATTGTAATAGGTCTCGGATGTTCTCCAGGCTACAAGCTTTTTTCTGCTGCTTCTCCAACCCTCGACGATGCTCGTGATGTCGATGCAACGGGGTCTATTAAGCCCGACGATCCACCTTCAACTTTCAATCATGTTTCCTCTCCCTCAGCCCACTCGCAGCTCCGTAAACGTTTCTGATTTTCAGAGAACGATTACGCAGATTGGAAGGTACAAGCTCCGAGGAGAAACGAAATTGCGAACTCGACATTCATCTCCGGGCGATATTCTATTACCGCTTCCGATACTAATTCTTGATAAATTTAAAAAAAAAGAAAAACTGTGAGAGGGGTTTGTAGGTTATTTCAACGTTTATATAATAGTTTTTTGTCGAACTCATTAAGCGCTGCTCGTTTTTACGGGTCTGAACACGACGTTGACCGGGCAACAATTTACGCGAGGCGAGAGGGAACGGAAAGGGAGAAGGGCCGAACCGTCGGCTCTTCGAAAAAGTCGAAACGAGCAATTATCTTGGCCCGGTTCAAGAGGGTTATTTTATTTCCTGGCAAATGGTCCCGTTTCCGGTCGCGTTGTGTGCTTTGGGAACTGTTACAGAATCTAAGCTGACCGTGGAAAACCAGTCGATGTTTTGTATAATTCTATTTGGAACAAAAGATATTCGGGTTACAAAAGATGATTACATATTTACAAAACATATACAAGGATATAAAATTAAATGTATAACTTTTAAACAAAACAAAACAACATGAGATATAAAATTAAATTCAAATTGTCGCTTTCTCTATGGTCCGCCATCCGGGGCTGAAGAAACGCACTACATTATATTTCTGCTTTTTCGATAATTTAACAAAACATAGTTATTTTGAGCTACAAATAATGAAATAGCGGAACCCTGAAACGGGAAGGCGTCGAAAGAGAAATCAGTTACCAGCCTCGTCCCTTTTTCTCTTCTTTTTTCCATCGAAACTTACAGCTGGTTGTCGACGCGACGTAACAATGTAACCTCACAGCATGATGCTCTTTGTGAAATCATAATTGAGCCACGGGAATCGCCAGTACCTCGATCGACTCGATAATCGAATCGTTTGTCGCCTCTTTTCAAAAAGAGAACTTCCAGATCAACGTTTTCGAGTTTATAGTTCGTTTCGTGGAAAATCGTATGAAAATTTTCATTTCCGCGGAACTTGGTCGTTCAAGCTTCCAAAGTAGACGAATTGACGTCAATGAGATACTATAGAATTTCATGTGTTGCGTACAAATCATCGAATGATTCGCGGAACGTCGCGTGACACGTAATGGGGAAGTACGCTGAAATTTGCCGTCTCGAAGGACGTATGCTGTGCACGCGGTTCTCGAGTAACGTAGAATTACCATTTCACCATTCGATCAACAATTCAACGATTACATAAATGGTAAGCATAACTAAAAAAGATTAATTACAAATTAACTCGTCATAAAGAAGAAGAAGCCTTCGATCTCGGTATTAATTAGCAGCTAATTACCAAATGGATAAAATCTCCTAGGCAAAAGAAAAAGGAGCAAGAAGCTAAAGAGACAATCTATTTCCAACGTGGTTCTCACGCGGGAAACAGCCTCGACGCGACTAGAAAAAGCATTAAAAAATCCATTTCACACCTCTCTCTTTCTGGTCCGCCAGGGGCGTGACCCATTATCGCGTGTATAATAGCCGGTGATATTTAAAATTGTAACGCGCGCAACCCTTTCGTTAACGTATTTGCATGTCGCGAGTCGAAGCGAGAAGGACATAGAAGAGAGGAGGGTAAAATGAGAGGAAAAAAAACAAGATGTAACGTCGAGACCTGGTGGAACTAAAGGGGTGAAAAATCGGGAAAGGGGTGAAATGCAACGAGACAAACGACCGGCTATTTCGACGGTTCTATTGTTTTTTCGGTAGGCGTGTTGCTACGCTGCCTTTTTGCGATACGAGTCCGGCACAATGGGCCAGAACATTCGTCAACGGTGATCCTGACGGAAAGGACATACGGTCAGTTTGTCAGGGCATCTTTTGTCTTTCTTTCAAACGGGTCTCTTTGTCTTTTGCACCGAATGCAAACATGAAAGTTATTTCGTCATTCGTTTCCTTCTATTCTATAAAGTTCATTTCTATGTGAGATAATATTTTTTGTCTATATCAAATTCATTAACCTTTAACTAAAAGGCTAATCTCTATCGAAATTAACGAAGGAAGAGCAAGAAAGAGCATGCATAAGGAGTCGAAGATGATGTCGATAAGATGGTCGAAAAGCATCGGGTGCCGTCGAGTGCACCCTTTTCATTTAGTCGGTAGGTCCTTTATCGAGCTCTATCAAGCTCGCGAATCTCTCCCTTAATTATTTCCTCTCTACGGGGAACAACGAGCAGGACAATACCGTGAGACACGTGCAGGCCATGCACACGTCGCCTTTTTATTTCGTCTCTTTCCATCGTTCATTGTCGATTAAAACAAAACGCTGGCCGCGGGTCGTCGTGTAAACAACCAGAACCACTCTACTCTTTTCTACCAGTTGAAAAATAATGAATCGTTAGCGCGACTCTCCGTGATAGCTACGCGAATCTAGAATTCGCTGCTGCTCTCAATGAATCGTTCGAAATATAAATGAGATTTGGAGGGATCGGATCGGTATTATTATAAAATTAGTAGCGAACAGAATCGAAAGCGAATCAATGTAAATATTATACAATGTATATAGGATTTACAGTTCTCTAAAAGAAGCCCTAAAATACAAAGTCCGGTGCTTTTCAAGCTGAAAAGTGCCGGAGGACCGTAGCAAAGGACTTTTGGTTCACCCTTCGGAGGATCCCAACAGAGACAGAGAAAGATTTATGAGCCATTATTATACCGGGTGACTAGTGAAGCCTTCGGGCATCTGGCACCGGCTCTAAACTTGTTTGACGGATTTCGAGACGCACTAATTGGCTCTAGTAGCTGCTAATGGAGGATCACGGGATCTCCGGATCTTCGAAACACCCTAAACGCTTTTAAACGATTTCTAAATACCAATCGTGTTTTCATTACAGACAGGATTACCACATTTGTAAACAGAGTTTGAAACTAAAAAATGGTGATCGAAAAGCGTTCGCGAATTCTGGAACGCGTTGCGTAGAAAATGGCGGATCCGAGACGCTCCTATCGATCGCGATGGCGACGTCGAGACGTCGCCCCTCTGCCGGCGCCGGCGTACAAGGACATCGAGTCCTGTGGAGGACCCTTAACCAGACACCGCGGAAACATGATACGGAAAAGACTGATGATACAAAGAATCGCCTTTCTGCAAAGCGTTTATTAATAGAATTGATTTTCTATGCGATCGTACGCTAATGAGTTTACTTAACCCCCCGCAGAGATAGAAATTTTGGGACCGGATGCGTCTCGTTCCAATGAGAAGTGTGACACGGTGACACCATTGTTCGAGAGGTAGAAACGGATACTAAATTGCTCGTGGGGGCGACGGCTACGTCCTGGGACATACGATGCCAAGGACACGAAAAACTAGACGTCCCGTCCGGACCGATCCGTTTAACGACCTTCCTATTTGCCCGACCGTGATCGTCCAATTAGCGTTGCAACTGTTAACTACCATTTTAAATCTTTTCAATCCGGAAATCTCATTTCGCAATTTTTCCTCGAATTTATTTCGTGAACATTCGAAGATCTCGATGCATCTGGAATTTACAATTCGTGAAAGAAAACTTTTGCTCACCTTGCCGCGCTCTTTCTCAAAATCGCAGTCGTTGATGTCACCGGCGTAGTTCCCGGATGCGTTGCCGAAAACGAGTTGAAGGTTTGTACCGGTTGCTGCGAACGCGATCTCCGTGTAACCATCTCGACAACCATTTTGAAAGCGTACCTGACGTTCCTCGACTGGTCTGTCCCGGTAACCGGTATATCTGACCTGTGGAAAAACAATGGAAAAAACTTTTACCACCTCTCCAAGAGATTCGATGAATCATAAATGGAAATAACGTCTTCCGAATATCGAACAGCAAAAGGTTGGAAAGAGAACGATGTTATGAAGCGATCTATCATAACAGAATGCCGAGTGTCGACTGAATCCCTTGCGTGACGGCATTTGTATACCCTGGATAATGTAAATAAACCTGAGGGTATGGTCATTGGAAACATGAACGATTTTATTTTGGAAATTATACACACTGGCAAAAAGAAACGAAAATTAATCCTCTATAGCCCGAAATTTCAGTGTTTGCTTGAATGGATATTAAACTCCCTTTAGCTGTACGTGCGCTGTTAAATGGTAACGAAACTCTGAAGTACAGTATTCGCTTCGTTACTTTATAATTTAATAATTTAACAGAGAAAAAGATGAAGAAATCGTGGAAATTTGATATGTTACTTCAGAGTTACACGGATTCACAGAGGATTAAAACAAGAACCAAATATTGCCCTCCCACCTTAATATCAGAGTTTAATCTACATATGTTCCTTAAATGTAAAAAAAAAATGATAGTCTTATGTAGAAAATGAAGGGGATGATGTAATTAATACCTCCCTCTGTTCGATTAAATAAATAAATAGACACGATCAATTTTATTGACTTACTTCACTTTCTCTGCTCAATCTCCTGAACAGTTCCTCTGTCTCGAACTTTGCCTTTTGATCAGGAACCACTCGAGGCATCTTGAAGAGGAACCTCGGACGCTGTTGCTCGAACAAACCCATTCCGTCAAAGGGTAGAACGCTGACACCGAACCCTCCGGTTCCTCCGGTGTGTTCGCTCATTGTGTGCATCATTTTGCAATCTCCCCGGTCAGTTCACCGATGACACGAGAAACTTATGATCAACACACCAACGATAACAACGTAATTTCACACAGGAAGCTAATTCGCAACGATCGAGCACGAAATTTCGCGCGTTCAACTGCGCCGTGCGGCGTCTCAGTGGAGACTAAGGACTCTGCCGCCACAGCTAAGTTTCCTCGTCCTGATTCGAGCCGCGCCTACCGACCCGCCTCGCGTACCCCCACCGCTCTTAGGCAGTAGGGACCACCCATACGACTCTCGCTCGCGATTTACCCTCTTGATCGGATGGAGGGTTGCTATAGGGTGGCTTTCAAATGATGTTATTAGATTTTCGATACAAAGAAGTGGAATACAATTCGTGTTTATGTTTTTAAACATTTTAGAAAGGGTAGTTTTAAAGTATTTGAGAATAACATGTAATATTTTATATTATTTAAATGAATTATTTCTATTGCCCGAAACACTACAATCAAAAGAAAGAACTAGGTAAAAGTAGAGCGAGATTCGCTCTAAAGCCAACCCCGGTCAGACCGGAAGAGGCATAAAATTTGAGATTTTGACCCACTAAACACAATGGTGCAAGAATTTTTTCGATAATTCTTACCGTTTGGCCTGCACAAAAATGACAGAAGGTCTAAATGCTTTAGCCACCTTCTCATGATTTTCAATCTTAGATATGGGTTGGCTAATAATTATATAGAAAAAGACTTTAATTAAATTTGAATATATTGTAAAACTTGATATTATGAACAAATTTTCTTTTCTATACATATCACTGCCTCTCGGCTTTAGTTTTCGAGATATTTGTAACAAACGTTTGCTACTCTTACAATATATTCTGCGTAATGAATAGGAAAAGGTTGTTCAAAATATCAAGTTTTATAACATATTCAAATTTCATTGAAATTGGTAAGCAGGGAATTTTTCTATATAATTATCAAAGAAACCATTCCAATGCTTATTTATAACATATTAAAGAAGCAGAACAAAAGGAGAAACGAAAGAATCTTTTACGTGTCAGCTGGTCTGCTGTTGAAAGCGATTCCTGTTTAACGAATCCATGCAAGATCAAAAGGATGGGCGAGGCAAAAGCAGAAGGATAATATGATATACAGGGATTGGCTGGATCCCCCATAGATATATGAAATACGTGTCATGGGGTCTCCCTGTTTCGAGTCGGATCTCCTCGTTCGCTGTAACAACGTGTATCCCCTCGAGGGAAGAAAAGAGATCTTCATCGTGTCTGTCGAGTGCCAAGGGCTCATCCATTTGAGAGGATCATTGTCGAGGATCCGCGATTAAGATCGACGACCCTTTAGCCCGATTACCACCAGCCATAGATACCCGTGTATCCGTTTTTTTTTTTTAGCCCTCTTCCGCTTTCATAGCCGTCTCGCGCCGACAGCAATAATGGAAATTTCCAAGCTGGCAAATCAACACGAGAGCCTAGAAATAATATAATGCATTCAATTGCAACGAAGTAATAAAATGTTAGGACAGAAAAAGAAGTTAGAATTTGGTCGCAGGTAAGTCGGAGCACCTCCGCAAGAATATTCTAGTATTTATAGTTTCAGCTTTATGACTTATTTTTACGATTCGTCTGACAGCCGAGGATGGTTCGTTCGCTTTATGGCAGCAATATTCCCAATATTCTCTAACGGACTTCTCTGGTTACTTCCAGGGAATAAATTGACCGTTTCTGGAAAGCTGAAAACAAACGAGAGATACACTACAACTTACCCTCCAGTAATAAAAATTTATTGGCACAGTTTACCTCTGTGTACTTCCAATTACCTGGCTAAAGGTACCAAATACAAATCCTATTTTTGAATAGAAAAAAGAATAGAAAGAAATTTCAGGTTTGGCGTTGCGCCAAAATTTCTTTGTCAAAGGAAACCACCGAACTTGCTGAAATTCAATTTGCCTACGTCGTCGTTTCCGTCGCCATGAATACCAAAGCGCGGCGAAATTAATTTCACGCGCGCGTTTAACGGCGTCGCGACGACGTGAAAAAAAGCCTGTATCCTATTAAGCCACGCCCACCTCCGAACGCGATTCGACCGGAGACTCGCCAATCGTAACGCGCGTTACGTCCGTGAAGGGGTTGGAAATCGTAGTGGGGGTTAACGTTGAACACACCGCATACACGTGCCATTGACTTGTAGAACCCTGCACATTTCGATCGTTGGAAAGTACCAGAAATTCAAACACATTCTGTGCCTCAATTAAATTCTCTATAAAATTTCAATCTTTCAGCTGATTAGTAAACATTTTTAGATGGGTTAAAATGAATCACATACTTGCAAGGGTGAAAGCGACGAGACACAACGTAGGGAGTTGAGGCGAGATCGATAAAGTCTCGTTGCTAAAGCGTTGCTAAAGAAACTTGGCGATCGCGTCACCTATGTATACCGTGTAAACATTTAAAACAAGTCTAGTAACCATGTCGGACCAGAGGAAAAATTCTTCCACTCTGTCAAGTTGGAAGTACAAAACCTATGAACGACATCGTTCGAAGGTAATTTTGTGCAAATTCGATTTAAGAGTAAATAGCTAATAATAGTAATGTTAATTAGGTAAAGCATGCAACGTGCGCGATCGACGTGAAGCCTCCGAAAGACAGACCCCACGTTTTCTTCAACGCAAAGGGCTTACAATTGGAGAAAGAGAAGCAAGATCGAATCATGAGAGACAATTTCATTCTTCTAAAAAAATTGCGCGATATCATGCACCGGAAACGAGCCACAGAAGAGAATCACAGACTCAGATGGGATGAGTCCAGATGCATCAGAACTCGTTGAAGCGAATTAATTTAATTAAGTTTTACCGTATAAAGAAAAAATAGCCTTCGATCTATCTTTAATACACGATTTGTATTTTCTATCGAACCATTTGTACTTTTTCAAAGAAACAAACGAACAATAAACTTGAACCTTCCTACCTCAAACATCAAATTAATAAAAGGTCTAGTTGATTTTATACCTTAATAATAACAGTCGATAAAATAATAAAATTCAATGGAAAAAGGAGAAGGACGCGATGAAGAGGAAGGCGAAAGGGAGGAATATTCAACCCCAAAGTCCTCCTCTATTTTTGAAGACACTACAAGGGCCTTAACATTCTCAGAAGCTGGAGAGTGTCTTCACACATTGGGCAAATGTGATTCTGGACTTGGTTATGCTTATTTAGGTCTGAATGCTTCTGATAAAAAACTGACGGATATAAAGGTCATACTCATGTTCAAATACGTGCTATACGTGGACGTTTCCGGAAATAGATTGACCACCGAGGCTCTAGGTGTTCTAACCTCGATGACATACCTTCTAATGATTAAAGCTGACAAAAATTTGGTAGAATCTGCTGAACTGGACCCTATGCCTTACCTTCAGGTCTATTTTTTAGCTTTCACGCCATTCTAAATCATCATTTCTCTTCCATAAACCCATCTGTGAATCGTTCCTGTTACTAGGGTATTTATTTTGCCACAGGTGCTCACCCTGAACAACAACAAACTAAAGAGCACTTTGGGGATTTCCCATCAACTTCTTGAATGCCTGGAACTAAATTACAACAATATCGAAGAAGTCACTTTGAATCCTTACGATTTGACGAACCTAAAGATTCTCGAGCTTCGTGGTAACATGTTAACCACAACCATTGGGATATTTTTCCCAGGACTGAGTCATTTGTACCTAGCAGAAAATCATATTGAAAGGTTGGAGGGACTGGAAATATTGACCAACTTAAAGATCTTACACCTGAGGAGTAACAAGCTAGTGAATTTAGACGGATTTGACTTGCGTTGTGGCAAGCTCAGTTATTTGAATCTACGAAACAACGAGCTGACGAAACTTTCAGAATTAGAGAAATTAAGTTGTCTACCAGCATTGGACACACTTATTATTTTGGAAAATCCTGCGGTTGGTGAACCAGCAGAAGAAGAGGAACCTGGTTACAGACATATTGCTTTAGCTATGCTGCCTAATTTAACACGACTTGATAAAGATACTGTGAGTTACCAGGAGAAGAAGGATGCTAGGGAATTTCGTATACAGATGGTCCGTGATGGAACCACGTTTGAAGATTTCGATTTTAATCCCCTAAACTATTGATAAACACTATGTAAAATGTTTCAAACTTTGTACCGTCGCATGTGTTTTAAAAAACTTTTACCTCCGTTTCTTATCGTATTTTCCTTGACATTGCTATCATTTCATTCGCTTACTTTTAGCTCCGTTCCTTACTCTCTGTTACATGTACTTTTAAATTATATCGCCTTGCACGTACCATTACATCCCCCTTTTAGTCGCCTCTTACGACAGGCAGGGGTTACCGTGGCCGTATTCTGATCCCGAGCCACAGGGATTGAATCAGTGGTGCGATATAGTCATCTAGGAGCGAAAGGTGGTACTAATGGTACTAAATTCAAATTGAAATTGCGTGCCGGTAAAGTACCAACGCAGACGATCTACATTTATGCTAATTTGGATGTCACTTACAAATTTCTACGTTTATACAATAATCAGTTAGAGCTAATGAGAATCAAAAAAATAATCATTATTGTAATTACGGAAATGTGAATGAATAATTCAGGATGCTAATACCACAAAAACCATTTCCAGGAACTGGTTTTTATATAATTAAATCATCACTTCCTATGACGCAATTACATGAAAAGTAAAGTAAACAAAATAAAAAAAACGCTAACATAACATAAAATGTTAAGTGTATGACATTTTAGGAATGACTATTAAAAATGATTCGGTTATGTAATTCTCTACAACTTGCATTTATATTAACTGCATAGTATAATACTATTATTCATGTAATTAACAAGAATTAGAAAATAATTGCAGTCACAATTCTTATATAATGCGAGCAGAACTATTCTCTCTTATTAATGAGATAGAACATTCAGAGAACGAAGTGAACCTTTGCAAGACGCGTCTTTTCAAATGTTTATAGTGTTTCTTAAATTTTGATTAACAATGTCGCTAAGTACTTGGTTCGTACCGGAAATTGTGAGTGTTGTGATTTTCGGAACGATCGCATTGTATGTTTATTACAAATTTTTCATCTTCAATTTTTGGCGCAAAAAAGGGGTATTTTATATGGAACCTACTTTTCCAACTGGAAATATAACGGCACTTATTTTTGGTACAAAATCGCAAGGTAAATAAAAAGATTTCGTTTTTCCTCTACTTGGAGGTTTCTTGAAATATTCAAAAATTTTCAATTTTCAGCTGATTATGTCAAAGACATCTATGATCGGAACAAAAAGCATCGCGCCTTCGGCATATATATGTTCCAAAAACCATTTTTGGTCGTGAACGATCCAAGTTTAATTCGAATCGTATTGACAAAAGATTTCATGAATTTTCACGATCGTGGAGTGTTTTGCAATGAGAAAACCGATCCGCTATCCGGCCAACTGTTTCAATTGCCAGGAAAGAAATGGAGAACTTTACGGGTTAAATTAACGCCAACGTTCACCTCGGGAAAAATTAAATCAATGTTTTTTATACTGAAAGAAAGTGCAGACAGGTTGGGAAAATTTTTGGATGAGCAAGCGAAAATTCGAGGGACCATCGATGTGAAAGACGTTTACGGAAAGTAAAATCCATTTTTTATTATCCTTCTGTCACTTTGCCTTTGCCTGTTTTTATAAATAAATATTTCCAGATATTCTATAGATATTATCATGTCGGCAGCGTTTGGAATAAACCTCGACAGTTTTCGAGATCCTGACAATGAATTTAATTATTGGGGTAAAAAAGTGTTCGAACCGAATATATTTTGGAACGCTATTGTTATATGGGCTCCTCATATACTAGATAAATTATCCATGCCGTTCACCGATAGGGGTGTTTCAAATTTTTTTATCAAAATGTTCGAGGACACGGTTAACTACAGAGACGCGAACAACATTGAGAGGAAAGATTTCTTAAATTTATTGATGCAGTTAATGAAGAACGGATACGTCGATGCTGATGAGAATTCGGACGAAAAAGATGTTACAAGTAATTATTTATCGGTTCTTTGATTGAAAAATTTGATTCCTTTTAAGGAGAAATTATGATGGTTAATTTTTTTCAGAAAAAACCGAGACTAAATTAACAATGCTTGAGGCTGCGGCACAAGCTTACGTCTTTTATTTAGCCGGATTCGAAACGTCTTCGACGACGGTCACATTCTGTTTGTACGAGTTGGCGAAGCATCAAGATATGCAAGACAAACTTCGAGAGGAAATCCGTATAGTCACCCAGAAGCACGGTGAAATAACTTACAATGCCGTGAATGAAATGACTTATCTTCATAAAGTGATCTCTGGTTTGTATATAATTATATATTCCGAACGGTCCTATTATTTCTTGAAGACATAAAGATACACGTTGAGCAGATCATTCGATAGTGAGTTTCAAGACGAATTCAGTGACCTATCGCACATATGTATTTGATTAATTAATTTCTAAGATATTGTATTTAGAAGCTGATTCAGTTGTAGCGGAAGTGAAGCATCCTTCGAGCTCGCCATTAACACTTTAAGCGCCACGTCATCCATACATGGGTGACGCTTGAATTTCAATAGGTATCCATTAGGAATTCTTTGACTTACTTAATTAGAAATACTCGTATTAGATACTTGAAATCATGGATAAAAATATAATGAAAATTGAAGATAATATACATAAGATTTGTGAAGACAAAAGTAATACTTAATGGAATTTTCAATGGTTCTAACGTGGCAGTCAAAGTGTTAAGGCAAAATGTACCACGATATAAAGTGACAGTATATGCAATAAATAATTCTTATTGTATCTAATTTGTAACAGAAATAATGGGATTGGGATTGCATCAATTTCTTTTTCCCAATATCATTGAAAGTATCATAACTTATTTTTCAGAAACACTTAGGAAGTATCCTCCATTGGTTATGCTAAATCGAATTTGTACAGAAGAGATAAAAATAGAGACAACTGATATTCATATACCTACGGGCACTTCTGTACTGATACCAGTATATGGTCTTCATCGAGATCCTGACATATATCCGGATCCGGATAAATTCGATCCAGAGAGATTCTCCGAAGAAAATATCAAAACCAGACATCCCTATGCTTATTTACCATTTGGCGAAGGACCAAGGATTTGCATTGGCAAGTATTCTTTTTGATGAAGAAAAGATACAAATAATAGCTTTGTTTTGTTACAGGATTAAGATTTGGTCTGATACAATCAAAAGTTGCTATAATAAGTAGCTTATTAAGAAGTAAATTCAAACTTGCACCGGATACACCAACTTCGTTGGAAATGAAGGAAGGATCTTTGATATTAATGGCAAAAGGAGGTGTACATTTAACAATTGAACCGGTGCAATGATTGATGAGATTGAGAAATTGCGATGTTAGTTTAATTACACTTACCAAATATGAAATTTAAAAAAAGATGAATATTATATAACGAATATCAGTGTTAATAAAAGATGTTCGAAACCTCTGTATACACTGTTATTATTATTTCCAAACTTGACCAAAAGCATCTGAAGTATCATCCAAGGATCAGAGAAGAAGAAGACAGGAAGGTACCTGTAGGGAAGAGTTTAATACCATTTCAACAATGTTTTATTTCACAGTCTGATAGATGGAATATAACAAAATGACATTACTTCTGAATAAAAGAGGCAACAACTAGATTCCGCTAAAATGTCCAACCAAGGAACCTAGTACCGGTAACCTTTGACATCATAACTGTCAGCGGGTAAAGCATTAGCTAAGCTCAACAATTGTGCACGTTGATTGAAGCTGTTGGGATAATGAAGGGCACCAGTTTCTTCGAGAACGTCAGACGCGCGAAGGCCGGCAATGTCGTGAAGCCTGCTCGGTCCGCGGAGGCCATCAGCATCGTGGAGTACACCGGATGCCAACAGGCTGCTGGGTTCGTGGAGTGCACTGGGCGAGAGAAGGGCGGATTGATGGAGTGCTCCTGGAGATTCTAAAACAGCAGATTCGCGATGAAGAGGTTGTTCGGGCAGTTTGGCAATCGGTGCTGCCTCGACGGGCTCGTGCGCGAGGAGGGCAGAGTTCGCAGCACTGTCAGCCACGTGGGCGGCTGCGGCCGCAGCGTTGTTCTGAGCAGCGGCTGCCGCTGTCGCGGCTTTTTCAGCGGCTGCTTGGGTGCTTTCGTAATCTAAACGAACCGCGGATAGTTGTTCGTCGAGCGATTCGGCCCTTGCCTTCGCTTGACCGACCATGCTGGTCTGAGCGGCCAATTCAGCCTCGGCCTCCGCCGCAGCTTGCGCCGCCCGTTCCGCCGTAGTCTGTGCGGCGTTTAAAGCTGCAGTGATCACTTGTACTTGATGCAGAGCTTGCTTAGCGCTACTTCTCGCCGCGTCGGCGGCACGCTCCGCTTGCTGCAGTTGCAGCTTCTCGTTATCTACCGCCGTGTGCAGATCTTTCGACTGCTGCTCCAATCCCTGTACCACGATCTGCTTGCCGGTGAGAGCTGCGGCCGCGGTGGCGGCCGATTGAACAGCCGCTTGAGCCAGAGTATTTTTCGCGACGTAGGCAGCCTGGCCAGCGGCGGTCTGCTGATTACTCAGCTGCGTATGTGCCTGCTCGGCCGCGCCTTTAGCGATGCTGACCAAAGGACCTCCAACGCTCAGACCTGGATGTGAAAGCCCGCGACCATGAGAGAGCGGACCTGATGCTAAAACGGGAGCAGCCTCTGCGTAGGAAACAGGACTCGCTAACTCTGGCTCGCCAGCGTACTGGTATTTGTACTCAACTTGCCGGGTACGAGTCTCTTTTTTCGCTGGCTCACTGTGCGACAGACAGACGCATGCCAGTAATATCAGGAATGTCTTCATTGTTTCAGCTCGTGTATCTGGAACGAGGAAATTGTAAGGAATATTTGGAAAATTTGATTAATTCTATCGAGTCTTAGGTGGATGCTATTGATTAACATGGTTCTTAACGATGAACTTCGCACTGGGTCAAAGTGTTCCTGCACTCGGCAGAAATTGTAGGGATAGAGAGGCGGAGAAAGATATGTAGGTCGCGTATTTGAAATTGAAAGTAGCACGCCTCGCAACTTAATACAGATAATAGCCAGCGTATGCTTGCGTCTGTTTTCGTGCATTCCTGTTACAAATGCAACTTTCACATTTTAATAGGTATTAGTCATAGAATCTAAATAAGGTTACCGTAACGTGCTGTTAGGTTTTCCGTGAACTTTAAACAATGCAATTTCAAGATTTTCTTTGTCTCGGGATCTATGTTAATTGTAACCGTGAATACTTAATAGATGATCATTGATAGAATTATTATACTAGAATGATTGTTTAATAATCTTTAAAAGATATTGATCAAATTCTTGGAGATCACTTATGACGCACATCGCCCCTCTTTCCGCTGCAATTCTGTCGCAATTTCGCGGCACAAAACTAAATTTCCAGTTCTGTCACGGTCTAAAAAGCAACGCGTGTATGTAAATGCATAATTAAATCGTTGAGTATGATTCCGCGCACGGCGTCGCAACCACCATGCTCGTTCAATCAGAACAAAGTGCTTTTTGTTAATATTTTTTTTGTTTAATTTAAGTAATTATAATTTTATTTTACATACAGTAATCCCTCCATTTACGCGGATTCACTTTAACGCCCTTAAGCTACCAAACGTCACCACGATGCGTTATGTGAAAACACAAATTCGGTAATTTATTTACAGTAATTCATCTACTTTATTTTAAACGGTTTTTCATGGTTCCATTTATGCCCTGTTTTCGTGGATCTAATTACCCGCGTAAATGAAGGGATTACTGTACTTTAAAATGGAATTTTTAAAGATGAAAGCCTCGATGACCACATATTTAGGATTTTAAATTTAGAATCAATGACTCTTGTAGTTTTACATTTAGTGAATTATAATAAAAATTACTTCAGCTTAATTTTTCACTCTTGTATAAATTAATGTTAAACTTCAACAATAGCGGATATTAATTAAAAAAGAAAGAATTTAGTTTGCTTTTATTATGCATCGAATTTGTTCAAATAAATGATTAATTTTGTAACTTCGTGCAGATAATAGAAATATTTGCAGTTTATTTTAATTAAATATTAAATAAAACATTTTGAAGAAATTGTTGAGTGAATAATTTGTTGTTAATACTCACGTACAGTGAAACCGGTCAGGCGTTTAAGGGACGGTGCTCTTCAGGCTCGAGAAAACAACTAACTGATACCACTTACTTGATCATCGAACCTCTTATAGGTCTGTATTCTAAGGAAACGATAGTATAGTTGTAACGGAGGGGTTGGGGGTATGGAGAATAAACGGCTAATGCTTGCTGTCTCCCTTTTTCTATAAATTACAAATGAAACATACAATGTTTTTATTCGTGTTTATTAATCATGGATTAATTTAATTATCATAGAAATTTATATCTATTAAAATTTATTAATTATGCGATCAATTAAAAGCAATTAACGTAAAATTTTATTATCTTTTTGTCAGAACATTTTTTTCCAAACGAATTAAGAATTATTGGTACCCCATTATTATTATTATTACATACTTTCTTTTGTCAATGTGATATCGCACATCGTATAATTTACAAATAATTTTCTTCTACCATCCTTACCAACCCATATAATGATTTATACGAATTACAATCTCGAATTTACCTAAATTCGTCGAATATCAGAATGTCCATCTTTTACATTCTCTACGTCGGTGAGTACTTGTTAAGAATAAATTACAATCTCCATATTTCGTCTTCCTAACCAAAATAAATCTGTTCCTCGTAGCACTATTGACCTTCGAATATTTTGACTGTGGAAGAGTTCACAAGTTTCCAGTTAATTTAGTAAGCTTCATTCTTTCATATAATTATCATTATTCTTCTGTATTTTACGAAATAAAATATTTATGATTAAGGTTGCTTCGATATTTTTGACAGAATCAGAGGGAGGTGCGATTCGTCGACGGTCAAAATTGTCACAACGGTAATCCAAATGGTAATCATAAGAAAACCACAGAAAAAAGTATCGTTCTTGCACAAAAAGCAGCACAGGAAGCTAAAGCAGCCTCAGAGGCTCAGAATATCGCTGGTCAGCAAGCTTCTCGTCAAGTACTTATATTCTTGAATAATAGTGAAAAAGAAAAAAAATGGCCAAGCTTGTCTGGGCACCCGGAGAACTGTGTACCATTTTATAGGTAAAAACGCAACTTGCTGAGAAAGCTGTGCAAGCCGCGAAAGCGGCGCAGGACGTGCTGACAAGAAAGAAATTAATAGTCGATCAATTGCAAGAGGAAGTGAGAGAAGCTCAATCAGTTGTTCAAGAAGAATCTTCCTCCTTAGAGCGAGAACAGTCTAATCTGAATGCTGCTTTACAAGCGGCAAGGCAATCTCAAGATCAAGTGAGCAAAACCTGAAAAATGTCACAGCACTAAAAGTTAAAAATTCTATTTAATTGTTTTTCATTCGAAAAATTTCTGACTTTATTTCTAACTATTATCGAATAACAGTGTGTATACCATTGCCAATAGTGGCAACCAGCATCCTTTATGAATCATTACGTTATTTCTGTACGCAATGCGCGTCCTTACAATGGCACAATTCCCAACACTCAATACCATAGGAAAAAGAAAGAAAAAAAAAGTAGTACTTGACGTACGTCGAAGAAGCCGATCACCTTACTTTTCTTTCATTATTTATTCAGTTAAAGACGCTAACGCACGCGGTGCAAACGGCTAAAGCGAACGCGGCGAACGCCCAGGCTGCCGCGGGCGGCGCGCAAAGATCGATGAGGGAGAAAGAAGAATTAGTGGACGCGGCCAAAAGACGCGTCGAAGAATTGTCGAATCAGCTGAGATTGGCCAGACAAGAACTAGCTAATACGAATCGAGAAACTGCCAAGGCAAACGCTGCTGCTACCGAGGCGAAAGCTAATGCAAATAGAAACAAAAGACGATTGGAAAATATTCGAAGAAGCAGACACATGAAGCGGTGATTTATCCATTTCATCCAAAGTCATTGCCCGTAATAAACACAAGTGCAACGTTATCTATATTTACAGGTGCGTGCACGATTGATAAAGGAAGCCAGCGAAGGCAAGGATATTGTATCACTTGAATAGATGTAAATCGATTAATGATAAAAAATTAATATATGCAAATTTAAAGAACAAAGGTGATCTATAGGGTGTTCCCTAATTGTTCGTTTTATTTTCGACTTCCTGGTATGTAAAGGGTTATTACGTCAATGATCTTTTATCAAGTGGGCGCTTTCAGTCACGTTCGCTGACATTTACATGGAAACCGTGACTTACCCACACAAAAGTGTCGTTATGCTTCAGCGAACTGGATCCTTTCTAGAGCAAAATGCAATGACGCATTTGCACGGTGATCGCACAAAATTAACTAACCATTTTCAATAAGAAAAAAAAAAAAAAAAGAATTACACATTCATTAATAGTTACACATTCTTGCATTTGCAACGTGTAATTTGTTTATCAGTGAATTCATTTTGATCACTTTTATATTTCATAAGCATTATTGATGTCGAGGCGTTTGGATTGAAAGAAGAATTATTTGTATAAATCAGTTTTAAGAGGAATTTGTTTCAGAACAAAGCACGGGATTTCTTTTTATTAAATTTACCCGCTTAACTTTTTAAAAAAAGAATTTTTGTAGTTTGTTGATGATGTATATTTAATGGAGGCATCCTAAGCTTTGAGAAAAGGCGCTGTTTTAAAAAGACCGCCAAGAAAGTGACACTTGGCGTACTCTAGCAGCAAAGTGCTGCAACAGAATATCAATCGCGGTCGGCATAGCAGGAGAATGCTATTGGTACCTTTTTTAAATTACACGCGCACCGCAATTTACCTATTTATTTTCACTTAATACTTTTTTCTAATTAGAGAATAAAAATACGCTTTGATTGATTTAAAAAAACGAAATTGACCTTGAAATCTTTGGTACACCTCCACTTCCGGTGCTGGCACATACATTAAGGTGATGCTCCATTTGGCCAGTTAATTTCTCTTCATCACATTTTTTCTATCTTGTATCATTTTAGAATTATGACTCAAGTAAGTGAAATATCCTGCATTTCAAAATGCAATTTAAGGTAATGATAGATAATTTAGAAATTGTACTTAATTATCGTAGGCACGTTTGATGAAGGATCAAAGTTGGGTGGCGTTGAATCATCGTAAATCTGAAAGGAGATCGTGCGTGGGTGAATGAACTTGATGAGCCAGAGAAGGGAAGAGAAATCTACGAACAGGAAATCAGAGTAACTCGTCTTTCATTTGCGTAATACTCCTCTGTCCAAATAATGTCCAAAATGCATAGGATGTTCAGTGACGTAACTAGGAAATGACCGAGGTGGATCTGTAATTATAAAATTCAAATATTAACAAATATTTTTAATTTCTAGTTACAATTATAACTTTTTCACGTTGACTATCTCATTGCATAAAATAGTTCATCTGATTGTTCGTGTAGGTATTTCCTGGTTTCACTACAATGGAGCAACTCTTCTCTAAATCCGGCATACGGAATACTAACTTTTTACTCGAGTATTTTTATTCGTGGAAATGACAGAACATGTGAGATTTCCGGTCCCCTCGTACCTTTTTCTATCTCAGCTGCGATTTACCTTTGTTTGGAATTCAACTAATCCTACATTTTTCTGTAAAGCAATTTGTGGTAAGACTACTTTCTATTACAAAATGTCTTTTTATCTGGTAATCTTTCAACCATGCAGTTTGATAATAATCTATTTTGCATTTTATTCCGTTCAGTTTCTCACATATGCGATCCATAAGAATGATCGGATTGGTAAATTTATCTCCTCGGGTTGATCAAAGGAATCTGGAAATTCGCTTAGAAATAATTACACAGCTATTAGTTTATTACCTAACGAGAATCTCGCTAAGATTCACAATAAAAATGAAATTAAAAATCTTCCCAATCGAGAAAATCTATTTTATTCTACCCTGGGTAACACGCGCCCTTGTTTCTTTTTGTTACATCACGAGGCAATTGCTCAGTTTAACAACGCTACTTATGCTTACCACCGATTTTGCAACGATATTAGAAAAGACTGTGGGAAAGGCTAGTTCAATACTTTCAGTTAATTAATCCAACACGTTAATTGCGTAATGCGCTATCATTCTGAAGAAGATTATTCAGGCTTCAGACTGTACTTTGTTCTGTGCAATCAAACTGTTCCCCTGTTACACTCATAAAATGATGAAATTCATCGAATTAACAATATATATGTTAAAGTTTTAATTTATAAAAATTGATTCAAGTTTCAGAAGATCGAAAGATGAGTATGGAAAGGGAATAGATTGCACTTGTTGGAAAAACAAAACTGCTCGAGTTTCGTAACTTACTACATCCTACATTACGCTCTATCTCACGTTTAAGAGATCACGATTCGCCTATAAAGTGATCACGAACCCAAGTCAGGTGCTAATACATCAATAACAGTATCAATAAGAATCATTGCTACTGGTATACTCGAAGGTACCAACACTGAATACCAATTTCAAGTGTTGGATACTTTAAGTACCATTTATCTAGTATTCACAAAATTTTTAAAATATTTATCATTTTCTGATAAACAAATTTTGTGATCAGTTAACGAAGAAACTTTCCATTTACAAGGATCAGTGGTCATTCGTCATTGACTGAAGATATCGATTACAAACGTGGATCAATTCTTGTTTGATAGCGTAATAGGTGGTAGCAGACGAATGAAAGAAATTAAGAAAAAGAGGAAGAAGAGGGACAGGATGCAGAGCTATCTTGGTATACTAGTGAAAGTACTTTAAACTCAAATCACGTGCTTCAGTTCTCTCAGGTATATCACCAGGTGAACTCTTACCGACCAGTTCAGTATCATCTTCTCCATCCTTTAATCCCTTAAGTCTTCGTGGATTTGTCAAAAATTGAATCATTGTGAAACTACTTTTTTCTTAATTATCGTTCATTAATTGTTCTACGTTTTCCTCTCTTGTGATGTTTTGTTAAAAAAAAAACGAAACTAGTGCTCGAATACATATTTGAAATTATTGGTGCATCTTCTACAGTTGGTTTGTATCGACCTTCCTTTTATTTATAATTACTCAACTAATTAGGCAATTTTTAATTACAATATCTTATAGTCTGAAAAATATAAATTTTGTTAATAGACATATAATAAACTTCTGTTTTTTAAAACATAGAAAAGTGAAGTCTGAAAAATATTCTCATCGTCTTTATATTTATATTAACTAGGAAGTAAAAGTTGTTCTTTGTCGCGGTCAATTGGACGTTCCTTATGTAAAACTTTCCTCCCATCTGATGATCACCTACCACGTAATTTTCGCTCGATGATGATTTAACATTCAACCTTTCTCATGAAATGATCCTCTAAGAAAATTTCTAATGAAATTTCCAATCAATCTAATCTACAGTTGTAGACGATAAAAATTCACACGCGTCGCTCGAATAAGAAATTGAAAATATTGAAAAATAAATTTTCTGTAGGATATTGAAAATACAAAATCGAAGAGGAAGATTCGCTATTGACTCATCCACAGGAAACATAATAGAAATCTACCTACTGCTGAGACGAGATTGCGATAGGATCGCTCTAGGGATGTAATTAGAACAAGGCTGTGAGACTATACAAAGCGAACGTATGTAGTGATGGCAAGTCTCAGTTGGCCGATTACCAAATGGAATAACACAAGTTATGCATTTATAGATTGAAAGTTACATACACTATATCTCAAAACTGTTTGCCCATCGAAACCTTTCATATTCACAAGACACCTGGACGATTCCATGAATTCCCACGAATTGATATTAAACAAGCAATATGTCAAATTAGTAAGATACACAATAATATTACTCGTTGCATTTTCATAATAGCATTCTATGCACGAACCATTGTACAACACAAATTCTAATCATTCTCTAATCACGTCTAACGATCTGATCTGATCGGTATACGTTTATAAATGTTTCAGAGAAACTAATGTTTGAAGGAGATACTTTTCCACGCGATGAAATGAAAAATTGGTCAAACTCTTACAATGAAGACAACCGGAAGGAAGCGTTTGTTCAATTTAATATGGATCACCATATTCTTGATAAACGTTCACGCAGAGAAGGTAAAAGTTTTCCATAGAAAAAAGTATACAGAACAGTGCAGAGATGTTAAATCCTTCCGATGGTTTCGCAGCAAAAACGAGAAATATTCAGGGAACAAGTGTTACCAGCACTTGGAGGTAAAATTCCAGAGGAAGCCTTTAGAACCGATCGTTTGGCGTTGAATCGTTTGAATAAGGAAGGTATTACAGTGCCTGATGGTGTAATTTTAGACGCGAGACATGTTCATAAAGATACGCAACATATTCAAACTATGCCAGAAGCGATACAGGTATGCAGAGGAAAAATGATTGCAAAATTATCCCTGTAATTATCCTGCAATTATTTTGTCCTTCAAGGTGTACCTAACACAGGATGGACGATACATACCGCCAGAAGGACGTATCCACTACAATCATCCAAAAACAGTGGACACGACTTACGTTATTCGTAAACCGTATTCACATTTCAAGCATTCGAACAATCGGATCGGCAATAAACATCGAAACAATCAAAAATCGCAAACTCACGCGAGCTTCCGACAACTGGTACCCATAATACCACCCTCGAAACCAGGGGTGTACAAGCCCATCGTAACGCCATCATTGTTTCCTAACGTTGATCTCTTGGGAGACATTTATCTACCGAGATGGAACATACAATACGACTGGGATACCGTTTATCAACCATTCGATGATTACATCGTCAACAACATCGCGTTCTTCAACTCTCATCAGGTATTTTCTCTTTCAATACAATACATATAAACTTTAATCATGGACTTCGAGAAAATAACAGAAGGGAAGAAAATTTTGTTTCGATATGGTACTTTGTAATTTTAATCAAGGACTTCGAGATAATAACAGAAGGGAAGAAAATAATAATAAAAATGAAGTTCCCATGTTCTTGATAAAAAAAAAAAAAGATACGTATGGCGCAATAAAGAGAAAGAAAACCACAGAGTATGAAAGAGAAACGTGCGTCGATACGCGAGATTCTAGTTTATCTAGTTCGTCCGAGTAGACCGCAGTTTTCTAGGATTACGCGCGAAGAAGGCCACCTGGTTATCCTAGGATCAAAACGAAATGAAAGTATACAGATAGATTTATAGAGATTTTCTATTGCATGAGAATTGTGCAATTTTCTTATGAAATTCCGTCAAACGATCTTGGGAACATCTAATCCGATAAATCCGATAAATGATTCAATTAAAATTTTAAAATGGGTATAACAGTATAGCAGAGTGAAATGGCCAAAAGTGTACCATTTTATTCTGGTATATCGTTTATGTTATTTACAGATCATTACCGATTACCAGGGATTTCTAAATAAATATCACGAAAGATCTTCGAGGCACATCGAAGCTCAGTCCAGAGACAGAAATCACAATGTTTCTCCTGAAATTCGTGATAAAGAATCGAAGAACACGAATTCCCGAACAGCATTTCACCAAAGTTCTAGATTAAATAACGATGCGAATCGTTACACGAATCTTACTGAAATTCCGGAAACAAGTTTCATCTGTAATGGTAGAAAAGGTTTATTTGCCGACATTGAAACCAAGTGCCAAGTGAGTGTTCTAACTTCACAGCTACTTTATCGTTAGAAAATCATGCAATTTTGTATTGATTTTTGAGTTTCAATTTTTCTTCTATTCTCAGGTTTTTCATAATTGTTCCGGATGGTCGAAAACTTCTTCGCTTTGCCCTATAGGTACAGCATTCAGTGAAACGAAGAAACGTTGTGAATGGTGGAACACGGTAGACTGCAAGTAACACGTGTAGTAAATTATCAATTATAATTATTATGATATTTATAATTTATTTATAGTATGCGGTAATAGTTAATATTTAATTAACTTCATTTTATTAATGGTTTATATATGTATATGTTTCATAGAAAAAGTACAAAAAATAGTATTTTTAGAATAATAATTCACAGGTAACCCTGTATAAAGCCTATATTAATTATGAAGCACCATATAACCAATAATAGAATAATGTCTTAACATTTCTTTCTGCAAAATTTATTTCAAATACTATTATTAAAAGTAGTGAAATTGAAAAAGACAAACAAAAACTACTAACCAATATTTTAACTAATTAACAAAAATAATAAAACTCTGTGTTTTTCAATTCAAAAACAAAAAACAGAACAATTCTGCAAACACAGTAATAAAGTTTTATTATTCAACGATGGACACTGTGATACAGATTCGTTAAAGTATAAAATTTGCTGAATACACCCGTACTATTAAAAAAAAAAATTAATCTTCTTAATCTAATAGAACATCGCGAAGTTCTAAAAAATACAAGTAGACAAAAGTCGTTGTTTCTAACACAAACGTTGAACGAAGGAAAAGAAATGCATTTTCACTGAAACATTTCAAAAACTACCACCAAGTCGTCGATGTTTCCTTTTTTTCAAAATAACAAAGTGTATATATTATAATATTCACCTAAATTACTTACTTTCCTTCCTACATTAAGTTTCTATATACAGGGTGTCTAAGGAAAGATGTACACTCGCGATCAAATCCAACTTCCCTTGAAAAAAAAAAAAAAAAACGATATCAAAGTTTCGCTACATTGTCATTCTTCCCAGGGGAAGTCTGATTTGATCAATCTCCTGAGGGTTTATCTTGAAAATTTGGTGTCCGCTTTCCGAGAAGTGCTACTTAATCATTAAATTATTAAATAGACAATATACTATTTTATAGACATCCAAAGATAACCCCTTTTCTTTTTCGATAATACTCGTCATTAGATACAATTGATCTCATTTATTTTTTCTATTCTACAATCTATGAATCTAGTCTTGTGTTTGGCGTTTTTATAAATTCTCTATTTATTCTATTTAAGTCGTAATTGTGTTAAGGCACGGTATAAATGTTTCTTTTTTTTAGTAGAGAAGAACTATTCGTTAATATAGAGACATAAGAGATGAAGATTCATAATCTTACCAGACATTCAGGCCCGCGAATAAAACTATTAGGGACGCAACTCACTCTGGTATGGGTAAATGTACCCCAGTAATATATACAACCAGGCCAGAACACGATCAAGTTCTCAGTGTTACATGTGTAAATTCTGCTGAGAGCCTTCGACTTCCACATACATCTTTGATATAGCATCCTTCGTGTTCAACATATAATTCTGCACCGCTGGTGCAACTTTATTGTTATTCGATATGATCCCATTAGCTAAATGAGACACCCCATTCTGTAAAACGTGCGCGGTTCCGTTTCCGATATAATTATGCACACGGGCTATGTTATTCCTTTGAACTTGGTTCGCATTGTTTTTTAGTCCATTGGCAATTTGCACCACTCCTATAGAATAATTGAGCAAAGTAAATTTAATTACCGTCTCTCTTTACTTTTTTTTTCATAGTTAGTAGACACACGATCATTTAAAAAAAAATGAAAATAAAGAAATAAGCAATACCCTTTTTGGAAGAATGTTTCAACGTTTAGTCAGCATTACGACTAGCTTATGAAAACTTTGATAACGGCGTATCAACGTCTGTTGTAAGGGCACATAGTGTGGGTGCGAATTGAATGAAAAGGGAAAAAAAGTAAAATAAGTATAAAGGAATGTGATACTAGTCTTCTTGTAAGTACAGTCATGTCTGCTGACATTTGAAAAGTCTTTAAAATGTAAACTTACCCTGTGCGTTGATCCCGTTCATATTGTCACTTATCACTTTCTCTATAGTTGATTTACCATCAACTACGTGTTTAGGTACACCATTTAATACAATTCTTTGATCACTATTATTATAAACAACTCCGCGATCACCGCCTAAATTATCTTCTCTGTTTCGTCGTGCTTGTGTCAACAGTTGATAAAGCGCGGCTGCGAATTCTTGTTGCACGCTTGGTACATCCGTGTCGCCGTCTATCTGTATTTTAATTAATTTTTTCCAGAGTCATAAATAGTTTCTATTTTTCATAAATTTACTTACAATGATAAGACGATTTTCATTGTCCAACGCCTTCAGCATAGGTAACGAAACTTTACGAAAAAGTTCCAATCTTTTCTTAAACGCAGACACGCTATCGTCTAATCTTCCTCTACCGAGTTGCAATTTCGAACAATCTAATAATACTAATGGAGGTTGTTGGCCAAACTAATGAAATCAAGAAAATCATTCAAACATTTTTCATTAATACTATTCACAAGTGTTACAGTTTATTTAGTTTTATTTGAAAAGGAGCATTGTTATTGATCGTTCTATTACCTTGTTTTCAAATTCTTGAACTTGACTCAAATCCCTTGGGTAACCATCGATTACTATACCATCGACGTCACGATTTAACATTATCTGTTGCTCAACTATCTGCATTACTATATCCTGCGGTACCATTTCACCGGAAACGATAGCATCGTTGATGATGATGTTCGAAGAGGCCATTGTTCTCAGCATACCACCTATGTTTACATGGATCCAACCAGGCATATTTCGTATTGCCTGAGTACAAAGATTTTCTTTATTGCTTCCGGGACCACCTAATCAAATACAATTATAATTATTATAATTGATTACTCGTGGAATTCACTGAAGAAGATATTCACCTATGACCCAGATAAAGGAAGGTAATTTTTTCCTGAGTTTATCTGCAGTTTTCGGAGACTGTATATTCGTCGCGACAGGAATTTGCATTATTTTAGGCGACGTTGCCTCTTTATGAAGCGCGATCTTTGGAATAGATTCTTTCCTATTTTCTACTTCTACCTGGAATTTGTTTTAATTCAATGATTAAAAAAACAAGAAAAGTATAGCTTTCGATTACACATACTTTTGTTTCTAACGACTCAGGAACGTTCTTCTGTTGATCAGATAAACCAAGAATTTTGAAAACTGCCTCGCGGAAATCAATGTATACCTCGTTTGGATTTCTCTCACCATTCACCTGCACAGTCATGTTCGAGGAATGAAATGTTTAAAAGAAAAATTAAATTACTTTTAATATAACTCTTACTCACTTCCAACAACATACCACTCTGATCAAAATACTCGATAACAGGCATAACGTTTCTATAAAAATTATGAAGTTCCATTCTTGCAAGTTCAATGACCACCTGGCCAAGTTGTACACCAAAATCAATTTGCCTTTCAAGAACCTCTTGTCTCCAGGATATAAGAACCACACCATTCACTATTTTTATCTGAAAATTTTACCAACTCATTTTCTACTCGTTGTTACTTTATCGAGTACCATTCCATTTTATTTGAAACACCCTGTATTAAAATTGCTACTGTGTAGGTAAGTACGTGTATTATTTTAACATCGAATCACTTACTTTCTCGGCGTATTCAACCACGTCTCGCATATTGCGTGGATAACCACTAACGAGAAAAACTTTGGAAGTTGGAGACATTTTAATTTCAAGCATAAGAACCTCGGCCACTGTTTTACTACTAAGCTGACCGAAATCTTGCATATCTGTGAAATAGAATGAAGGAATTAGCATCGTCGAAAATGCCCATTGTCCTTTATAAATAAATTAATTACCATTTCCTAACGCATACTGTTGAAGAAGATCCATCATATTTATATGAGTTATACCTTTCTTCTCTTGCATTAAATTGTCACAATGTGTCACCTTTCCGCTCCCTGGGCCACCTAAAAACAAAAGGAATAATTAGTAAATGTTACATAAAACCCCATGAAAGTTATCTTTCTCTTCAACACGTGAGTCTGAAGGGGTTGATATACGTTATCGACGTAGATGAGGGCGTAGATCTACGCCTTCGGTTACAACGTCTGAGAGAGCCTATTTCGAAAAAATAATTTATACTAACCGAGCACAAATATAACAGGCACTTTTGGAATTTCGAACTTGACAGGACCAACATTTTGTTGTGAAAAATATCCGTTTGGAGGGGTCGGTAAGAGACCAGCCTCTCCTCTCCATTTTCCTGCACTCTGAGCATCACTTTCCTCAAACACCTGCGATCCATTCTGCTGATCTATAAATTAAATTTCCCCCCACGAAAGGAAGTGTGAGATCCGATGTCAAAAATGTATTTCTCTTTTGGGAAATCGTCGAACGTCGTTATCGATCATGCGATATGTGTAATGACAAGTACAACATGTATATGTATAGGTCATAGTCACAGGTGTGTTTCGTTCACATTATGACAGAATGTGAAAATAATACGTTAATATTTGAAAAGGAAATGTTACTTCACATGTAAAAGTGTTAAACGAGTTGAATGATATACTGGGAACGTGAAATATTTTCTTATAGTACTTCAAAGAGTAGTATAGCACAACCGGCAATGTTTAGTAATTGAATCGAAGGTGTATATAATTTTGTTTTGGGTTCTGAAGGTATACTGTCATTTGAAATTAAGATTGTAAAAATATGGAATATGAAAGAAATAACAATGCTATAGCCATGAACTTGCAATTGTAATTGCGATTAAATGTCAGTTAGTCATTCTTGTGCAATTACATTGATAAAATTCCAGGAATCGATACTGCAGTCATAGACATTTCATAATTAAGAAGCTAATTAATATTGTACATAACTAATTTTCCACGAAAATTTTAAAGAAATATTTTATTATGAATTTTTATTATTTTCTAATGTTTAATCGATCCTGCCATAATGACTGTTTACTCTTGATGCATAATTAATTTTAGTTCGTCAGAAAGTGACAGGAATCCATATTTCTAATGAAAAATTAATTTCTTACTGGGAAATTCATTTTTTCAAATGAAACGCGGTAAATTAATATTAAAACAATAAAAAATTTACTATTATTATTAATAAAACTGCTAACCAGTGTCCAGGCAGATGCCCATAGTAAATCTTTGGAAAGATGCCAAGATCCTGTGACGGCCATTTACTCACATGCTTTCATTTAATTAATTCACCTGCCCTACCACAATTGTTTTAAAGATAAACTATCACATGGGGTTAATTATTCTTCGCAACAGATACTTCTCTTTCGATACTCTTCGATATCTGTTTCTTCAATCATCGACATGTTGCACCACTTAAAACAATTTCAAAATTGTACGAATGTTAAAGCCAGGTTTTATGTCAATAAGACACCACTTAAGATTCGATTAATGTTGAGCTTAATCGACGTGCCGCACGGTAATCCCCTTGATAAAATCTTAGGAGTGACAGTCAATAATATCATCTACATATATAGCTGATGATCTGTTTGCAAATTATTATTTTTCCGACATATTAAACAACACGTTCACTTTTAAAACTAATTCTCACTCGTTTTCTTTTTACTACTTGCTACATCTATAAGCAATTAAATGGAACTTTGAAATTAGAACGAAACACTTCCTAGAATTCCGCCAGGAATATTATTTACTGATCCACTGTAGCGAAGAAGAAGTTGCAATATATCGATCAAGTAATTCTCAAAGAAATAAAAATTCCAGTCGATGAGACAGTTCACTATAATGCGGAAAGGTGGAGATACGATTCCTCACATTTTTGTTTTTTTGGAAAAAAAAATACATTAAAAATCGAGCAATTTGTATTTAACACTGGATAATTTTCGATCGGAACAATCGCGAGGTGAAGTTCCCTGGTCGCTGTGCGATAGTACTGTAATGGATTGATAGAAACAACTAGAGGTCGTAACGGGAGTCAATTGTTACCATAGTGACAACCATGCGCAACTAATCCTTTCTACGGCTATGTCGTACAATACCTCACAACATACATACGTTTTGCATACATTCGAATTAATGGATAGTTTACTGCACTGGTTGTAACATATGCAGGGGTGCGCCTGCGTAACCTGCAAGGTCAATGTCAACCTTGTTGTTCCTGGTAGCTTCTTAAGGGAAGGGGTACAGGTGTGATAATTAACCCTTGCACTAAACTTGAACCCAATAAATCATAGACATTTTTCAATCATAGACATTGGGGTAATTAGGATTTTTTAGAAGATCGAACGAGTTCAGTGAATTGGTAAGATTTATATTCGTATCTCTTTGAACTTTGAATTACTTTAATTACCAAAGGATCAAATTTCAGATTCCTATAGAATAAATGGGTTAGAGAGTACGTTTTTGTCGTAGAAGATTATTTAGGTTACGGTCATATGTCTACGCGTTTATAATAAGCTTATACAGAAATCAGTTTTTCATTTCGTAGAAGGTGATTACCTTGAGGAGGGACATATATGAATAATCTACAAGCTGTTCGTAAGCCTCCTTTGGTGGATTAAAACGATAAAGCATTGCAAATACATAAACTTGGAAATATCGACACTGTCGACGTGCTTTCAATTATTTATAGCCATATCCATCATACAACTGCCTTACTCTCATATTGAATATGTATAATTCTTACAAGGCAAACTGTTTGTCCATCTAAACCCTAATTTATACGACCTGCACTAAAAGCCAAACTTTCGATGTACTTAAAGAAACTCGATCGAAGAAAGAAAATTAAATAAAGTAAACGTAAAAACATCTAATACTTAAAATCCCTTCTTCATGGATTTGTACAAGTTCCTGGATAACCCCCGTAGGGACCACTTGCGCATAAACGTTATCGCGAAATAATTTGGATTGATATTTATGTTATTATTAATATTTCTTAATTATATACTAAATTTTATAATATTTAATAATTGAAAATTACGTTATCTCGTTTTTAAATTTAAATTTGACAGCAGCATTGATTACTAACACCATCTATTTAAGAACGGCTGAAACTACTCAGTAAGATTTGGAAAGTCAGTCGGTAACTTGTTGAGTAGTTTCAGCCGTTTTTAAATAGATGGTACCTAGTGTCAAATTTGAATTAACCTCAAATATATGGCCATATAAAGAATGTGTAACATATACAAATATGAAACATTGATGAAGTTTTAATAAATATGAGTGCATTAAGTGACACCAGTGAAGAGGTTTCTGATACAAGAAGCCAGAAAGATGAAGATTTTAGAATAAATAACTATGGTAAAGAAAGCGATAGCGATGATTCTTGGTATGACGTTTCGGAAGCAAATAACGATGAAAATGTAAGATTGAACAAGTATTCCTATTTTTTATTTATTATCATCAATTGAAAGTATTTTAAATGTCATTTAGGCCGGTCAAAATGATGAAATGGATGAGCAACAACAGAGTGGATCGGTGCTTCCTGGAGGTCATAGATTTGATAGGAAACTTATATGCGTTAAATACCCTGGGAATGTCATTAATCCAGAGAAAGCTATTGAGACTTTAGGCGGTATCCATAGTATTTCGACGGTATTCAATCATTCTTATGTAAAATGTATTTTGTACCTACTTAATTATTAATTGTACATGTTATCAACAGGCAGTAGATACTTCAAATCGGCGTTTAGAATTGAGATTTAGACCAGATGATGTCTATTGTAAACCAACTTGTGGTGATAGACATAATACTAATGGATTTCTGCTTAGAGTATGCATTAAAAAAGGTAAAAATGCAAAAGAAACCGAAGGAAAACTAAACGACACAAGCAGTGTGAATTTAAATGACAAAAATAGTGGCAATGCAAGTGATTTAAGCAAAAAAGCTCAGGAGGAACAACTTGTAACTGAATTGATTGATCAAGTACAAAGCTGCTCTGTTGGTACTTCAGATGATACTCATTCTCCTCATAAGGATTTATCTTCTGAAGCTGAAGCTCAACCTAAGGATTTACAAAATGTATTGCTAGACTCAAGTGATGTAACTATACCAAAAACAAAAGAGAACACTATGCCGACATTCGATCGAAACAAGTATCAAAATCTTTCCGACGATAAGGACTATGAATTGCCAGAATTAACAGTATTAGGAAAAGTTGATACAGAATTTCGATTTACAAGTACGTGTTATTGGTATACATATTTTCCCGTGATATTGCCAAGATATTATACTAATAATACCTTTTTCAGATCTTTGTGACTTTCAGTATCTACCAATGGCTCCATGCAAGGATGACCCTAAAACATTAAAATGCATATATGACCAAATTTATCCACACAATATACCTCATTATTCTTGGTTAAAAAATGATGTACTTTACTTCTTACCACCAGCTGCGTTTAGCAGAATGGACACTGTACAACAGTATGCACCAAAAACTGAAGTAAACTCGTATCCAGATAATGTAATAGGCAAGAGGAGAAAACGAAAAGCAGGATTTTCAAATTTTATATATTTCTCGACGCCTGAGGTGCCTACTAAACCACCAGCAGGTATAGAAACTGCAATGAAAGTGAAGTTCGTTCGAAATGCCGACTTCGAACGAATGCGTGAAATATTTGAAGAGCGACCAATTTGGTCGAAAAATGCGCTGATGTATAAAACGAAATTTTCTAATGATCGATTAAAAATTTTATTACCCGCTGTGGCGTATTACTTTGTAACTGGCCCGTGGAAAATTATGTGGGTGAAGTTGGGCTATGATCCAAGGAAAGACACTTCTGCAAGAAAATACCAAACGTTAGACTATAGATTGAAAGCGATGCGTAAGTTCTTTAATGAACAATATTGATTGTATTCCAAATATTATTTCATTCATTTGCTCTATTATATAGACGGTTTAGGATCAACTGTAAAATGTAAAAGAAATTATGCTGATTATACATTACCGTACAAATCAACACCACCTGCGAAACAGAAGACAATCGTGTCGAATGCTGGTTTAATTCTTGAACAGGCGGCTAAGAAAGAGCAAGATTTAAATGAAAATGCGTACGTTTATAGGAAAGGAACAATACCGCCTTCGAGGCAAATGTTTTATCAGGTATATTATAATTTTTAGTGGTATCATAAAATGATACTTAGTATCTGACATTTTTATCAGTATTGCGACGTTCTGGTGGATGAAATACAAGAGATGTTAGCAAAGTTACCAGACCCTGTACCTGGTGCAAGGTGCCATGAGAAACGAGGGTGGTTACCAGGTGGTTTTGATGTACAGTGTAGAGAAATTATTAATAAACAAGTTCGAGCTGTTTTAAGAAAGCAAATGAATATACCTGAAGATCGTACGTGCAACGTTTTTTAAAAAAAATATTATCGTACAAAACTTATTGCTGGAAAATAAAACTAACATCGTATTTATTTTGCAGATCCTACGTCTTTGCCTCGAAAGCGTGGAATTAACATGAAGCGTAATATACTTGATAGTAGAGAAAGAAAAAGGAAAAGAGACTCGGTTACCAGTACTGCTGTTACGACAGAGGGAAACTCGTGATTTAAGTTAAATAGCATTACTTTTTCTATATAATTTATCAAATTTCACAAATAAATTTGACTTTCTTAGTACCTAAAGTTAAAGTTTATTAAAAAATGTACAGAATTTATTTTCCAAACCTCTACTAATAAATATGTTTACATTGCTGATTACTAATTTAATTGAAATGTTGGAAACATTATTAAATTCTGTTTTTCTTTTTAAAAATGAGTGCAGGTAGAGTGCAGCGACGAGACACGTTCCAATAAAACCAATTAATGAATAGTTTTATTACAGGTATCTCATAATGTTCTTTTCTTTTTTCTTTTTAGATATTAGGAATATAATTTTATTCTCTTTTCTGCACTTAATAATTTTAAGGAACCAATTTACATTTAAATAATAGGAACAAATTTAGATCAGTGTTTTTCTTTTTCTTGTTTTCTTATTTGACTCGCATCTCGTCTGAACTGCAATAGAAACAGATAGGACAAGTGCCGATGACGCAGATTATTTATCTACTATGTCTTTAGAGACGTAAGCCAGGATTGGTGCTGGCAACATAATTCAAAAGTTCTTCAGAATCCTCGCAGACGAATGGTTTCTGATGATAGCAGGCTACATCGTGCCAGCTAATTCCATCTTTGTACACGTTATTAAGGACAGACATGCAAGATTCGTTGGTGCCATTTATGTCGAACTCAGCATTGTCCGGTTGTCTGGCTTTCTTGTGACCGGTTTGCGACCATGGATTGAAGCTCCAACCTTCGGGATTCTGGTGAGTTGGCGCCATCTTCTTCCTGTTCGCGGACCAGAACCATCCATAGAGAGCTTTGGGCTCGAGGTCACGGCGATTTTCACAACCTTTGAAATCGCACAGCCGGCCGGATGTCCAAATGTACGGAACATCATCTACACGAAGAATTATTTATCAATACACACTAAACTTAGTTTCCATAAAATCTGTTAAACCTCTGTCTAATAACAGAGAAAAGTTTCAAAGAGCATAATTTGAAAACTGATCATTTAAATGATTTACTTTGTTGAATAAGTCTGAAAATTAAGTTGTTCTCATCCTGAGTCTCCAGTGATATAAGATCCATACAGTATTCTCTGCAAATGTTTCTTGCATCTAACCAATCCACCCTTTGATTAGCATGGGCTGGAACATGTCCACTGTAGAAATAATGGTGACCTCTATAGTTGAATTCCTTTGGTCCTGTCGCAACGAACAAAAATTAATTTTAGTTCAATGACATTCAACAATTTTGACATTACCATGGATGATTTGATGATTTGATGAAATAAGGGGAAAAACTAGGCGAAAAGAACTAGGTTTAGTCGTCTGTATCGTACACATGTAATTGAAGCGAAACTACAGCCATGAGATGAGATTATCGTTTGCTTAAATGTCAACGGTCTCAATCATTTTCCCGGCATTATTATTTATGCAGGGACGCCGTTCTCATCGACGATTTACAACGTGTATCTCTCATTGTGAGAACCTAACGTTCTGATTGCGAAACTACTACTCATATCGAACGATGTTACAACTCGTCGCTGCCTCTGTTTTGAATATGTAGATTTCTTCAAACGTGTCATCGTGATTCTTACCATTTCAATTTACAATCTTTATGACCGTTGGATACATTTCAATTAGCAAACAAGGATTAACAGTTCATCGAAGAGTATTTCTCTTACAATTGATTATTAAAATAGTAAAATAAAAGCAATAATAATTGCTTGTTAATTAATCATGCGTTGATTAAAGACGCAAATTCTCTCTATTGAAATCGACGATGCCTTGCGGTAACACGATGAAGAAGAAGCATCATGAGTCTGAAATTACGACATAGTACAAACAACTCGTGATTCTGGTTGCTAGAATAAGTTTAACGAAGCGTCTATGGGGAAGGGAGAGAATTATTGCAGCGACATCAGTGTTGCTGAATAACCATAGCCTTGAACATTTGACATTTAGCATCTCCTCAGATTAAAAAGTATCTTTGTTTCTTTCGATCTTTCATTATTATTATTATTATGCTCTTCCCTCTTTTTATAAACAATTAGTTTACATTTTTCTGCAAGAATGCTGATTTCCATTACTGGAATTGTTTTAAATTTTGTTTCCACAGAACCCACTAAACAAGTTTTAAAGACTGATAGACCTCACCTTACTAGTTATGGGTCAAATATAATAAGTAGTGACAAGTTCCATTGATTTTTTTGCCAGAAGAAAGTGTGCTGTGTACTCTCACTTAGCAGCAAGTTTATGGTCTTTTTGTGTATTCTAAACACAAATCTACTAGAGATTTATCTACAGACTTTCTCGACTCTTACAGAGAAACCCTCGTCTAATGGAAAATTAGATATGTATTGATTTATACACATTTTTATAACTTTCATAGGAAGATAAGATGAAGTTGAAATAAAATTTCAGCTTCAGGAATTCATTTAGCTCTTCAAATATAAACCTTGTACATATGCACACACGACGTTCTATCGGGATAACTGTATTTGAGAAGTTCATTGAAGTTAATCTAACGGGTTTAGAAAACGTCTGAGAATAACAAAGCGTCGTTCTTTGTGATTATATCATCTTCTTGCAATTAGAAGTTTTCTCTGTTTTCATCCGTTCGAACGTTTGCACATAATTGCAAGAACAGCTAGCCTCTCTCCTTCGCTTACATACTCGTAATTTACGATCGTTATATCATCGTTCATTAAACATTTATGCGCCTTTAGGCACTGCATACTTCGCCATTGTGTCAAGGAACTTCTAAGGATGATCGCCTCAATGGTATGCACAAATCAAACCCTGCAACGGTTAGACAGAGTTTATTATTTCTTTCACAAATAATGTGAACAACTTGGTAACCGTAGGAAATAAACTTCCTAACTTGCAATGGTACAATTTTATAGCCCTATAAAATTAAGATACAAAAACCATCGCCCTGAGCAATTAAGCCACTCCTCAATGGGCAGCAGGTAGCCAGGGGGCAAGGCGGTAAAGTGTAACAACTTTCAGATATCTCAAATGAAAAAGAAAGTTATTGGAAGAAAGTGGATAGTCTTCCTACTTATTTTAATAGCTTTTGATGTCACTGTTCTACCCACAAAGAACACGAATGACCCAGACCTATATACATCATTTATACCTATCGTGATGGCAAATGCAAATCAAATCATAGATTAAAAATTCAAAGAAAAATAAATAGCAACACCTCGACTTTGAAGCAACTAATACTGAATCAAATTGAATAACGAATGATGGAATAATTTGTTATTTATGTAACAAAAAGAAAAAGTTGGGAGGAACGATTCAAATGACAACATAAAACTGGCATTTGCAGAATTCTCAAGTGCTTCTTCGGCCAGGTAGAAGAAGAAGTATCAAAGGAATGGAAAGCTTTCGCTTTCACGTGTCACGGCCTGCACGTGTTCCGCACTCGGGAATAACGTCATCCCAAAGGTTTTAAGAAAGCGACAAATGTTTAATTTATGCGTACGAGACGGTTAATATTTGCAAATGAATGTACGATGTATATCTCGTGAAAGAAGAAAAGAAAGTGCACGCCTCGTGCGACTTATTTTCGCTCCATTTTTAAGGACTCGGCAAACAGAATCTTCGATACAATTACACTTGTTAAACACGTCGAATAAACGAATATTTATTTTTAATAAAGATCGAATAAAAAGAAGAAAAATGTTATTCATTATTAACAACAAATACCTCAAGAAAACCGTGTGGATTACAGAGTTCGCGATGAAACCGTCGACATTGAGTAAACAAATGATTTGATCAAAAGGTGTGATCGGAGGAAAATGAAAGTCAGGTAGGAGGTGAAACTTCTCGCCACAGGGGTCAACAGGTCGACACCATAAGTCCCGTATTCGAGGATAATGAGTTTCCTCTTTTTTTTTTCTTCGCGGTATTTCTCCGTAATTATTTTTCATTTTAATTAAAAGTATACAAATGTCTGAACAGAAACGCATTATCATTTGACGTGATGAATTAAAAGTCGTATAGAAAGTAGGTTTCTCATAGGCTTGGATTTAACTTAACAGTTAAAGACTAACAGCATTGTATAGGTGAATAACGAGCGTCAGGAATGGAATTATCTTGGTGTAACAACGATGTTTCGTTTCGCAACAATTCCTGACATTTTCGTAGCGACGAAACATCGGCCTTTTGTGATGTTGTCAGTCAGACAACCATACAAACTACATGTTGTAACTATCGGATGATCATTTAACGGCAAAATCATTAATCGAGCGATTCTCCTTGGTATCACGAAGGTTGAAAAAAAATCTTGATTAAATGGTGTTTAAGACATCAAGGTCCTCGGTCAGTTTTAATGGATTACCTGTTCATTCTTCGTTCGTTTAAAGGTCACATCATCCTTCATAATTATAAAATGCATAAGCGGTGAGATAAAAACGTAAGCATCATTACCGGAAATTGAATTTTTAAAGTAATATATAAAAAGAATTATCTGCCTAGAATAAAACAAAATTAATTTAATTTATATTAACAAAATGTATGGAAAAGAACATTTTTTAACTAGAATTTGTTGCCATTTCAAAATCATATTTCAACAACAAAACTTAAATAATATGAATATGCATATATGCAGATGGATACAGTATTATCCAATGGGATGTTTTTTTATGGAAATTTATATCCATAAATTATAAATAAATTGTAGGTAGAACCCTTTGGTGTTGACATAACCAGATAGATTTAGAATCTTTTAAGAGGAAGAATTTATTCACTGATAGAAGATTCTTCTTTTTATTGCCAAACACATCCAATTACATATCTGAGTTAGAACTTCATAAATGTGTGTTGTAAAACAACCAATATATTAGCAATTCAATGTATCACCAATTTGCATATATCATATATTATTATTCTAAAAATTTTCAAATTAATAGGCACTATTTTTCAAATTAATATCTCCATCGCATGTTTGAAAGAAAAAACAAAACAGTTAAAAATTTACTAAGATCATGTAACTACTACATTATAAATAAGTTAAACAATTTCTCCTTATAAAGTATAATATAATGTAGGTCTTTATTGTTCAGATTGGTGGATCTCTTCATTAACTTTCTAACAGCTCGTCCTTAAGGCTGATACAAGTGGATGTGCCTTGCATTTTTTACTTTCACCCAGCACCCGATTCTCATAAATTTTATTTCGAAACAAGTTACGTTTATTACCACACAGACAGCAGAGATGTTACCCAGAATAAAGGAGATGAAACAAACGAAGAATGTGAACCGGATGAACATTAACCACTTAAGATCCCTGTTTAAAAGCATGTCAACGTAATATTACGTACCTGGACGTTAAGTGGTTAAATTAGAACAACACAGATTCTGTATTAATGATACTAGCATACTAGCACTAATAATACTACTAGCATATGATTACATAAAAAGTAAGGAAAAAATATCTTCAGCCCTTTTGATTAACAAGGCTGACTATCCATCCAATCGTAAACGCTACTTAGGTGACTTAAATGACCCAACGATTAAAGCACGCGTGTTTGTCACGTGATTCAACTGAAACTGAAACGAGTGGAAGGCGTCCCGGAAGTCGAATGCCGAATTTTTAATCGTTTAGTTTAGATCATGCAAACATAGAGACAGATTACAAAATCATGTAAAACTTCTTGATCTCTTTTTTAACAAGTCTTACAAACGAACAGATGGAAACAATAGAACGATGTACAAACAGAGGGGAAAGAAAATAAATGAAATCAGTGTTCGTTTCGTAATGGTGTTTCCATGCTAATCTTGGAAGGAGACTAGACATCCTGGCATCTCGACGTTGAATTCTAAATCTGAGAAAGTGCATCGAAGATGCGATACCCTACTCTTGCAATCCTCACTACGGACTTATTAACAACCGGCTAACCAACCAGTAAGCACCCACCGTCAAAAGTGAACACAACCGACTAAGTGCTTGCACAAGAGGTAAGGTAACTATCTGTTGCACGTTTAAAAATGTATGATGTGAGATTGCGAGAGAGGCTTCTTTAACGTGTATCAGAGACGGTTTAACCTCGATTTCTTTCAGCAACCACAGGAGAACGTGCCAGGGCATTTAAATATCCTGGATTCGCGGAAGAACGTCTTGTTTTGTTCCCTCCCATAGATATCATTGTTTTCTACCATTACAAATCCTCCACTACTAAAACACTGCTTATACATCGAATAATTATTGTTAATCGTGGAAATGTTAGATTTGTGAGAAATAAAGAATAATTTAATATTCTATTTTCCTTTGAAAAATTTGCCAATATCCAGTAAGAGTATAGCGTGTTTTCCGAAGCGACTTTAGCACAATTCTAGAGAACTTAAAACGTGGGAATTCCACGATTTTGAAAGAAAAATTCTACTTACGATTTGCACATTTCTGCGGTATAGGAAGAGAAAGGAATCTTCCTGGTCGATTAGATTGCGGCCGAATTTCATTTATTGCTGGCTGAGCGTTTACGAATGCCGTGAACAATACCACGGCCAGAGGCACCAAAATCATCTAAAGAAATAAAATAATTATTAGAAGATACTATCTGTAAAAAGAGAAATTTTTCTGTTTCTTTTCTGTTAAGAAAAATTCTTAACTTAAGTTCACTAAATTTGAAATTTATTAATTATATTAATTTACTATAACGAGTTAATTTGAGATTCTTTTCATTTATTTTTCTAAGTATTACATAAATATGCCCCCCACCCTGTCTCCCTGAAATTGTTTTTTATATCACAGATACTTGACATTGATGGAAAAAAAAAAATTCCCTTTTTTCCTCAACACTCACCTTGTTTCACTTGTTTCTTTCGCCTTTCTCTTAATAAACACCGAGATGAACGAAGAGGTCGCCGTTTAAAGAAACGTGGTCACTGATAGGATTATGGAGAGACGGGCACCTCGCTGACGATTATATAGAAATAGTCCCCACCATGACAGAAACTCATCCCACCCTAAGTTACAAGGACTCATCTAGACTCTTCTTTACTTGTGACCTTAGTCACAAATTGATTTAACAACTCTGATTTATAATTATTTCAGTTTTACCGGAACCTTGCATGCTTATATTTCTACAACGCAAATCTGAAAACAATTTCTCATTTTACTTTTTCACATTTGATTAAACCTAACGTGTTGAACGTCGTCATGGGGGTCAATGATGATCCGTATCACAAGTTTAATATAATCAAGTAACTGAAAAATGAGAGGAATTAAAAAAAATTTTGAATATAATTAATTTTGTAAGGTAGAAAGTTTGATTTAATTACCGATAGTCTCGTAGGGTCATTCCCCGCGTCAAACGGTAATATACAAATTTCAGATTGAAATGATTATCTGCATCTTGTTGCTTCTTCATGGATAACCTTGAGAATGCATCACGTGTTAACTTTCACCATGGTAATCGAAGATACTGACAGGAATAGGCGGTAATCAATGTCAATTGCACTGCAACTCCTTATTCAGATTAGCTTCATTGTTCTACCTTTTATGGAACATAATCGGACATTTGGGGCAAGCTTGTCCCAGTTTCCCATGATGCATAGAAATCTATGGATGATTGGACTTGATGTTACAATTTGAGAAATATGATTTGCTACTGTTATCTTATTAATTAAATTGAGTCAGCATGTTCACCGACAGGGTATGAGAAGTGGGTCGGTCGCTGTGTGCCATAATGTTCAAGAATTAACGATAAAACACGTGATATCGCGTGATCGGACATTTGGCATCGATCTAGCACGTGATAACGAATGTATTAAAAAATTTAGTAAAACTATATATTGCATAGAGTATATTACGCTGTTCTATAAGAATATTTAAGAATTGCAATAATTTAAAAACTAATTTTTTGGGACCCTTTTATGTTGACCCAAGTTTGCCCTAGAATCTGCCCTGTGTGACTGTCCAAGGATTAAGAATTATGAGCTTGACCATAATTACAGGCTGCTAGTAAGAGATAAAGGACTATTCTCAGTAAATAGGCAATCTACAAAAGGGCAAGGAGAGAAAAGGAATATTTGATATTAAACAATCAGCATATAATCACGGTACCGTACCATCTTCTTGTACATGCATAAGTCCATTTTTTCCACGAGGCGTGTATAATGCAATCGGTGTCCACAACTACATAGACTAAGTGTGGCGCTGCTAAACGTTGCATTTTCTCACATTCAGGCATACTGATGATAAGTTTCTCACAGACTTATGTAAGTACCGTGTCCCAGACCAGAAGGTACGATCGCGTGCAAACTTACACTTCCTTTAGTTAAGGAGAAGTGTAAGAGAAGTACAATTCTAGGCTAGGGTCTCCCTTGGTTCACCTCTCTCTCTTTCCCCTTATCCAACAGAAACCTCGTTGCACTTAAATGTATCTCTGCATATTTTCTATATTCAAAAAAAGGCAATTAGAATTTTGCAGTAAGGCTACGGTATCTAACCCTAAGTTCGAGTTACGTTAACAATAGATATTATAAAAATTTCAATTACAGACGTAGGAAGAGTAAAACTAGATATATAAATTTTATATAACTTTGAAATATTAATAAGAACGTGAAACTTAAAGATGGACACGGAACTAAAGGGACTAGAATATTAATGTCTAGGCTATATTGCTCATTGTCAATCTAAGAAATGCCATTGTCAAGGAAAACTGCTCATTATTATCGATCCTTAGTTACATTAACGGTTATGACAAGACCTTGGTCAATTATTAATAGATCCACTAATATCCTTCTAGGTAATATGTAGAAGAGTCGCTTCACAACCCTCCTCCGTCTAGCGAGGATTCTAAGGTATTTGCTAATAAGGCAGTAAAAAGAATTTTTCTATTTAATCTGTTTTACTTTCTTTGAAGAAAGCAGAAATACAGGGTAGGAGGGGGGTGATCGTAGCAATGAAAAGACCATGGTTGGTTACATTTCGTCGTCCATTTGCACATTTGCTGCACCTTTTCTATTTGCGCATCAACGATGAAGCTGACCTAACATGGTCTGCATACACCTTTGTCAAACCCCATAGTTTAGCTTCTAATGTTTTAGATCCGTGATTAGCTCCGTGTCCGTGTCCTCGTTAGTTTCACGGGCTTCTATACCCACGCCTACTCCATTTATGATTGTCTTCGAGATCCCCCACCTGCTGTTTCGTCTGCTCGAAGGCCTTCAGGGATCGCGGTTGCAAATGCGATCAGTGTAATTAGGGTGCTATAGTTGAGTATGCAACAACATTCTATCTACTATGGTATACTGAAAAAAGACACCATCCTGTTATAACATGATTATTCCATCAAATGCTCACAGATGACGACACCTGGCCGGAATTTAAAATGTCTCACTCTGTTTGACCCGCAGAGTTTCGGGTTCCCTATTCCAGATATGAGAATAGTCGTTATATGAAAAGATTTATTTTGGACATCGTGGAACCAGGAATGTTTTTCTCCAACGTGCAGTAAAAGTGTTGAGTGTAATGATCAATACTCTAAAACCCCACGTTCTGAATTACCGACATAACTTAAAACCTTATTTCCGTCAGCTGCTTTACTGCGCGCTCTACGATTCTAAAGCGTAAGTTTAAATGGAACTACAGTGGGTAAGACGACCGGGAATAATTGGATACTACACGAATACCGCTGGTATGAACGAGATAATTGCATTTACATGTATAAAACTCGCAGCCATTTGCTCATATTGTTCATAATAGAATAATTAATAAATTATATGATAATACCTTCTTTATACATAAGTCACCTAACAACTGAACGTCTATAAATGATTAGTAATTATATTATGATCAATATGATTGCCCAGGTCTCACCACGTGGAGGTTGCCGCGACTGGAGACCCGCCCGATCCGCGCGCCCATCCACCCTTCCTTTTACAAATAAAAAAAAAAAATGTACTATAATACAACCAAATGTACTGTAATACACTTTTTCAGTCTTACTCCATTTGTTGCACAGTTACACAACGTACGACCCATATACGTTCTGTAAATGTTATACAAATGGATATGTCAACTAGCCTACCCGTAAGCGGTACTAATTATGAATAGACCTCAATATGAATCCTGAAAACACATAAAACCATTATGATACTGACAAAAAGTATCCATAAGGGGAACAACACACAAAACCATTATGATACTGACAAAAAGTATGCATAATGGGAACAACACACAAAACCATTATGATACTGACAAAAAGTATGCATAATGGGAACAACACACAAAACCATTATGATACTGACAAAAAGTATCCATAATGGGAACAACACACAAAACCATTATGATACTGACAAAAAGTATGCATAATGGGAACAACACACAAAACCATTATGATACTGACAAAAAGTATGCATAATGGGAATAACACACAAAACCATTATGATACTGACAAAAAGTATCCATAATGGGAACAACACACAAAACCATTATGATACTGACAAAAAGTATGCATAATGCGAACAACACACAAAACCATTATGATACTGACAAAAAGTATCCATAATGGGAACAACACACAAAACCATTATGATACTGACAAAAAGTATGCATAATGGGAACAACACACAAAACCATTATGATACTGACAAAAAGTATCCATAATGGGAACAACACACAAAACCATTATGATACTGACAAAAAGTATGCATAATGGGAACAACACACAAAACCATTATGATACTGACAAAAAGTATCCATAATGGGAACAACACACAAAACCATTATGATACTGACAAAAAGTATCCATAATGGGAACATCACACAAAACCATTATGATACTGACAAAAAGTATCCATAATGGGAACAACACACAAAACCATTATGATACTGACAAAAAGTATCCATAATGGGAACAACACACAAAACCATTATGATACTGACAAAAAGTATGCATAATGGGAACAACACACAAAACCATTATGATACTGACAAAAAGTATCCATAATGGGAACAACACACAAAACCATTATGATACTGACAAAAAGTATGCATAATGGGAACAACACACAAAACCATTATGATACTGACAAAAAGTATCCATAATGGGAACAACACACAAATCCCACCGGTGAGAAAATCAGAACAAATCCACCAACATTGTTAACATTTTACCTTCAAATTCACAAGAAATGAACCATACATTCCAGTCACGTGACCGTTCCTACCTAACTAGAAAGCTAAAGGTACAAATCAATCCTTTATTCAATGTACATTGAATCCTCCCTAACTAGATGCTAAACCATTTTCAACAATCGTTTCCACACTCAACCTGCCTACATAAAAAGCTAAGATACAACCTCAGGGCAATAATAATACCGTTTTACCAATTTCAAAATTTCGTACAAACCATTGTGTTTTACAGCTTAAATCCTCCCTAACTAGAAGCTAAGAAATAATTCCAACGTTGTTATTCAACAACACTTCTTCGACACTGCCAATAAGGAATGCAACACCATCAAACGAAATGACAAAGGCGATACAAGAGACAGCAAAAACAGGAGCAAAACAAGAACCAATAAACTCTTCGCGTTCACGATCATCCGCGTTCGATATTTCTCTAATCTGAAACAAACAAACACACGCACATACATATGTTAATAATATGATGAAATACCATACATCTGAATTCCTGAAACACACAAAAATAAGTATTAAAAAGGGAGAAAAATAAAAAAACAACTGAAATAAAATAGAAATAGATACTTGTTTTTTTTGCTACTACCACTGTCTCCTGTGCTGTCATCGATGATTCTGTAACATCCACTTCTATTCTGCTATGTTCTCTTCTATTCTGCTGCACTCGCTTCTGTTCCGCAGCTTCCTCTTCCGTTCTGTAGCTTCGACTTCTCTTCTGTAATATCCCCGCTTCCTTCGCTGACCCTAATACAGATCTCAGAAATAAATCTCCGCCAAAGACTACACCATGACATCTGCGATAGCTGCTGCGTCCTATGCCTCCTTTCGCTTACCTATGGAGCTTCCCCTCTTTCCTCTCCTTTCCTCTTTTTTCCACCTCTTTCCTCTTCCACCGTGTTCTCCACCATATTCTAGCATTTTTCTTCTTTTCCGTCTCCTGCTTCACTCCTTCAGAGCGTACTCTTCTCCACTGCAGCATCCTAACCACTTCTCTCTTCTCCGTTGGTCTTCTATCGTCAGCTCTTTTCCTCTGATGCCGCCGCTTTCTCTTCTCCTATGGAGCTTCGCCTCTTCTTTCTTCTTCTTGCTTCTTCCGTTCTGTAGCTTCCACTTCTCTTCTGTAATATCCCCGCTTCCTTCGCTGACCCTAAAACAGATATCAGAAATAAATCTTCGCCAAAGACTACACCATGACATCTGCAAACTTCGCTGCTGCGTCCCATGCCTCCTTTCGCTTACCTATGGAGCTTCCCCTCTTTCCTCTTCTTTCCTCTTTTTTCCACCTCTTTCCTCTTCCACCGAGTTCTCCTCCATATTCCAGCATTTGTCTTCTTTCTGTCTCCTGCTTCCCCCGTTCAGAGCGTACTCTTCTCCACTGCAGCATACTAACCACTTCTCTCTTCTCCGTTGGTCTTCTATCTTCAGCTCTTCTCCTCTGAACCCATCGCTTTCTTCTGCTTTGCTGCTTTCTCTTCTCCCCTGGGACATCCCCTTCATTCTTCTTCTGCGACAGTCTCCTTTCCTCTGCACCATGCGACGTTGCGAATGTGCCACGGTCTTCGACAACAAATACCGATAGAACTCGGATAAAGGAATCTCATCATTAATAACCGACATCCGCGAAAAAACCGGAGCGCTCCGCCAAGCTGCAAACCGTGGCGGCGAGCTCAAAGCGGAGCGCAAACCGGGGGCCATTTTAGGCAGTCGAAGACCGTGTTCTCCTCCATATTCCGGCATTTTTCTTCTTTCTGTCTCCTGCTTCTCCCGTTCAGAGCGTACTCTTCACCACTGCAGCATCCTAACCACTTCTCTCTTCCCCGTTGGTCTTCTATCTTCAGCTCTTCTCCTCTGAACCCATCGCTTTCTTCTGCTTTGCTGCTTTCTCTTCTCCCCTGGGACATCCCCTTCATTCTTCTTCTGCGACAGTCTCCTTTCCTCTGCACCATGCGACGTTGCGAATGTGCCACGGTCTTCGACAACAAATACCGATAGAACTCGAATAAAGGAATCTCATCATTAATAACCGACATCCGCGAAAAAACCGGAGCGCTCCGCCAAGCTGCAAACCGTGGCGGCGAGCTCAAAGCGGAGCGCAAACCGGGGGCCATTTTAGGCAGTCGAAGACCGTGTTCTCCTCCATGTTCCGGCATTTTTCTTCTTTCTGTCTCCTGCTTCTCCCGTTCAGAGCGTACTCTTCACCACTGCAGCATCCTAACCACTTCTCCCTTCTCCGTTGGTCTTCTATCTTCAGCTCTTCTCCTCTGAACCCATCGCTTTCTTCTGCTTTGCTGCTTTCTCTTCTCCCCTGGTACATCCCCATCATTCTTCTTCTGCGACAGTCTCTTTTCCTCTGCACCATGCGACGTTGCGAATATGCCACGGTCTTCGACAACAAATACCGATAGAACTCGAATAAAGGAATCTCATCATTAATAACCGACATCCGCGAAAAAACCGGAGCGCTCCGCCAAGCTGCAAACCGTGGCGGCGAGCTCAAAGCGGAGCGCAAACCGGGGGCCATTTTAGGCAGTCGAAGACCGTGTTCTCCTCCATGTTCCGGCATTTTTCTTCTTTCTGTCTCCTGCTTCTCCCGTTCAGAGCGTACTCTTCACCACTGCAGCATCCTAACCACTTCTCCCTTCTCCGTTGGTCTTCTATCTTCAGCTCTTCTCCTCTGAACCCATCGCTTTCTTCTGCTTTGCTGCTTTCTCTTCTCCCCTGGTACATCCCCATCATTCTTCTTCTGCGACAGTCTCTTTTCCTCTGCACCATGCGACGTTGCGAATATGCCACGGTCTTCGACAACAAATACCGATAGAACTCGAATAAAGGAATCTCATCATTAATAACCGACATCCGCGAAAAAACCGGAGCGCTCCGCCAAGCTGCAAACCGTGGCGGCGAGCTCAAAGCGGAGCGCAAACCGGGGGCCATTTTAGGCAGTCGAAGACCGTGTTCTCCTCCATGTTCCGGCATTTTTCTTCTTTCTGTCTCCTGCTTCTCCCGTTCAGAGCGTACTCTTCACCACTGCAGCATCCTAACCACTTCTCCCTTCTCCGTTGGTCTTCTATCTTCAGCTCTTCTCCTCTGAACCCATCGCTTTCTTCTGCTTTGCTGCTTTCTCTTCTCCCCTGGTACATCCCCATCATTCTTCTTCTGCGACAGTCTCTTTTCCTCTGCACCATGCGACGTTGCGAATATGCCACGGTCTTCGACAACAAATACCGATAGAATTCGAATAAAGGAATCTCATCATTAATAACCGACATCCGCGAAAAAACCGGAGCGCTCCGCCAAGCTGCAAACCGTGGCGGCGAGCTCAAAGCGGAGCGCAAACCGGGGGCCATTTTAGGCAGTCGAAGACCGTGTTCTCCTCCATGTTCCGGCATTTTTCTTCTTTCTGTCTCCTGCTTCTCCCGTTCAGAGCGTACTCTTCACCACTGCAGCATCCTAACCACTTCTCTCTTCCCCGTTGGTCTTCTATCTTCAGCTCTTCTCCCCTGGGACATCCCCTTCATTCTTCTTCTGCGACAGTCTCCTTTCCTCTGCACCATGCGACGTTGCGAATGTGCCACGGTCTTCGACAACAAATACCGATAGAACTCGAATAAAGGAATCTCATCATTAATAACCGACATCCGCGAAAAAACCGGAGCGCTCCGCCAAGCTGCAAACCGTGGCGGCGAGCTCAAAGCGGAGCGCAAACCGGGGGCCATTTTAGGCAGTCGAAGACCGTGTTCTCCTCCATGTTCCGGCATTTTTCTTCTTTCTGTCTCCTGCTTCTCCCGTTCAGAGCGTACTCTTCACCACTGCAGCATCCTAACCACTTCTCCCTTCTCCGTTGGTCTTCTATCTTCAGCTCTTCTCCTCTGAACCCATCGCTTTCTTCTGCTTTGCTGCTTTCTCTTCTCCCCTGGTACATCCCCATCATTCTTCTTCTGCGACAGTCTCTTTTCCTCTGCACCATGCGACGTTGCGAATATGCCACGGTCTTCGACAAATACCGATAGAACTCGAATAAAGGAATCTCATCATTAATAACCGACATCCGCGAAAAAAACGGAGCGCTCCGCCAAGCTGCAAACCGTGGCGGCGAGCTCAAAGCGGAGCGCAAACCGGGGGCCATTTTAGGCAGTCGAAGACCGTGTTCTCCTCCATGTTCCGGCATTTTTCTTCTTTCTGTCTCCTGCTTCTCCCGTTCAGAGCGTACTCTTCACCACTGCAGCATCCTAACCACTTCTCCCTTCTCCGTTGGTCTTCTATCTTCAGCTCTTCTCCTCTGAACCCATCGCTTTCTTCTGCTTTGCTGCTTTCTCTTCTCCCCTGGTACATCCCCATCATTCTTCTTCTGCGACAGTCTCTTTTCCTCTGCACCATGCGACGTTGCGAATATGCCACGGTCTTCGACAACAAATACCGATAGAACTCGAATAAAGGAATCTCATCATTAATAACCGACATCCGCGAAAAAACCGGAGCGCTCCGCCAAGCTGCAAACCGTGGCGGCGAGCTCAAAGCGGAGCGCAAACCGGGGGCCATTTTAGGCAGTCGAAGACCGTGTTCTCCTCCATGTTCCGGCATTTTTCTTCTTTCTGTCTCCTGCTTCTCCCGTTCAGAGCGTACTCTTCACCACTGCAGCATCCTAACCACTTCTCCCTTCTCCGTTGGTCTTCTATCTTCAGCTCTTCTCCTCTGAACCCATCGCTTTCTTCTGCTTTGCTGCTTTCTCTTCTCCCCTGGTACATCCCCATCATTCTTCTTCTGCGACAGTCTCTTTTCCTCTGCACCATGCGACGTTGCGAATATGCCACGGTCTTCGACAACAAATACCGATAGAATTCGAATAAAGGAATCTCATCATTAATAACCGACATCCGCGAAAAAACCGGAGCGCTCCGCCAAGCTGCAAACCGTGGCGGCGAGCTCAAAGCGGAGCGCAAACCGGGGGCCATTTTAGGCAGTCGAAGACCGTGTTCTCCTCCATGTTCCGGCATTTTTCTTCTTTCTGTCTCCTGCTTCTCCCGTTCAGAGCGTACTCTTCACCACTGCAGCATCCTAACCACTTCTCTCTTCCCCGTTGGTCTTCTATCTTCAGCTCTTCTCCCCTGGGACATCCCCTTCATTCTTCTTCTGCGACAGTCTCCTTTCCTCTGCACCATGCGACGTTGCGAATGTGCCACGGTCTTCGACAACAAATACCGATAGAACTCGAATAAAGGAATCTCATCATTAATAACCGACATCCGCGAAAAAACCGGAGCGCTCCGCCAAGCTGCAAACCGTGGCGGCGAGCTCAAAGCGGAGCGCAAACCGGGGGCCATTTTAGGCAGTCGAAGACCGTGTTCTCCTCCATGTTCCGGCATTTTTCTTCTTTCTGTCTCCTGCTTCTCCCGTTCAGAGCGTACTCTTCACCACTGCAGCATCCTAACCACTTCTCCCTTCTCCGTTGGTCTTCTATCTTCAGCTCTTCTCCTCTGAACCCATCGCTTTCTTCTGCTTTGCTGCTTTCTCTTCTCCCCTGGTACATCCCCATCATTCTTCTTCTGCGACAGTCTCCTTTCCTCTGCACCATGCGACGTTGCGAATATGCCACGGTCTTCGACAACAAATACCGATAGAACTCGAATAAAGGAATCTCATCATTAATAACCGACATCCGCGAAAAAACCGGAGCGCTCCGCCAAGCTGCAAACCGTGGCGGCGAGCTCAAAGCGGAGCGCAAACCGGGGGCCATTTTAGGCAGTCGAAGACCGTGTTCTCCTCCATATTCCGGCATTTTTCTTCTTTCTGTCTCCTGCTTCTCCCGTTCAGAGCGTACTCTTCACCACTGCAGCATCCTAACCACTTCTCTCTTCCCCGTTGGTCTTCTATCTTCAGCTCTTCTCCCCTGGGACATCCCCTTCATTCTTCTTCTGCGACAGTCTCCTTTCCTCTGCACCATGCGACGTTGCGAATGTGCCACGGTCTTCGACAACAAATACCGATAGAACTCGAATAAAGGAATCTCATCATTAATAACCGACATCCGCGAAAAAACCGGAGCGCTCCGCCAAGCTGCAAACCGTGGCGGCGAGCTCAAAGCGGAGCGCAAACCGGGGGCCATTTTAGGCAGTCGAAGACCGTGTTCTCCTCCATATTCCGGCATTTTTCTTCTTTCTGTCTCCTGCTTCTCCCGTTCAGAGCGTACTCTTCACCACTGCAGCATCCTAACCACTTCTCTCTTCTCCGTTGGTCTTCTATCTTCAGCTCTTCTCCTCTGAACCCATCGCTTTCTTCTGCTTTGCCCGCTTCCTCTTCTCCCCTGGGACATCCAATTCATTCTTCTTCTGCGACAGTCTCTTTTCTTCTGCACCATGCGACGTTGCGAATGTGCCACCGTCGTCAATAACAAATACCGATAGAATCCGAGTAAAGAAATCTCAGCGTTAATACCCGATATCCGCGAATAAACCGGAGCGCTCCGCCAAGCTGCGAACCTTGGCGGCGAGCTCAAAGCGGAGCGCGAACCGGAACCATTTTACGCAGTCGAAGACGTTCTCTTTCGTCCTGGTTTCCGGGCGCGACACGTTGGTACGGTTCAGCCGTACCGCAAATGCAAATTTTCGCAAAACAGCTCGAATGCTTTGATCAAAATTAGAAATATGAAATTAAAATTGATTAACGGTGGCACAGACGCGCCCTTTTAGTCGCCTTTTACGACAAGCAGGGATACTATGGGCGTATTCTACTTCCCCCCGCCCATAGGGGGTGATTTCAGACGATAACAAATACAAAACAAATGATACCATACAAATGTACAATACAATACAGGCAAAACACAATAAAATGCATTTTTTAATTATATTATTAGATAATATCATTTTCTTTTATCGATGAATAGGAAATGATCAGGGTTGGGTTATCATAGGAAGTTATTCGTCGATGAAGGTTTATTTTGTTTCGTCATTGTTAAAATTTACTTGAATGCAATAATTTAAAAAATTATGTAAATAGGAAGCTAATGAAAAATGATAAACAGATTAATGATAAAAATTATTTTAAAAAAAAAAGCGCGAGACTTTACTTGTTAATGAAGCAATCAATTTGATTTAAATGATTTAATTTAATTTAATTTAATTTAATTTAATTTAATTTAATTGGAAAGCGACATATAATATCAGTTCACAATGACGTACTTATAATTGATGACGTCATTATTAGACAAAATGTAATATAATTAGCAACTTAACATGTTCGCTACCAGAGTCACATGTATCTATCATAATATTTTGTATCATATGTTTTAAAACACCTGCAATTCAGAGTCTGTTACAAAATCCATAAAATAATATATAATAATATGCATAGTCTATAGTAATATTGCTTTGTTTTATATTATTTCATAATATAAGAAAAGAAATAGTCTATGATGGACGAATTTTTAATTAAATTCTATTACTGAACATGTTAAATTGATAACAGATATCTAGTGAGCATAGTGACTGTAAAAAGTAGTGAAAAAGATATTAATATGTACTTAGATCAGAATTTAAGGATGACTTTCCATAAAAAGATGGAAAGACATCCTTTCATGATGTGCGATGATGTCCCACGATGTCCCACGATGATCATCTTCTTTCTTCGACTACTCAATGAATCAGCTCAAAGATTCCATAAAGATGAGAAATATATTAAACATGAGTGTCACACACAACGACCAACTATTAAAAGAATAGCTGTCCGAAGCATACAACAAAAAAAAAGGAATTTTTGAACAGATGTCATTGAAGTAGTCCTTTTTCGTCCGGGCCTAGAGCCGCGGGCGAGCTTACATACTAGGTATAGACCAAGATTTAATCAAAATCAATTAACTAAAAAGAAATTGATTCCGATTATGCTACCCCAGGTGCAGACTTTTCACCGGACCTATAAGCCTACCCGAAAGAGAAATGTGATTGGTCTGCTTTCCTGGCCCTACCTACTTACATCTAAATCACACACACCAGAAGTAAGCTACCTGCCTGCCTATCCCTATATTTAAAAAAGCAAAACTCGTCCATTCCAACACACACACTCCACGGTTCTCACACACAACACTCGGGTGCAAGCCTACCCTAGAGAGAACGTCCCGAGACGCCTCCGTCACCCAAGCTTGTAACACACACATTTATACTTTATGTACGTACCATTTGCTGTAATCGACTGACAACGTAGCGTACATTGCGTTGTTATTAATATAATATTAATGTATTGTGTCATATAAAACTCTTATTGAAATGTAAAATTATTTATGCTATAATGCTGACTTTGAGTCATTCTCTTTTTTATAAAACTAAGTACAGTAATAATTAGTATTTCATTGATTTCAAAAAAGAATATGGTATTCAAATGGTATATTTCCTTCATATATTGTAAAATATTATTATGATTTTTATACATGAATCTTCTCAAACAAGTATCCATTCAATGTAATATGATTGTATGATATTATACATACAGTATGTAATATGGAACATATTGATTAGATATGTAATATATTTATCCTGTATGTATTTATATAAACTATTTAAGTTGAATAATAAAATCGACGTACATTTCACTAATTTAAACACACACACACATGTGAAACGTACATCGTGCACGATACGCTAATACGTTTGTCAGTCGCTGTAATATTACTTACTTCTAAAACCGTACCCACCACCCTTACCCATACAACGCACACCTGGGTTTGTTGATGAGCTCAGGCTAATAAGTAATGAATACGGGCAAAGAAATAATACACCTACCGTGTGAAGCTGAAAATCCTAAGCTAAAATGATAGATTAGTAGAATGTAAAGCTAACGGGCTGATAAACATTTTAATTTTGAAAGTAAATTATTCTGTATAACAGTCTCACATTAGAACTATGATTTTCTTTGAATTAATTAGATTGAACTTAATTAGAATAAAATATTAAAAAATGATTCTGTATGAAATACAATACTCCAATTATAAAAAACTCTAAACAAATTGCGTTTAATTATAGCAAAAAACAAATATGTAAAAAAATCACTCTACTTTAAGCAAAAATTGTATCTGTGGAAAATATAATTCAATAATTAATATACATGTAATACATCCTCGGCTGATTGCATGTCGAAGTAAATGATCTAAGTTACATCAAATGTACATTCGAAAATGTTACTTCGACGTTAGAATCTAACCGTCGCGAAATGTCTTCTTGCTCATAAAACATATTTAAATCGACAATATAATAATATACTGCATTGAAATATTATAGTATAATCAATGTATTGTAGCAAATGTACGTAATATTTACTGCATATAAAATATACAAACTTTATATACATTATCAAAATTTAAATTTCCTTTAATTAAAAAAATATTTTTAAAATTATATTTTATTTGTGAAATCGGAGGGTCATCCGACTTCTATTCCACAAACTATTTTTTAAAAAGAGACAAGAAGACCCTAGCCTGAACTAAGAAATATAACAATATAACAAACAAAAAAGATATGAATGGTATGTAACATATATACTCCATGAGTATACATTCACTCATGGGTCACTATGCTCACTTAAAATATGAATAAAATTTTTAATTCATGGGACTCACTGAACCGGTGAGCACCTATTGGGGGGAAGGTACAATAAACCCGGCGGATGGTGTCCTCGGCAAATGGTCTCCTCAGCAGATTGATGTTGTAGAGTATTGTAGTAGGTAGAGTATTGGCATATTGGCATTGGTTGATCATTCTCTAATTAAAAAACAATAGTATTACATTTGTGTATTATATTTTAAATTTACCATGATAATTTATTGTAACTACTTAATAATAAAAATTACATTTATTTTGATGAAGATTCATTTAATAATTTCATATCACGCTTGTGATGTTTTATTCTTTATTCGACTGCAATTCTGTAACAAAAAAGAATGATTTTTCACATATATACTTCAATGGTACATCATATATATTTAATCAATATATCAATATTTCAAAAAATCTCCCTATCCTCAAAACATAAATTTTTGAATATTTTTTTAATTTTAAATATTTTTTAATTCTTCAACATTAATCAAATTTGCATGCCTATTATATTATTAAACGTATCTATCACCGTATAAAAGTTAGTTCTGAATTGTGATAATGTAATAATCAACAAATACGAAAGCTTGAACAATGGCTGGAATAAGTGAGACATTTGAATTTCCCGCTATAAAGTATTGAAGATTATCGACGCCATATTGAAATAAAGTCAAGATTACTTTTCTCAACTTTATACACCAAAATATAGGAAACAAAGTATAAAAAACGAAAGATATTGACGGAATTTAAGAAATTATTGATATGAAAGCAGAATAAATGAAGAAAATGCTATTTTAATTCGTATTTATATCGGCGTAATAGTAAAAGACGAGAAAATCAATCATCACGATATATAACAACAAATTATGGGAAAAATGTACTAAAAACATGAAAAAATGCAATAATATTAGAGAAATTATTGATATAAAAAGAAAATAATTCAAATTCAGCTGTTCTAATTTCATTATGAATTCACGGCAAGAGCAAAAAATTTCATCTCACGTATTTTTTAAGAAAACGTCGAATTAATGTCAGAAAACAAAAACGTAGACTTCTCATCGGCTATTCTTTCTCTTTTTTGTAATTTCAACACCTGAAAGATAATTTATTTTAATGTTTGAAGATAATTTAACCTTACCTGTTGCAGACGCGTGTTAAGCAAACGAAGCTTCGAAGACGAATGACGCAATGCGCCACAAATCGACGCACTCGCTCACGCAGCGACGTGTCTGATTGGTCGAAATCAGAGGATGCCAACATGGACGACCAATCACAGCCGTTGATAGAAGTTTCAAAGTGCTTCGAAACTTTAACACTAATCGTAAGGGAAAGGTTCGTTAAAAATTATCAACGCCATATTGAAATAAAATCAAAATTACTTTTCTCAACTTTAAACACCAAAATATTGGAAACAGAGTACAGAAAACGAAAGATATTGACGGGATTTAAAAAATTATTGATATAAAAACAGAATAAATGAACAAAATTTTATTTTAATTCGTATCTATATCGACGTAATAGTAAAAAACGAGAAAATCAATTATCACGATATAAAACAATAAATTATGGGAAAAATATACTAAAAACATGCAAAAATGCAACAATATTTGAGAAATTATTGATATAAAGAGAAAATAATTCAAATTCTGTTGTTCTAGTTTCATTACGAATTCACAGCAAGAGCAAGAAATTCTATCTCATGTATTTTTGAAGAAAACGTCGAATTAATATCAAAAAACAAAAAGCTAGACTTCTCTTGGGCTATTCTTTCTCTTGTTTGTATTTTCAACACCCGAGAGACAATTTAATTTAATGTTTAAAAATAATTTGTCGTACCTGTTGCAGACACGTGCAGAACGAACGAAGCTTCGAAGAGAAATGCTGCACTGCGCCACAAGTCGACGCACTCATCCACACAGCGACGTATCTGATTGGTCGAAATGAGAGGATGCCAACATGGACGACCAATCACAGCCATTGGTAGAAGTTTCGAATTGCTTCGTATATAATGTTAATCGTAACGGAAACGTACATATAATAAATATCAAAGAAAAAATCGAATAATATACTTTCTTAGGAACACCCATCTTGTATTATCTTTTATTTTATTGTAATTATGTAATAAATAAACGGAAATATTACTTTAATAATGCTTTCCTATGTAGTGATTCTGCTAAAAAATATTTATCAATTATTTCAAATATGTTGAGACATTTACATATGTATTAACATTTACATATGTTTGTTAATACAATGTATTATACAATGTATTAACAACCATAATAAGTATCGGCGAAAAAATTGAATTGAAGAATAGATGGGAATTTTAGCTAACGAATAAATAACCTCAATTAAGTTTGTAAAAGCTAAATCATTTTTTAGTGTTTGAAACAATGAGTTACAAATTACTACGAAGCCGTAATACTAAAATAAACTTTTAAGTAATGAATATAAGCAGAAAAATGTATTTTTTTAGCTTCCTTGCAATATCTATCTTGTTCTAATTGTGAGCTTTATGCGATCAAGTAATGAATAAAGAGAACTATTAATTTAATAACTTTTTCTATTTCGTAATTCTGCTGATACCTTGTCTAAATTTTCTATGGAACTTCATGGATTTTGTTGTGTGCTAAAACAGAACTCCATGGAGTCTTATCCTAACAATGACTACAGCTAGAACAAGACTGAACATGCATTTGCTCAACCTAACCTCACTTTGGGGTATCGTGCACCATCGGTAAAGAAAGCATGTCTAGTCTTGAGGGATCGGTACCAACTGCAAATTTTCGCAAAACAGCTCGAATGCTTTGATCAAAATTAGAAATACGAAATTAAAATTGATTAACAGTGGCACAGACGTGCCCTTTTAGTCGCCTTTTACGACAAGCAGGGATACTATGGGCGTATTCTACTTCCCCCCGCCCATAGGGGGTGATTTGAAACGTTAACCAACACAATACAAATGTACAATACAATACAGGTAAAATACGATAAAATTCATTTTTTAATTATATTTTTAGATAATATCATTTTTTTTTATTGATGAATAGGAAATGATCAGGGTTGGGTTATCATAGGAAGTTATTCGTCTATGAAGGTTTATTTTGTTTCGTTATTGTTAAAATTTACTTGAATGCAATAATTTAAAAAATTATGTAAATAGGAAGCTAATGAAAAATGAAAAACAGAATAATGATAAAAATTAATTTAAAAAAAAAAAAGCGCATGACTTTACTTGTTATGAAGCAATCAATTTGATTTAAATGATTTAATTTAATTTAATTTAATTTAATTGGAAAGCGACATATAATGTCAGTTCACAATGACGTACTTATACTTGATGACGTCATTTGTAGACAAAATGTAATATAATTTGCAATTTAACATGTTCGCTACCAGAGTCACATGTATCTATCATAATATTTTGTATCATATGTTTTAAAACACCTGCAATTCAGAGTCTGTTACAAAATCCATAAAATAATATATAATAATATGCATAGTCTATAGTAATATTGCTTTGTTTTATGTTATTTCATAATATAAGAAAAGAAATAGTCTATAATGGACAAATTTTTAATTAAGTTCTATTACTGAACATGTTAAATTGATAACAGATATCTAGTGAGCATAGTGACTGTAAAAAGTAGTGAAAAAGATATTAATATGTACTTAGATCAGAATTTAAGGATGACTTTCCATAAAAAGATGGAAAGACATCCTTTCATGATGTGCGATGATGTCCCACGATGTCCCACGATGTCCCACGATGATCATCTTCTTTCTTCGACTACTCAATGAATCAGCTCAAAGATTCCATAAAGATGAGAAATATATTAAACATGAGTGTCACACACAACGACCAACTATTAAAAGAATAGCTGTACGAAGCATGCAACAAAAAAAAAGGAATTTTTGAACAGATGTCATTGAAGTAGTCCTTTTTCGTCCGGGCCTAGAGCCGCGGGCGAGCTTACATACTAGGTATAAATCAAGATTTAATCAAAATCAATTAACTAAAAAGTAATTGATTCCGATTATGCTACCCCAGGTGCAGACTTTTCACCGGACCTATAAGCCTACCCGAAAGAGAAATGTGATTGGTCTGCTTTCCTGGCCCTACCTACTTACATCTAAATCACATACACCAGAAGTAAGCTACCTGCCTGCCTATCCCTATATTTAAAAAAGCAAAACTCGTTCATTCCAACACACACACTCCACGGTTCTCACACACAACACTCGGGTGCAAGCCTACTCTAGAGAGAACGTCCCGAGACGCCTCCGTCACCCAAGCTTGTAACACACACATTTATACTTTATGTACGTACCATTTGCTGTAATCGACTGACAACGTAGCGTACATTGCGTTGTTATTAATATAATATTAATGTATTGTGTCATATAAAACTCTTATTGAAATGTAAAATTATTTATGCTATAATGCTGACTTTGAGTCATTCTCTTTTTTATAAAACTAAGTACAGTAATAATTAGTATTTCATTGATTTCAAAAAAGAATATGGTATTCAAGTGGTATATTTCCTTCATATATTGTAAAATATTATTATGATTTTTATTCATGAATATTCTCAAACAAGTATCCATTCAATGTAATATGATTGAATGATATTATACATACAGTATGTAATATGGAAAATATTGATTAGATATGTAATATATTTATCCTGTATGTATTTATATAAACTATTTAAGTTGAATAATAAAATCGACGTACATTTCACTAATTTAAACACACACACACATGTGAAACGTACATCGTGCACGATACGCTAATACGTTTGTCAATCGCTGTAATATTGCTTAATTCTAAAACCGTACCCACCACCCTTACCCATACAACGCACACCTGGGTTTGTTGATGAGCTCAGGCTAGTAAGTAATGAATACGGGCAAAGAAATAATACACCTACCGTGTGAAGCTGAAAATCCTAAGCTAAAATGATAGATTAGTAGAATGTAAAGCTAACGGGCTAATAAACATTTTAATTTTGAAAGTAAATTATTCTGTATAATAGTCTCACATTAGAACTATGATTTTCTTTGAATTAATTAGATTGAACTTAATTAGAATAAAATATTAAAAAATGGTTCTGTATAAAATACAATACTCCAATTATAAAGAACTCTAAACAAATTGCATTTAATTATAGCAAAAAACAAATATGTAAAAAAATCACTTTACTTTAAGCAAAAATAGTATCTGTGGAAAATATAATTCAATAATTAATATACATGTAATACATCCTCGGCTGATTGCATGTCGAAGTAAATGATCTAAGTTACATCAAATGTACATTCGAAAATATTACTTCGACGTTAGAATCTAACCGTCGCGAAATGTCTTCTTGCTCATAAAACATATTTAAATCGACAATATAATAATATACTGCATTGAAATATTATAGTATAATCAATGTATTGTAGCAAATGTACGTAATATTTACTGCATATAAAATATACAAACTTTATATACATTATCAAAATTTAAATTTCCTTTAATTAAAAAAATATTTTTTAAATTATATTTTATTTGTGAAATCGGAGGATCATCCGACTTCTATCCTACAAACTATTTTTTAAAAAGAGACAAGAAGACCCTAGCCTGAACTAAGAAATATAACAATATAACAAACAAAAAAGATATGAATGGTATGTAACATATATACTCCATGAGTATACATTCACTCATGGGTCACTATGCTCACTTAAAATAAGAATAAAATTTTTAATTCATGGGACTCACTGAACCGATGAGCACCTATTGGGGGGAAGGTACAATAAACCCGGCGGATGGTGTCCTCGGCAAATGGTCTCCTCAGCAGATTGATGTTGTAGAGTATTATAGTAGGTAGAGTATTGGCATATTGGCATTGGTTGATCATTCTCTAATTAAAAAACAATAGTATTACATTTGTGTATTACATTTTAAATTTACCATGATAATTTATTGTAACTACTTAATAATAAAAATTACATTTATTTTGATGAAGATTCATTTAATAATTTCATATCACGCTTGTGATGTTTTATTCTTTATTCGACTGCAATTCTGTAACAAAAAAGAATGATTTTTCACATATATACTTCAATGGTACATCATATATATTTAATCAATATATCAATATTTCAAAAAATCTCCCTATCCTCAAAACATAAATTTTTGAATATTTTTTTAATTTTAAATATTTTTTAATTCTTCAACATTAATCAAATTTGCATGCCTATTATATTATTAAACGTATCTATCACCGTATAAAAGTTAGTTCTGAATTGTGATAATGTAATAATCAACAAATACGAAAGCTTGAACAATGGCTGGAATAAGTGAGACATTTGAATTTCCCGCTATAAAGTATTGAAGATTATCGACGCCATATTGAAATAAAGTCAAGATTACTTTTCTCAACTTTATACACCAAAATATAGGAAACAAAGTATAAAAAACGAAAGATATTGACGGAATTTAAGAAATTATTGATATGAAAGCAGAATAAATGAAGAAAATGCTATTTTAATTCGTATTTATATCGGCGTAATAGTAAAAGACGAGAAAATCAATCATCACGATATATAACAACAAATTATGGGAAAAATGTACTAAAAACATGAAAAAATGCAATAATATTAGAGAAATTATTGATATAAAAAGAAAATAATTCAAATTCAGCTGTTCTAATTTCATTATGAATTCACGGCAAGAGCAAAAAATTTCATCTCACGTATTTTTTAAGAAAACGTCGAATTAATGTCAGAAAACAAAAACGTAGACTTCTCATCGGCTATTCTTTCTCTTTTTTGTAATTTCAACACCTGAAAGATAATTTATTTTAATGTTTGAAGATAATTTAACCTTACCTGTTGCAGACGCGTGTTAAGCAAACGAAGCTTCGAAGACGAATGACGCAATGCGCCACAAATCGACGCACTCGCTCACGCAGCGACGTGTCTGATTGGTCGAAATCAGAGGATGCCAACATGGACGACCAATCACAGCCGTTGATAGAAGTTTCAAAGTGCTTCGAAACTTTAACACTAATCGTAAGGGAAAGGTTCGTTAAAAATTATCAACGCCATATTGAAATAAAATCAAAATTACTTTTCTCAACTTTAAACACCAAAATATTGGAAACAGAGTACAGAAAACGAAAGATATTGACGGGATTTAAAAAATTATTGATATAAAAACAGAATAAATGAACAAAATTTTATTTTAATTCGTATCTATATCGACGTAATAGTAAAAAACGAGAAAATCAATTATCACGATATAAAACAATAAATTATGGGAAAAATATACTAAAAACATGCAAAAATGCAACAATATTTGAGAAATTATTGATATAAAGAGAAAATAATTCAAATTCTGTTGTTCTAGTTTCATTACGAATTCACAGCAAGAGCAAGAAATTCTATCTCATGTATTTTTGAAGAAAACGTCGAATTAATATCAAAAAACAAAAAGCTAGACTTCTCTTGGGCTATTCTTTCTCTTGTTTGTATTTTCAACACCCGAGAGACAATTTAATTTAATGTTTAAAAATAATTTGTCGTACCTGTTGCAGACACGTGCAGAACGAACGAAGCTTCGAAGAGAAATGCTGCACTGCGCCACAAGTCGACGCACTCATCCACACAGCGACGTATCTGATTGGTCGAAATGAGAGGATGCCAACATGGACGACCAATCACAGGCCATTGGTAGAAGTTTCGAATTGCTTCGTATATAATGTTAATCGTAACGGAAACGTACATATAATAAATATCAAAGAAAAAATCGAATAATATACTTTCTTAGGAACACCCATCTTGTATTATCTTTTATTTTATTGTAATTATGTAATAAATAAACGGAAATATTACTTTAATAATGCTTTCCTATGCAGTGATTCTGCTAAAAAATATTTATCAATTATTTCAAATATGTTGAGACATTTACATATGTATTAACATTTACATATGTTTGTTAATACAATGTATTATACAATGTATTAACAACCATAATAAGAATCGGCGAAAAAATTGAATTGAAGAATAGATGGGAATTTTAGCTAACGAATAAATAACCTCAATTAAGTTTGTAAAAGCTAAATCATTTTTTAGTGTTTGAAACAATGAGTTACAAGTTACTACGAAGCCGTAATACTAAAATAAACTTTTAAGTAATGAATATAAGCAGAAAAATGTATTTTTTTAGCTTCCTTGCAATATCTATCTTGTTCTAATTGTTAGCTTTATGCGATCAAGTAATGAATAAAGAGAACTATTAATTTAATAACTTTTTCTATTTCGTAATTCTGCTGATACCTTGTCTAAATTTTCTATGGAACTTCATGGATTTTGTTGTGTGCTAAAACAGAACTCCATGGAGTCTTATCCTAACAATGACTACAGATCGAACAACACTGAACATGCCTTTGCTCAATCTAACCTCACCTTGGGGTATCGTGCACCCTCGGTAACGAAGGCATGTCTAGTCTTGAGGGATCTGTAGTCATGAATTGAGGCGGAGATATTTTTTCATTCTGTAGCGCAAAAAAGGTTTTATAACTTACAAGAACATATATAAAACATTGGTGTTTCCGAAATAAATACATTCTAGTATACTGAATTATAATGAAAATAAGATTATCAAGAATAATACAACCTATGATAAATAATTAAGTACTTTAAAAATTATAAGCAAACAGAACAGATATAAAAATGAGTAAAAAGGACATTATACAAGCCGTTGTGCTTACAGATGATTTTGTAACAAGTTTAACACCAATGCAAAATGTATTCCCAAGTATTTTAATGCCAGTGATAAATGTACCTCTTTTAGACTATTTAATTGAAACCCTAATTAAGTCTAAAGTTCAAGAGTTGTTTCTATATTGTAGCAGTCATGTAGATTTAATAAGAGCATATGTCAAAGAGAAAAAATGGTTAAGGATAACAATTTCGTTAATCGTGTCAGAAGGTTGTACTTCCATCGGTGATGCTCTCAGAGACATTGATGCAAAAGGATCAATTCGTGGTAATTTCATACTAATAAGAGGAGATGCATTTACTAATGCTAATCTAACAAATGCTTTGAGCAATCATTGCGCAAAGCTTGAAAAAGATAAAGCTACTACTATGACTATGCTGTTAAGAAACATGGGTTCTATGAATGATTCCCTTTTAAAAAGAGAAACTAGTTTAGTAGTTTCTGATAAAACCAGTAAAAAAATTTTGCATTATAGCAAATTAAGGGACAATAACAAGAAAGTGAAATTAGAATTAAATTGGTTTCTAGATCACAGTGAAGTTGAAATTAACACTTGCTTTATGGATACTCATGTCTATTTATGTTCCCCTTCTGTACTTCCATTATTCTCAGACAATTTTGACTTTCAAGTAAGTATTTTAATTTTAATCTTCTATTAAACAGATAAATACAATCAATTTTTATGTTACTAACAGACAATGGAAGATTTTATTCGAGGAGTTCTAATGAATGAAGAGATCTTAAATTCCAGAATTTATTGGCAGCAATTAAATCCTGAAGATTATGGTCTGCCGATTGTATCATGGAATGCATACCATGTTCTTAATCATGATATTTTGAATAGGCATAGTTTTCCACTTACACCAAATGCCATCCCATACTTAAACAATTTTATTTATATGCCAAGAAGTACTTATAGACATAAACTTAGTACCCTCGCTAAAGGTTGTACATTAGAGAAAGACAGTATACTGTGCCAAAATAGTATGCTTGGAAATGGTACTTTTGTTACAAGATCTGTTATTGGCCATAATTGTTCAGTGGGTTGCAACGTAACAATTAAAAATTCCTACATTTTATCAAATACTAAGATTGAAGATAATTCTATTATCACAAATAGTGTAATATTTCCAAATTGTTTTATTAAACAAGATAGTCAAATAAATGGATGTATATTACATCCTGGAACAAAAATCAATGTTCAAGCAGAATATACTGATTCCCTTATAGAATCAAAAGACAATAAAATTTGCACGAAAAAAATATCAGAGATTGATATGGATAATGAATTTCATTTCTTTGAAGACTATGATACCATGGAATATGATAATTATTCTTCGGATACCAGTAGCGACGAAGATTCCGAATGCAATTCACCAATTCCAGACGATACAAATATGTTTTTATCCGAAGTCATAGACAGTTTACTACGAGGCTTTCAGGATAAATTAAATTGTGAAAACTTAATTTTGGAAATAAACTCATCAAGATACGCGTACAATATTACCATGAACGAAGTGACGTACAATGTTATTAAAGCTATATTAAGTTTACCTTTCCATTATCTTTCAGAAACGAAAGAAACTGTAAATAATCATAATTATCAAAGGAACTTGAAAATTATGTTAAATTACTTCCATCCGATTGTTTTAAATTATGTTAAAACAGAAGATGCTCAAGATGATTGTTTACGCGCGATAGAAGAAGTTGCTGGCACTACTCAGGAATTACTACCATATTTACAACACTTACTGCATCTGTTTTACGATAAAGATGTATTATCAGAAGACAAAATTTTGGAATGGTATGAATTTAATGATAATGATGCAGACACATTTCAAAGAAATAAAATACGAACCGCGATCAAACCATTTATTCAATGGTTGGAAGAAGCTGAAGAGGACTCTAGTGATAGCTAAAACAATGAACTATGTATTAAAATCTTTCAAATAAATCTTCTTTTCCTCTAATTCCTATTTTGTTGTAAAACTTTCCACTTATCTGAAAACAAATAAATATAAAATGATTCAATAGAATTCGTATTTATCATTAGAAAACAATATTTTGTCATGTATAATATAACATTTTTATTATTACACTATGTTATACCTTTTTTGTTTTTAAGTAATACACTTTGAGCAATATTGTGTAGATCATGTGTAAATAAATTATATTTTGTAGATTATATAATTCACATTGATTACAGGTCTTATTAAAATGTCTCGAGTAGTATGTTAAGAAAAATAGAAATATTATCTTTCATTCTGTAGGCAAAATAGTATCAGTTAAGTTGTGCCAAGCTTGATGACGATGATCTGGAAATTTGATTGCGTCTATCCAATGTCGTAATCGGGCTCCTTTACTGTTACAACTTAACTCAAGTCCGCCTAAACATACACAATAGATATACTATAATATTTATTTTACTTTCCGTTCGTAATAAACTTATTCTTGGAAATGAAAATTACCTAGATAATCGTTACTTTTACCGAAGTCCTTATCCCATACAGTAAGACATAACGTAATTTTCATGAGGTCTGTTAATCGAGCAGCAAAAGCAAACTCTTCGTTCCATTCTGGATTTAAAGTTTTCCATTTGACTCTGGTATTTTGTGAATTAGAATTTGTAACTTTTCTCGACACTAGCTTCCTAATAGTAATACGTGCAAACGAATAGTCGAAAATATGCTGTCGATGATTGTTCGTCACATTTTCTATAAGGCACAACTTGACAAATGGATCAGATGATCCGTTGCTGTCCATAGGAAGAAGATTGGTAGCTCGGTGAATTGTAACCATCAATGCTCCACGTCTTGTACAGTAGCCTAGACTCAGATGAATTTGTCCACGTCCAGTAGGAAATACGCCCCAAGCTGCCTCTTCATTGTCCACCTATGCCAACGTCGAGCTCTTATATCTTAGTGTCTGCAATAATGTAAGTAAAGTCGACCGTCGCGAAAAATTGAGAACGCAAAAGGTTGTATTTGTGGCGTTATTAAAGAAAAAAGAAAGAAAAAATAGAAACATTATAAAAGAAAATAATTGAAACACTTGATTATGCAAAAAGAAAATAGTGGATAATTTGAGGTAATAATGTGGCAAGACATAATTGTTAGATAACTCGTAATTAAACCATAGTTATAATTATACATACTGGATAATGATCTTGTAGCGAAACATTATAATGTTTCGTTTGACGTGGTTGTAACTCGTGCAGAGGAAACTTCGCTTCTCCTAGAAAGTCTTGTCCTGCTTGATCGTCTTGGAGTATCATGATGTGCAATGCTTTCCCGTTCCATACCTATCACATAACGATCATTAATCGTCTTGTGTTTTTAATTATAGAAATATTTTAGTATGATTACATTTACTTGCACTTTTCATACATCGGTTTCTGTTGTCCCATAGAAGTTTAGTATCTCGTTGAACTCCGGATCCCGGGTTTTGTGAACTGTTTTTGTTCGAAGTCGTTTCGTAGTCGTGATTGTTGCTACTGGTAGTATGTTGAGTTTGCAGAATGGATCGGCAAGACCGTGAATATCCATTGGTCGTAAACCTCGTGCTCGTTCCACTTTGCATTGGAGGCACTGAACCGCTGGGTCGTATCGCAAGGAGACTTCTAGAGTTCCATAACTTTGTTCCGTTTCTAAAATATGTATAATGGATTATTTCTAAACCAATTCTATGCATTGGCGCCTTCGCTGTTTTCAAATTTTTAATATACTAAAATTCTCAAATTCTATGAATTATGTTTAATACTATAAACCTACCGCATTCCCACCTTTGTAGTCGTGGAATGTTGAACAGATTCTCCTGTTCTGAACACGATCGACTTCCTTCCTGATTTGTGCATTTCTCGTGAACTTGGAACTGTTCCATCGTCGTCGAAGAATTCGATCTACAAGCAATTGATTATCAGCCAAATTTCTATCCTTGTATTTATTATTCTTACGTACCTGAGTGATTGTACCTGAGAGATTTTAGATTGATTACGTGAATTGAATTCCGCTTTATGAACGTCATCATTCGAATCGTTAATATCGTGAAATTTTTTGTTCTTTTCATCCATGATCTCATCTTCGAACGATACACGTTGCTCGATTTGATAATCGTTAGCGGTTTTACTATTTGTTCGTGAACGAGGACTAGTCGGTGAAAGGCGACTGCACTGAGAGGTAATCGATAGAGTTGATTTATCTAATTGATCTGAACATTCGTCACGGTTATTCAATGGTGAAAGACCGTTCGATGGTTGCCCTGATGGTGTTTTACATATGCTGCTGGTTGATTGAGCAGAATTTGAAAATGATGAATGAGTTTTGTTAGTAATACTGTCTTGATTCTTTTGTAAGCTGGAGAATGAACTGGATTGTCTTCTGGCTAATGCTAAACGTCTCGTTGCTTCTTCGTCGGAAGAAGAATCTTGAAGTTCAGATGATTCAAGAGATTTATTACCTCCACTTATCCAAGTAGATGTTTTGTGAACGGATCTCGACCATCCTCGTTCCTGAAAAAAAAAAAAAAAAATATATATATATATATATTTAAATTAACACATTGATTGATTGAAGTTTTTAAATGCATCAAAGTACGAATACCTTTTTCTCTGGTAAGATATACTTTGGCATTCCTTTAAAAAACCAAGCACCACTCTTTTTCCACATTTCTCTGGTCTCAGCGCATATTCGACAAAGATACTGTTTCTGACTGCTGCTAGATCGTTTAATGATTCGTTGCATAGTTGTTGTTTCTTGTGCTTTCTCTCTCATTGTTGGAATGTTTGAAAACATTGAATTAAGATCGTTCGTTTCAATGCCACACTTCTGGCATATGTATTTACGACAATCTTTGCAGAGACTCGGTGTCGCGCCTAATACAGTACCAAATTTCTCACCACAAAGAGCACAAGAGCATGTGCAATGCGCGCTTCTAGAGCATCTGCTACTGCAGTTCTTTCTTTCATTCAATCTTGTCGTTGTGACCATACATACATTACGTTTCATGTTTTCCAATCTTTCTACCAATCTACCAATCCTTTCCTGTTCTGACAAATCCAAAGCTTCAGCTCGTTGGATGACCTAACAAAACAGATTACATTATAGTTATAGTCATTGTGCAAAAAAAGGCAAACGTATACCTGTATGATTGTCTGTTGCTCTTCTTCGGTAAGTACAAAAGACTGCGCGCATCGATTTGTACCACTTGAATAAAAATTAGAACAATGACCCCAGTTTGAATCTAAAGAACCAGTTTTTACAGACCAGCCTGTCCTCAACCTACAATTAATGTTTCATTAATTATACAAAGTCTGTACATATATGAAATTTATAATATATTTATACTTACTTTGCCCTTAGTGCTAAATGTCTATCATTTGGACAGACCCAGCTGCTTCCTCTACTTGCATTTTTCATTGTAACATCCATTGTTGATTGATTCAATGAAATTCTTCAGTTAATCTAAATGTATTATAAACATCATGTATCTGTAAAAAATAAAAATATACAAATGTTAATACTGTTAGTATTACAAAATAAGAATTTTATTTTAGATGGAATGTTATGCATATTTCTATTCATAAGAATGTCTCCTCTTTTTCAATTCTGTGCTATTTGAAAAATTCGAATACATACATAGGCAATTTTAAATAAACTTACTTATTAAGTATCTCTAATTATTAATAATTTTCCTCTAATTATTAAATATTATCTTTTTTATTGAAACAGTAGGAATAATATTATATAAAAAATTAATTATCAGCGAATTTTTCATTCAATGTATCGAATAAATGTTAGATAGCGAAAGTTTACAATAATAAAAAATTTATGTATATAACTTCGTAACTAAACATATGTAACGTCTAAAATAGGGATAAAGTTGCGTTTTGATTATAAATCAAATATCGAAGAATATTAACTTTGAAGGAGAAGGTAAACTTTAAAAGAACAGAGAACATCTAAAAGTAGACGCGCAACAAGTATTCGTTATATGTATGTATGTAGTTTCACCGTCCCTACGTTACATTGAAGCAGCTAAAGGGAAACTATATTTGAACCTAAATCGATAATTCAATGGTTCACACTTGCAACAATTCTTGCTCTTTGTATTAAACTTTTACAATACATTTACGTTACAAAGAAACGCAGATTTTTTATTGCAAACATACAATAACACCCTTACATGATATATACTTTTTATTTCAAGAAAATTCAATTTATTACTACCAAAGTGTCATCTGAAAAAGTATCGATGATAAAACATATGTGAATTTAATCAATTGTTTATTTAATTCGAACTACAGTAAAAAGAAAAATACTTTGTATAAAATTGCACGAAACGACGCTTTCATTCGTCGAATAATAGGAAAAACAAAAGAAATATAAGAAATGGAACAGTGAAATTTCTGACGCGTGGCATTGTGTATCCTGTCTGATAAACTATGTATTTCGATTAAAATACTGTTAAACTCTTCGTGAAATAAAACTTTCTATAATACCGTGTTAAAAATTAAAATTCAGTCTGTCTAATATTTAATGAAGAGAAACGTCAATTCTAGAATTATTAATGTTATTGCTGAAACCTAAAAAAAGAATGAAAACTGCATAAAAGCAAATTAAATATATTTTCTCTAACTTAAACATATTTTAAATGCAACAATTAGGCTTGTAATGTGCTAAAAATTTGAAATTGTTTAAAGTTTACTTACGAGGTAAGTAGACACCTTCGGTGCAGCATTTAATTTAAAAAATGAACAATCACTCCGAACTATATCAAACTAGAGGTAATTCACCGGTTGTTGAAGAATTAAGATGTCCACTATTTGTATACTAACCTTAATTTTAAAACATTCCTATAGAAGGACATTAATCGTTTGGACAAACGGATGGGCGCAGAGTTGCACTTGCCACGGTATCAGCTAGCCGACAAGTGGGTGCTATTATCGCTGGTCAGGGGCGGATCCAGAAGTCCTTCTTGAGGGTGGAAGCGAAATGTTTTTCAATCCTTTTTTCTCTCAATGTCAAACTTTTTTGGTTTATTTATTAATATTTTTAGCCGATTGTAATCCAAGTAACCAAATCCAGTCATTCCTAATACTCCTTTCTTAAAAATAATATCTATTAAGGGATTACCGCCTCCATCACTCCTCCTCTAGATCCGCCACTGTCTCTGGTCTTCGTTTCACTTCCGTTATAAGCGTAGAAGGGTGCGAGTCATGCGTACGATTCACAGGGATGTGCCTAAATTTACTGATAGAAACATTTAAATAAACTGCTTTTAATGCACCTTCAGATAAGCTCAAAACTATCACATAGAAGATGTAAATAATTATAAAATTAATTATTTCAAATACTGTGGTTATTATAAGTAGTATAAAAGTTACATGAAAGAAACTTGTGATACTTTGAATCACTGCAATAAAGTATAATAAAATATCATTTTATACAACATATAAAATGATTTTTATTCTGTTATATATTAATTACATTTGTTTTCCTGTTCTCCTTTATCCATAGCTCCTCGTTACGCGCGCGCGCGCATAAATTTGTATCATCGCACCTGTAGTTTTATAAAACAATTTCAAACAGGTGTTCAATTAAATGCAATGAAATTAACATGTTAAATTAAAAATCAAACAACTCGCTACTATTATGGTAACATGTATTGTATATTTTTGTAACGTGACAAATGTAACAATATACATTGGGTATTAGGAAATAATTTTTTAAATATTTTGTTTCATTAACCAATCTTCGCATTAACAAACAACATATATAAGTTCTTGAAGCTTATATTAATTAAATGTCAATAAGCGGAAATAACGTCTAGCGATAAGCGAGTGTCCTTGTACTACATTGCAACTATTGACGTATTGCATTTCGCAGCCGCCTATCTTATTTGAATTTTACATTAATATGAAAAATCAGAAATAATTAAAACTTACATTTTTACTAAAACATCGTATACAAAAATATTACTCAATGTATTAAAAGTAACAAATATAAAAAGATTTATAGATTTTAATTACAATGGTACAAAGTTTATTTGCAACATACCTTTAATTAATCATTATTCTATGTATATTACTTTATATATACATTATGAAAACTATATATTCCATGTATACTATGAAAAATATCGATCCATGTAATGTAATGTTTCAAAAACAACTTCAACCATAATAAGAATAATAATCATCCATTCTAATCGAATATGATGGCGATCACTTAAGTGTGCCGATAAAATACTCACAAGTTCTACACAATGATTTAATTTCTCATTTATAACCTATAAAATGAAATGCAGTTCTATATCAAACAACTTTAACATTATATTATAAAATCAATTATTAAAATTTTCTATAACTTACTCTTGTACGTTTTGCAATATTAAAATATGAACAAATCTCTTGGTAAAGACGTTCTAGATCATCTCTTTCCCAATAGAAATCAGGCGTGTCTAACAAATCTGAACTTAAATTAATCAAATGTCGCAAAGCAAATAATTCTCCTTGTTTTTTTAATACTTCCTGCTGAGTTAATGTTAACTTTCTACCAGCTTTTAAGTCTTCAGTAACGAATTCTATAGAACGTACATAATTATCTAAAGATGCTTCCCATATACCTAATTTTACTGATTGAGCCATTGCATTTGAGAATGTAAATTTATCTAAATTTGTTGCGTTTGAAGCTAGAACTATGTCACCATTTCTTATGTGACTTTGTTTTCTGTAAAATATTTGAAAAGTAAATACATATACACACTATGAAATAATTATAAAAATATTTGAATTTGTTGAACTATTACCCCTTATCATCATAACTATAACACATTTGTTCGCTCTCAGATTGTACAATACTTTCCATGTAACGATTTTCTTCATAATCTTTTAAAAATTGTAATACATTTTCGCTTTCAAGATCAGAAATATTCCACATCACTACAGTACCTTCTCGGAAAAAAAAGATTTCTCTTGGTTCCTGTTCTACTTTATATTTTGCCACTGCATGTATAACATCTGGTAAAGCTGCAAAGATAATCTACATTAAGCATAATAATTTAAATGCATGTTTTTAAAAATTTTTAATACTGTACCAAATGTTACATATCATTTACAAATTATTATATACATAAATGCATTTAAACAAGTTTTATAAAAATCACAATACTTATGATACTGATAAACTGGAAATAAAAAAGCTTTTAAAAACATTTCCATACATAATATTGGTTGTAATTTATATTCAATTACATTTGGCATTTCATAATTAATAAGTATCTTAATTTTATCTATCCTATTACCGCCTATATACTATGCACATATTTCCTCTTAGATGTTTTCTTCTTCTGCTATAACTCAATGTATTTACTGTATGTAAGACTTAACAATATAAAATTAAAACCACATCCCAAAAGAAGTACAAGTTTAATAAGCTAGAACTGACTGTACACTTAGTTTATAATAGAATTTATTTATTATAAACTAATGTAAAATTTAACTTCTAATAGAATTTCATTCAGTATAAAATACCATTTCAATGTATCTTTTAATCAATTAAAAGTAGACTGTCACATGCACCTAATCCTGTTGCTACACCACCCTCGTTAGCAGTAGCTACCTTTGTTCTTAACATGTGACCACTTTGTTTATTCATGTACACATTGTTTTCATCAGCAATAATAACTCCAAATATCCCTAACTCTGAAACTAATTCTTGTAATTCCGTACTCATATCGATTTCTGGTCTTATCATGTAGCTTTTATGAATCGGAGGATGAATTTTATTCATAAGAATCCAAGCTACTCTCTCTTGTTTATCTTTCACAGACTCTAAGAAATGCTTTATATCTAATCCATACTTGTTATTGCAACCTCCTTCCCTCTGAGGTTTTAGTACATAGTGGTCTGGGTTTGCAATTGCCAATTCTATAGCAGCATCTCCATGTTCATTAAAGTCTAATGCATAAAGCTCTATACAAAACATTATAATATAATACTTTTTCATTGCAATATTTTGTGTATTATCAAAATAATTCACTTACCAGTGAATATTTCTTTAATTTCAGCACATATCTTTTCATTCTTTAGAAACTTGCTAATAACACCTGGTTTCGCAAGAGCCTGTTGAACCTTCTTGGTTCCAGCCAAATGATATTGAATGGTGGGACATTTAATTGCTAAAGATCTCTCTATTAGTAATCTTACACTCCATTCTTTTTGTGTTGGATATTGTCCAGGTTCATAACCACATCTATAATATACTACTGACACAACATAATTCTCTACTATTAATTCCTTTTCAGGACCCAATTTAGCAGATGCTGCTAATTCTGTTAAATTTCTCCTAATAACTCTAACATTCGGATTTTGTTTTCTAATTTCAAATTCGTGAAAACGTTGATCGCATATATTATATGTGACATCTTCAATAACAAATAAAATTACTGCTCTGTAAACAATTGTGATTACATTTTTAAACTAATTGCTATTCGCACAATATTCTTAAATTTGATAAAGAATTGATTACAAACATACTGTTTATTTCCATACATCTTCCATGCTTCAACCATACTTGAACATATAATTTGTAATGCATTATTCTCAGGAAGATCTTTTAATTTGTCATAATAACCAAGTTCTTCTAGCACAAATTTGTGTAATTTTGTTGACGCAGGACCTAACCAGCCAAATCCAGATGCAATTGTATTTATTTCAACTTGTTTCCAACAGCAGTATGGAATATATTTCTCACTCATGTTCTCTTTTGCACAACTTGTGTCCAACATTAAGTCTGAGCGTAGTATACCAAAAGATATTTTTTGTGCTGATCCTCCTTCATCGTGAATAGTTCGGCAAATTTCAAATAATTCTTTAGTAAAACTATCAACCTTTATTGTTTCTTCTAATGTTTCTCTTAGGAAGTTGTAGTCCTGAGCAACTCGATGTATAAGTATGTTTAACATGGTTTGCATCTTACAGGCATTTTCAAATTCTTTTCTAGGAAATGGAGATGGCACCAAAATGAATGGTGCAAATTGTAAAATATTTTTATTAAAGTTTTGTTTTGATCTCATACACATTCCATGCATGAGTGCCCAATCCTTTGCTTTCTCTATTAATTCTTCTAGTTCTTTTTTAGAAGAAGGTAAATCAATACTTAACTCCATAATTCTTTTCTCTGTTATTGTAAAACTTTGTATGAAATCTCTTCTGATTAATTTTAAATAAATTTCAGTATTTTAGAATTGCTATTTTATTCATAAGTATGTATACACTTCTAGATATAAAATTTGCTACAGTATTGAAAATTTTTGTAATATTTGAAATTAATAATGCACAATAATTCTTCTATGTGAATTAATGATTCATTTCTTAAAAATAATTTATCAACAAATAGAGAAAAATACAAATTATTGTCAATAAAATTTGAGTTTTCAATTTAATAATAAAATTAATTTTATTTTACCTTATTGCAAAACATTTAAAAATTTTGTTATATATTTCTGTTTAAAACAATACAAATTTATGTGTAATTTATATATGTAAATTTATAATTCAAGTTTTGCTTGTTAATTAATACTAGTAATTAACATTATATTTATAATATCTTACGTAAAATTTCTTAAGAACACGAAATTCCAGAAATATCGTTTTATTCTGTATGTATATGTATATCAAATAATTTTTAATAAAACAATAAAACAATCTGGTTTTTTTTCTGTTTCTTCGATGTTCAATGAAATGATAAACAATCGTAAGTAAATATATAGAATTAAATTAACACTTAAGTTATACCACCATTCAAATGAATTTAATGTTACAAAATTGTCTCTAATTATCACAAAATTGACGTCGTTCAATAAATTTAATTCCATGTGCAAATTTTGAATAAAAATCCCCTGTTACTTGCTTGAATGTAGCTGCGAAACGATTACTCTGAAGTTGAATACATACAAATGTATCGAATTTTGATTTCAAATATGTAATGTGTGTGTGTGCATGTGTATAATATATATATATATATATATATACACAATTATTTCAAGTCTAACAAAAAATCAAAATACATTTGGAAGTAAAAATGTATAATGAAAAATCTTTTAATGAAAATGATAATTATTTACACTTAATTGTTTTAAGTAAAAAGCAATTATTGGTTAACAGTAAAAATTTCACATTAAAAAAATATTGAAATGCTTCCTAATTATTCAGTGCACAGCTTATATTATTTAAAATTACTAGTTGAAAATTTGTATAGTATAAAATAATTGTCATGTACTTACAGCTAGTTGATGTGGTTATAATATTAGGTTCATATAGCTGTTGTTGATTTAGACCTTGCACTAAAGATTCTAAGTTATATTCCTCCGAAGTAGACAATGCCTTCACAATCCCAGTCTGTAAATAAACAAATAAAAAGATGTAATCTTTTATTTAAATTATATTCTTATCCATTATAACTTAAATATAAGATGAATTATAGAAATATCCTAAAGGAAGAAAAATATTCCTTTATTATCAAAAGATAATTTTGGTTATTATAATTAAGATTATACAAGCTTTATTAGTTACTTACACTTACAGTTCCTACATCAGTAGATAAAGATTTTCTTTTCTTAGGTCTCTTTTTCAATTGAACAGCTGAATAACCATTGTCACTTTTATTTTTAATTTCTTTTGGCTTATTTAATGGTTTTTCAGTATTGAATGCTATTGTCCCAGTATGTAATAAATTCTTATAATTAAACTTTAGACTCGATTTTGTAATTAGAACACGTTCTATTAGCACTTTATCAAATGATATTACAGTACTGAACTTTTTACAAACATTAACATTAACGTGATTTTTACACGTTAAAAAGATACATCTTTGTATTGTTATGAAATTCATGTTACTAAATATTATATTTAACAGGTTTTGTACTTTTAATATTGTTATTACGTAACAGTAGATATTCCATGCAATTTAGAATTATTCAAAATTATACATATAGCTTTCTTTAATAATGAAATTAATAATATTGGTGTTACAATAAATACTCGTGGTCTTATTGCAATGTTGTATGTATACACTCTCTGGCAAGAAAATAACCTTATTCATAGAATCGGCGTCTTCCTAGGGAAAATGGCGATCTACGGACAGGTGTCTGCGACACATTCACGCCGCTGGCTTAGATCGCCATTTTCCCTAGAGGGACGCCAAACCATAATATTTTGAAATCCGAAAATAAACTGCTAAAAAGATGCAGGGATGGTCCCCAATAGGCCTATAAAGAAGGATGAAAAATAAAATTTCTTTTCTAATTTTTGAATTACCGAATTTTCCTTATTCATTAAATTCCACTACTAAATAAGTAAGGATAATGAAACAGTTTAAACATCATATTAAATCTTTGCATGGTAAATAAGATGTCAATTTTTCAACAACAGTAAGAACTAGAAAATTTATCCCATATTTAATAAAATCAATACTCCAGGAAATAGAAGTTTGTACATATTTTTATATTTATAAAATATATCATTTATCACATACATACTATATAGTTAAATGCTCAACTTACTTCGAGATCTTCTGACACGATCTGGAACTGAAACGATATTATATGAATGTATAAATATAATGTGAATAAAAAGATAAATTAATAAATTAATAAATGTTACGTTTCTCTGGAATTTCCCATGATGTAACATCTGCGGGTATTATGCTTCTTTTCTTTTCAGCAGACTTTGCTCTACGTTTAACGTGGGGAGTCATAGGAAGCACCGGTTTACTTGAAACACAACCGCCACAGTCTTTTTCTGTAACAACAAATATATATTAAAAAATACATTTATAAAAAATCAAATGTTATTAATTTATTAAAAATTATCTATACCAGAAAATTTTACTCTTCGTTGAGATTTTCGTCTATCACCGTTTTCATTGAAAGACATTTTGTTCAATGAATTTTGTAAATCCGTTTTCTCATCTTCAACAGCAACTTCAACATAATTCTTCCTTCTTGCTTTCATAGGAGTTTTATTTTCTTTGTATTCTGAGTCTTCTACACCAACAGACATTTTCCTGGAAGATCTTCTAGGTCTGGGTGTACCTACTGAAGTAATGATTCTATTTCTTAAAACTCTTATACTTTCATCATGTCCATTTGTTTCTTCTTTATGAAACATAGAAACCCGTTTGGGTGTCTTTTGGTTGGATGTATTTGAATCTCTATTGTCTGCAATGTCCTCATGTTGTGTTAATCTAACATTTAATGTTAAATCTTCATCATTTTCATCCATAGGATTTTGCCTAGTTAATTTTCTTTCTGGTGACGGTGTGTAGGTCGTATTTAATTCTGAATATTTTGACGGAGTTGCAGTTTGTATTTTGTCAGATGGTATTTTAGTTAGTTTCTTATCTGTGAGAACTGCTAATTCAGAATTTTGTTTATCATCATCTTCAGATTCTTCAGAACTACCAAAATTAAGTTTTCTTTCTGCATTAATTACTACTTCATCCGGACTATCGAAATCAAAGCTATCTATTCTTTCCAACATTACATCTAAATCTGATTTTAGTTTACATTGTTCATCAACTGGTGTTTTCTTTAAAACAACATGATCGTCAAAATTAACTTTACTTGATTTTACGGAAGACTTTACTTCGCTCATACTTTTTGTTGGTTTCAAAATACCTTTCCCTGGTGTTTGATTGGAATTGATGTAAGATATTGCGTTATTCAATTCAACATCTGGTGTTTTACACATCTGACTGACTTTTATTACAGTTAATGGACTTTTAACGTTTTGTGATGTTGTAGACAATCGTGACTTTTCCAGTAGACTTAATCTTGTTTTCTTCTTACTAACAGGTGTAAAGGACCTTCTTGTTTCATTTGAAACATCAGAATTATTTTTACTGTTTTCAAGCATATTATTTGAACACTGGTCGTTATTTTCTGTTTTCTGTGCAATATTCTTTTTCTTCTGTGCCAAAAAGGCTCTTAGTGAACTTTCTTTTGTAAGTGGAGGTTTCTTCTTTGTGACATTCTTCTTTTTAACAGACTTGGCCTTAGGAACAGGAGTTTGTTCTTCAATCCAGTTCTTCGAACGAAGTTTCTCTAAACGTTCGAATCTTGCATCGCAATCTTTTACTTGCATGTACATCATGTCCCAGAAGCCTTGCAAATCTTTGCAGGTGACTAACAATTCTCCTTTTCCTGTTTCACAGTCAGCAACTAATTTACGAAATCTTTCAAATTTTTTGTTCATCAACAAATTTGTTTGCCCAATGGCTTGATTAATTTCATACTGCCCGTCTTCAGTAGTTGTGTCATCTTCTTTGATATCTGTCCACTTTTCACATAATGCATTTAATCTATCAATTTCTACATTTAAGAGAAACCTGAAGTATTGGGCAGTTTGTTGTTCCTCTTCAACTGAAATATTTAAAGTTTTCATAACAGTATCCTTTGTGGGAATATCGTCGCTATTTGAACGATTAAGACTGAACCCACGTTTTATCTGTTGCTCTTTTCTAGCATTGCTTTTCCCGCGACTAGAAACTACGTATGGCGAAAAGAACACTGGATCATTTGGAGAATCACTTGGTGTTGATACATGCTTTGAAGATAGTGTTTCTGCAACACTATTATTATGTGTACCATTATCTTGTGTTTCTACCTTGTTGGCATCATCATTTTCATTAGAACAAGTAAATGTGTCATCTAATGACAATTTTAATGATACAGCTTCAATCGAACTATCCATTGAATGGTCTGTATCTTTTAGTCTGTTAACTTTTGGTGTATTGTCCTTTTTACCGTTATTTATTTCCTTAATAAATTCTGTTCTACTATTTTTACTATCCATTTTTATAGACGTAGACATGAATTTACTTTTGCTAACAGATACATCTTGTATAGCTACTTTACCAAATAATGATACACCTGTCAACCCTGCGGGAGTTTTAAATTTATAATTTGTAGGAGCAAAAGATTGTTTTTGCTTTTTTTCACTCTTTTGCTCTTTATTTATAGATGGTAGAGGTTTACCCAAACCATTTAGTGTTTTCTGTGCAAGCACCTTATTCATTAATCTTTTCTCTGTTGCTCTTGTAATTCGTTTTGGTGGAGATGCAGTTGGTTTTGCTGCAGTTTGTTTAGCTATCTTTTGACGAGCCATATTTGGTGCAACAGTTTGATCATTACATATTGAAGAATATGTCTTATGATGAACCTTTCCAACTACAAAAGGGGGTTTTTTCTTCAGTTGTTCAAGTCTGCGTTTCTCGCGTTCAGCTTGCCATTTCATTAACCTAGTGCGACGGTCTTGGTCCAAAGAAGCTGTTTGAACTCCTAAAAATAAATTATAATTAGGTCATTTACGATAATAATGTTGTAAATACCACTAAATGCTACAAACCCTTATTCTCTGGTTTATTAGTTATAAAAGTAGAAATATTTCTGTTTTCATTGAAAACTTTAGCTCTTTGCTTTTTACGCAATTCTTCGTGTTTCTCAACACGAATAAATCGGCTTTCCTTTGCATTCCAGAAGCCGAATTTCGCCTCTTTATACTTGTCCTGATGTGTTGACATCTTATTTAACACGCAGAATCCTAACGTTATGTTTAAAATATTTCGTAATACTAACTCGAACAATTAGTAACTCCTCCAACGGTAGTGTTTTAACAACTGAAAAAATTTAAATTGACTGCACGATTCAATGTATCGAATAGCAGGGTGACCAATCGTAGAAGTAAAAAGAAAAATATGATTGGCGATGCAAGCGATGAAAACTTTACCCATGCACCGGGGTCCCCGGCACCCCACGATGCAGAGTCGGTATGCAGAGAGCGCTTCTGAAGCATCGGGGTCTCCGACACCCCGGATGCCATATGGTCGGTATACAGAGAACGCCGGGGTCCCTGACACCCCAAGATGGTATTAGGTCGGTATACAGAGAGCACCACCGATGCGTCGGGGTCCCCGGCACCCCACGATGCAAAGTCGGTATGCAGAGAGCGCTTCTGAAGCATCGGGGTCCCCGACACCCCGGATGCCATATGGTCGGTATACAGAGAGCGCCGGGGTCCCTGACACCCCAAGATGGTATTAGGTCGGTATACAGAGAGCGCCACCGATGCGTCGGGGTCCCCGGCACCCCACGATGCAGAGTCGGTATGCAGAGAGCGCTTCTGAAGCATCGGGGTCCCCGGCACCCCGGATGCCATATGGTCGGTATACAGAGAGCGCCGGGGTCCTTGACACCCCAAGATGGTATCAGATCGGTATACAGAGAGCGCCACCGATGCGTAGGGGTCCCTGACACCCCAGGTGCCATAATGTCGGTATGCAGAAAGCGTTATCGGTGCTTCGGGGTTCCTAGCACCCCAAGATGAAATCGGATCGGTGTCCAGAAAGCGTCGCCGGTGCTTCGGGGTCCCTGACACCCCGGATGCCATGTGTTATATTATAATTGTTTTCAATTTAAATACGTTGGCATTTTCGTTATTCAAATAAACTTTGAAGTATTATTCTTGTGTAGTTATTTCTCGGTTTATCGATCCTTTAGCAATTGATAAATCGATAGCACTACTTACAAAACGACAAAATTAAAATTATTTTACATTTTATTGTAATACGAATATGAAAAAAACCAACAACTTTATTTCAAATTACATAAGAAATTAAACTTTTGTGCTATTACTTAAAATTATTTCCAGGAAAAGACATTGATGATTATTTTTTTAATATTCCATTTATTTATCGGTGTATATCATTTAAACAATTATCACATTATCAGTAATTATAATGAATAAAAGTAAAAAAAATTGGTTGCTATTTATTTTCATAATTTCATTTAATAAAAGGAGATCACATATAGGAATCACATATTTCCTCCCCTAAGTCGAAGTACCAAATGGAGAGTAGATTCTTTTTGAATATTATAATCAGAAAGTGTGCGTCCGTCTTCTAATTGTTTACCAGCAAAGATCAATCTCTGCTGATCTGGTGGAATGCCTTCTTTGTCCTGAATTTTTGCCTTAACATTTTCAATAGTATCTGATGCCTCGACTTCAAGAGTGATAGTTTTTCCAGTAAGAGTTTTTACGAAAATCTGCATTCCGCCTCTCAGTCGGAGTACAAGGTGGAGAGTTGACTCCTTCTGGATGTTGTAATCAGAAAGCGTACGTCCATCTTCCAGCTGTTTACCGGCAAAAATCAATCGTTGCTGATCTGGTGGGATGCCTTCTTTGTCCTGGATTTTAGCCTTAACATTTTCGATGGTGTCCGACGCCTCAACTTCCAAAGTAATAGTCTTACCGGTGAGAGTCTTTACGAAAATCTGCATACCACCACGGAGACGGAGTACAAGATGTAGAGTGGATTCTTTCTGAATGTTGTAGTCAGAAAGCGTGCGTCCATCTTCCAGTTGTTTACCAGCGAAGATCAATCTCTGTTGGTCTGGAGGAATACCTTCCTTGTCTTGAATTTTAGCCTTAACGTTCTCAATTGTGTCGGATGCTTCAACTTCAAGAGTAATAGTTTTTCCAGTCAGCGTTTTAACAAAAATCTGCATACCACCACGGAGACGGAGTACAAGGTGAAGGGTAGATTCTTTTTGGATATTATAATCAGAAAGCGTGCGCCCATCTTCTAATTGTTTACCAGCAAAAATCAGTCTCTGTTGGTCTGGAGGAATACCTTCTTTGTCCTGGATTTTAGCTTTTACATTTTCAATCGTGTCCGACGCCTCAACCTCCAGAGTTATAGTTTTACCTGTGAGAGTTTTCACAAAAATTTGCATTCCACCACGGAGACGGAGTACAAGATGGAGAGTGGACTCCTTTTGGATATTGTAATCGGAAAGCGTGCGCCCATCTTCCAATTGTTTACCAGCGAAGATCAATCTCTGTTGGTCTGGAGGAATACCTTCTTTGTCTTGAATTTTAGCCTTAACGTTCTCAATTGTGTCGGATGCTTCAACCTCAAGAGTAATAGTTTTTCCAGTCAGCGTTTTAACAAAAATCTGCATACCACCACGGAGACGGAGTACAAGGTGAAGGGTAGATTCTTTTTGGATATTATAATCAGAAAGCGTGCGCCCATCTTCTAATTGTTTACCAGCAAAAATCAGTCTCTGTTGGTCTGGAGGAATACCTTCTTTGTCCTGGATTTTAGCTTTTACATTTTCAATCGTGTCCGACGCCTCAACCTCCAGAGTTATAGTTTTACCTGTGAGAGTTTTCACAAAAATTTGCATTCCACCACGGAGACGGAGTACAAGATGGAGAGTGGACTCCTTTTGGATATTGTAATCGGAAAGCGTGCGCCCATCTTCCAATTGTTTACCAGCGAAGATCAATCTCTGTTGGTCTGGAGGAATACCTTCTTTGTCTTGAATTTTAGCCTTAACGTTCTCAATTGTGTCGGATGCTTCAACCTCAAGAGTAATAGTTTTTCCAGTCAGCGTTTTAACAAAAATCTGCATACCACCACGGAGACGGAGTACAAGGTGAAGGGTAGATTCTTTTTGGATATTATAATCAGAAAGCGTGCGCCCATCTTCCAATTGTTTACCAGCAAAGATCAATCGCTGTTGGTCTGGAGGAATACCTTCTTTGTCCTGGATTTTAGCTTTTACATTTTCAATAGTGTCCGACGCCTCAACCTCCAGAGTTATAGTTTTACCAGTGAGAGTTTTCACGAAAATTTGCATTCCACCACGGAGACGGAGTACAAGATGGAGAGTAGACTCCTTTTGGATATTGTAATCGGAAAGCGTGCGCCCATCTTCCAACTGTTTACCAGCGAAGATCAGTCTTTGTTGGTCTGGTGGGATACCCTCTTTGTCCTGGATTTTAGCTTTCACATTTTCAATAGTATCTGATGCCTCAACTTCCAGAGTAATTGTTTTTCCTGTAAGGGTTTTTACAAAAATCTGCATTCCTCCACGGAGACGAAGTACAAGGTGAAGGGTAGATTCCTTTTGGATGTTGTAGTCAGAAAGCGTGCGCCCATCTTCCAATTGTTTGCCAGCAAAGATCAATCTTTGTTGGTCTGGTGGAATTCCCTCTTTGTCTTGGATTTTGGCTTTCACATTTTCAATTGTATCTGATGCTTCAACCTCGAGGGTTATGGTTTTTCCAGTCAATGTCTTGACGAAAATCTGCATGATTATCTAACAAAAGAAATGAAAAACAATGTTAGAGAGTAACTCTTATGTCTGCTATTACTATACTTGCATTAATAATCCAAACTCGTTGAAATATAAAATATTACTTCACTCTTCTTTAATTATTTATTCGTAAATATTTGTTAACAGAAAGTTTTAGACTTGCAGAATGCGTCAGCATAATGGCGTCACCTGGCTGAATCAATAACCGCCATTTTGTGATCTGTTACTACGCAGTAGAAACGTCACGGATTTCTTTAAAAAATAAGATCCTCATTTCTATTAAAGTACTAATTATTCTCTTCTTGCGCTTTGCAATTCTTGTACTATATATTCACGCGTCCTCTAATTGTAGATAGAACAGCTTTCGAAACAGTTTTAAAAATAGCTTTCATGACCAGCTGTGGGTGACGCCCTTAATGCCACTTTTACAATTTGACAGTAATTACATTGTTTTAAACCCTCTTTCAGTTTGAAAAGAGGCTATATTCGATATACAGACATAAATACAGAATAAAATAGTAGAAACTTGATAAATTTAGCAATATCTGTAATTGATGCTAAATACCAAAAAACCTTAATAAACAACAATAGCAATTTCTAGAAATACTTACCCTTCGTAGAATTGGTTTATGCAGCAAAAATTTTTAATATAATTTATAAAGCGTTGAACGTCTCTTCAAGAATCACTCTCAACTGTTCCGTTGAACTGCACCGAGCTAACAGGGGACGCTCCTTTTATGTTGCTACCCTATATTCCCACTGAACATGCGCAAACGCGTCAGGAGACTTCCTTGAAGTTGCTTATTGGATTATACTTTTTCATCATCATCGCGAATGTGACGTTGTTGCATCCTATTGGTTTTAAAGACAAAGGATATTTCGTATGCAGCAAATTTTATTTAAATGATGTCATTTATAAAATCATTCATATTATATCAATATTTTGTAGACAATATTATTTTGTAAAACTATGAATTTTATCTTTGTACTTTGATTCATTAAACTATTACATTTTGACAGCAACAAATGGCCAGAGGGCGCAAGGAAAGCTTAAACAAAAGAAAATGATGAATCACTGTTTTTCACAATGATACTTTTTCCAGTAATTTCGTTGTATACGGTTTACATTTATTCTAAATATAACTGCTAGTTTTATCGCTTAGAAAATAGCTTTTCACAGAAATATTATAAATAGGTTATGTTGAAATTTACATACTTAAATAACACATTCATTTTGCGAGGATGATTTTAATACTAAATTACGAACGTTAAAATGACCAGAAATAATTATATAATGAAGCTTATTAACCAAGTTAAAATTCACATTATCATGCTACGTATGTAGTTGAAATTAAGCTGATGCAACATTCTTATAATTGTTGTAATTTTTTATTAAAAACGATTAAATATTTATCTTACACAAATAGAATTTATACGTACTTTATTCGCACTTGTTAAATATTGAGTATTTACACATGAATCTGTACAATGTAATTTAAACTTTCTCTTTCCGGAATTTCTTATTCTTTTAATTACCTTCATTCAAGTTTCACCTACATAATTACTTACCAAATGTTCATAATAAAGCGAAGACACAATCGTTACTGTGTAATACTTCATTTCTATTACACAAACAAAAAGAAAGAAAATTATTATAGATTAATAGTGGACAATAAGAGCAGATTGAATGTTTGTTTATATGATTGTTTTACATGAAATATATGACAATTTTGAAAACAAGTATTTACTTATAAATAACTATGTACATTATTAATTTTATTTCTCATTGTTAACACTGAAGTATCAGTTTCAGTCAACTGCACGATTACGTGATTTGTCAATAATTACAAGATAACATAAAAAAAGAAAAAAAATGAAAACTCGCAGACTTTATAATTTCATTTCAAGAACAATATGAATTTATTTACTTTTCTATTTTTGTAATATGTTTGAATCAGATCTTGTCGTATGTAATAAATTGAATACTGTTCTCAAATGTGTTTAGAATGGCACAGCGAACGTTTAGTGTACGTTTTCAGATATAATTTAATTCTCACCTCGTTTCTAACGTAAATAATTATTTAATACTGAAAAGATGTAATATTTATAATGAAAGTACCTTAAGGCTCTACACACATCTGGTTTTGCAGGTTAAAAAATTCAGTAGAAAAGTTTGCGAATTTTCTTTGTAAAGCACCTGCAAACGTACAGCGCACTGTATTACATTAATATTTGGTTCAAAAGATGTCAATAAATTAATAGTACATATATAGCTGAAATATATATAAATATAGTTTAATTAATACTGTAAAAGAAAAATGTGGAAGTGGCTAATGCTTGAATTTTATATTGATTTAAAGCATGTGCCAGTTCGGTCAGACATATAACAGTACTACATCTACCAAATATAAGTTTGTAAAAGAAAAAGAGAGACCGAAATTACGGAATTAGATCACTGAACATTCGTTCGAAAAGACTAGCTGCACCAAACAGAATTAATATTATATAAAATCATGTTCATAACACAGTAATTACGTTGCTAATTTAAACGTAAATTAAATCTTTAGTAACTTTGCATGCCAACTTCTAATACTTTTATTTAAAAAATTAATACAGTATCAGTCTCAGTTCTGCTCGGTGCCATCCAAAAATAAATTAACTTTGCTTTTCAATACGCCAAGTATTTGTTGTTGTAAAAAATTAGTAACCATAATCATACAGTCAGAGTGCTATTGTGTGTGTGGCCTTCTTGTTAGAGGATTTTTATTAGCTCATATCAGTGATAAAAAATCTTATGTTGATACTAAATACGCAAAGGAATATGGAAGTGAAGAAAACCTTATACTTATATCTCATGCATGTTCGATTTATTCAAAGAGGATTTGCATGTGTACAACAGAAGATCCATACACTGTGTCAGAAAAGAAATTTATTAAATGTGAACATTTTTTGCTTTCATGTGAGATCTTTAAACGAAACAACAGCAAATTATTAGGAATTCTTGACACGTGCACTTAACCCTCATTTGGTCAGCAAAGCGTCTATTTTTTAAATAATTGATTTGCAATTCTGCTTTCTTAGAATCTTCTGCGTGAATTAGTACACGCAACATGAACGTACGGTGTTAAGAGTTATCTGGTGCAGGAAAACATTCTGCACTCCTTTACGACTACACACACAACATACACACGAATTCTCAATACAAACTAACCTACTCTTAACTTCAAAACTTATAAATGTTCATTTTCATTTTCCTTTTTACCGCCACTTCTATTAAACTCCATCATACATTGTGACTCTGAAATATAGCTAAATAAGTAATCCAAACTAATTAACATATTGATCATTTCCTTCGACAAAATTCTAGTGCTGAACTAATCGTACCAATTGCCTGTTTGGGAAAGATATCGAGTAGTTTCAGAAACTTTCTATCATAACATATAATTACAAAAAAAATTTTTTTTATTCGTTTTACAAACGGTGTAGCATCTATATATTATTTTGTAATAATGCAGAAATACTTCTTACGTAAAATAAATAACTGAAATTTGAAACATTATGTTCTTCCATTAATGACACTTAAAATTTACTTAAAAATTAACATGTTCAAAGCGATCGGAAGAAACACGTCAATGTTTATCAGTTAATTTTCGTCATTAACACGTCGAACGTATACTTTAATAGAAATCCTAGACCGATTGTTACTATGCGTTCATAAGAAAAAGTCAAGTTACGATGATACAATGTAACCTTAATAAAGATTTTTGTCATTAAAATCATGACCGAAAAATAAAATAATGCCATAAGTTGTCCAAAGAGATACTCGTTATATATGAAAAATAACTATAATAGTATGATAATCAGTCATTAGTTTTGTCCTAAATTTGAACATCTTCCCATTATTGAAAACACTTCACTGAACAAGCAATTGACACGAGAGAAATTTATTTCTTACACTATATAAGTTACGAGTAAATCGGTAAAGCGAATATTTTGGTAGATCTACTTGGAGTCTGTTTCCATTTTGATCTCCTCTGTTTTTTTATCTTTCTTTGAAGCTTCGCTATCTGTTCCTTCTCCGTTACTATTGTCGCGTCTTCGTTTTCTAGCGAATCGGCCTTTATATTTGGGCGGTGGAAGTTGTTCCATACCCAAAACTTTATGAATTTGACGGAAAGCGACTAATCTCAATGCATGTTGAGCCGAAGCAGTTATATCTTCTCTTTGTTGAGCTGTCATATTACCTATTGCATCAACTGGTTCCTTTTCACATGGATCTGACAATCCTGTACAACAATATATTTACAATTATCGAAGTCCTAACATGGAGTGTAGAGAAGTTTAAATATATCTATAATGCAGAAATCAGACTGCCATTCATCTACGTGATATTGCGAAAGTCTTCATTTTGACAAAGAAAACCGAAATACTCGATTTCAAAGTCGACAACGAAGTTCACAATACCCTCAGTCTCGTCATCTTTTATCATCATTTTTTTGCATCGTTCTATATGAAAGTTAATTAAGGAGAAGGGGGAATAAAAAATTACCTGGACTTCCTGGTAGTAATATTCCTCCAGCCACACATTCCAAAAGTCTTCTTAAAGCTTCACCTGGACTAAGAGGACCTCCAGCAGTGCTGATCACTTTCTCGGTTAGCAGTTCCAGTGCCTAAGAACGATGAAATACTATTGAAGATACTACTGAATTATTACAAATACAATTTAATATAAGAACAAAAGAATGTCCATTGAAATTATTTCCAAATAATACCAAAGTAGTAAGAACTATTTATATTCTGTAGTACACAAATACATAAAATGAAAATAAATAAGGAATTCTTTAATAAATGAATTATACGTATAATGAAAATTTATTTAGTACTAACCCATGGATTTAATGGTCCCCAAGTGGGTACACGGTTACAAAGATCACGCATTATGCGAATGACCATTACACAGCTCTGCAGCGAAGTTGCTCTAGCCTGTTGAATATGATTAATATTTTAATACATATAACTTAAGGTAGATATTAAAATCTCTGAGTCTTCTGGAGATGCGACACCCTAAACTACTTTTTAAATTGCTTTGTGCGGGCTTTAGCTATCCTCCCAGCCTCGTGCCTAAGTAACCCCTAAATAATTAGCCCATATCAAAACTATCGGGTGTTTATCAAGTGTTTCCTGAACGGTTAATACCTAACATAATATTGAAAAAAAAGTACAACATATCGGAAAAAATGTGCACTCGAGAAAGTGCCAAATATAAATTCTCGAACTTATGATTAAAAAAAAACACCCGATATACTGATGACACCACTGTGTGTTTGTGCTTGTCTGTCTTTTAACGTTCAGCAGTATTTATAATGCATATCGCGAATGAAATATTAAACAGAGTTCATTTTTTTTTTCCTTTTTTTTTTAATAAAGTGTATACTAACTTTGATAACTTCTAAGACAGACCTAGAACAGACTCAGTCTAGGCTACAATGCATTAAACATTAATCCAGAATAATGAACAAGCTTGATCATAAGCATCATAAAGCAGTACAGCGCATCATAAATAAAATAAACAAAACTACATTCTTTGAAGAAAATGTCAGATATTTTTAAATGATTCTCAGCAAACAGTTTCCTATTATTCTGGATGTTGACGATTGGAAGTAAAGCAAATGTAAATGCTTTCGATATACATTAATATTTTAAATGTTGTAGTTCACACTTACATAATGCTTAAACTTCTTGTCTGAGATTATCTGATTACACGTTTGATGTTTAAACATTTTTTTTTTTTTTTTTTTTTTTATAAATTATACTATTACAACGATAAACATACATTTTCTTTTGTTTTATGAAATTGCCAATATCCAAACATTGCCACTGTCATCTATACAATAATAATAATAACAACTTATATCATAAATCTATTTAATATTGCAAATGCAAATCTTACAATCTTTGATATCTCTGATTAAAAATAACATCTCAGTGGACAAAGTGGATTGGCAGGTATACAGAAACAGGCAACATCAAACGCGATCCAATAAGTGTTTCAGACAGAATCATATCAACAAGAAGACAATAAAAATAAAATTGTCACAAGGCTGGAAGTTCTAAGACTGCTCTTTTTTGCGGACAGAGAGAGAGGACAACTTGCACGCGTTTCGCGTTATCAGGAAAAAATAACAGAAAACAGTCCTTGGTGCCAATTTAACTGGCCACGGACAATTCGAGATCTTGAACTGAGAGTTGATTGATTCAAACCTGAAACCACTTGGCATGCCTGAGTGCAGCTAAAGCCTCCAAACACTTAGCCTTGGGAAGTACATCTGGTGGATCTGGTTTCGTCACAGCGGGCGCCGTAGGCGTTGTTTGCGGTTGAGCAGCTCCCTGTTGCTGCTGTCCAGCATTATCTGAGATTCCAACAAAGAAAGCACAACACGCTTAGACAACACTTAGAGTGTTTGATCATGCCCAACTTGGGTTTATCCCTCTATAATTATGTTTTAACTCAAGTACAATTAAACTTGAGGGCATAGCCTAAAAAAGATATTCTGATTCAAATGAGAAAATAAACCTTATCGAATGTAGTACACGGCAATGATTGCGTCGCTCCTATTCATCTACGTTCTTTGTTCCGCGTTAAAGCTATTCAAAGAACGACCGACGTTTCTTAATTGCGCTGACAGCGTTACTCAAATGCAAAGAAAAGTAACGCTGTCAAAAGAATCGTCGGTTTAGAATCAGGAGTGAACTACAGACATTGCAGGTATGTGTATAACATTCGACGACAGAGGGTATTTTTCGTTAAAATTATCGATGCATGATCAAAAAGTCCATAGTTTTGAGATTGCCTCAGCGTTGTTTCCTCATACCAAAAGCGTGTCCACGTTCGTACTAAGCATATTTACTTTCCTTTCATGGAGACTCCAGCTCAATTTGTTAAACGATACTTATTGAATGTATTACTAAAAACTAACTTAAAACGAAACAAAGCGACGTCTAATCGTATCAAGTTTACGCTCTCTCTTTTCCGTTAAAAAATGGCTATCGATATAATAATTGCTTTTTTTATGTACGCTCTTACATTTTGTTTTTAAAATACTTTCCAACGATGTTAATTATAAATTAATCGTGGACACACTAAATTGCAGCTATATTGGAAAGAAAATCAAAATGTTTTTATGTTAGAGCGTATATACACTGGCAACCGTTGATGTCCTTTGGCTGCCGCTGCATCATCCTGGTGCTTGAGAAAAATTTACAGAAAACTTTCGGGCCATGAAAAGAACAAACGAAATTGATATAAACCATGTGTTCGTGAAAACAACAGCGTGAAAATAAAAGGTGCTTTCTGAAAAATTACTAGAAAAATTATCATAGTTATCCTTTTCTTGGCCACTATGAAAATATAGAACGATCGAATCACCTGCAGCTGCTGCTGGTTTAGGCGTTTCACGCATTAGAGGGCTGGTGAGCGTTACGCTGACGGTCACGCTGCCTCCTGAAACGGTCAATGCCGCTGATTCGGGATGCTTTCCAACGTTGTAAGTATCCTCTGGCGCGACTATCTTCAACTGTGCCGGAAGAATTTCAGCAACTTTATTCAATAACGAACTGTAAGAAGGAGAAACAAATTTATAAGAATGCATCTTCACCGAAGAAATAGTGTCATAATACTTTCCACAACTAACCGTGTTGGTTTTTCAGCACACAGAACCACGAGACAAACATGATTATCACCAGATAATAAAAGTCCTTTAGCCAAATTACCAACACGCATTACGCCTCTTAGTATTCTTGAATCTTCTTTTTCCTTTTGGAATGAGAATAAATTACCGTCGCTACCGTCCTCTTTCTGCGGTGTTGCAGCCTTCTTTTTATCAGGATCTTCTTTTATTTTCACAGTTGCTTCTGCGTTTGTTTGTTGTTGCTGTTGCGACGGGGGTGGTGGTTGTTGTTGCTGCTGCTGCTGCGGTTGTTGCACATTTGCAGTTGCTGGTGTCGCATTAGTTGTAGGGGGTGTCGTTTTCTTACCTATAATTACAAATTAAAGTATTTTAATTGAACGATGAATAATAATAATCAAAGTATAAAATGAAAAACATGGATAAGATATCAATAATTACCAGCTTCTGCTAATGTATCAGACACGAATTTTAATGCTTTCTCGGTATGTGATACTATTTTCTGAACTGCCAGCAGTTCCTGTTCCTTAGGGTATATCGTGGTGTGGTGAGCTAATACGTGTTTGTCATCAGACGAGTCCGGCCTTCTCTGAGGTCCTGGGAACATCATCATTGGAGGTGGTCCTGGGAAAGGACGTGGCATCGGAGGTGCTCCAGGTCCACGTCCATAACGTCGATACCATTCATAGTATTCGCATTCTTCCTCGTAACGTCGTCTTTCCTCCCAATACATCATTTCTTCGTCCATCATTGGACCCATGGGTCCTAGTTGATTAATTTCCTCTCTACGTCGCAGATACTCGTCCCTCATTTGTTGCCTACGTAATTTTTCTTCCAACAATTTTCTTTGTTTTAAACTGGGCTTCATATCGACTACCAAGTCAGGATTAACCTTCTTCTTATAAGCAAATCTATGCCGCCGTCCTTTCATATGCATATCTTTGGCATTGGGATCATTGAATCTACACTCGCAAAGCTTACAATTAAAGCTTATAATTTTTCCATCCTCGGATTTATTTTCTTCTATATATTCTTGACCAACTGGTTGAATATCTTTCTCGTCGACAGAGGTTTCTTCAACAGTTTCTTCTGTTGAAGTGTCTTCCGTCTTAATTTCTGTTGTTTGATTCTGATTTACAGTACCCAAATTTCCAGCTGTAATTATTGCACAAGATTTGGTTAGAGATGTGTATACACTACAAGCATTTTATAATACGTATAAAGATACAACGGTTAAAGGTGTACTTACATGCAACAAAATTGATTTTAGGGGTAGCCGTTACTGTAGGTTTCTTAGCCCCTGCAGCTTTAGCAGTTGCAGCTGGTTTTGGATTCAGTACAGTCGGATCTGCGCTTGGAATTGGCTTTCCAAGTTTAGTATGCAGTTTTACCACCTTCTGATGCTTAGCACCTCTGATATGAGCAGCGTACGCATCGTTCCCGGTACAAGTGACATCGCAAAGCTCGCAACGTAGACTATTCCCTGCCCCACGCGCCGGTGGCTGCTGTGGTACCTTCAGAGATGCTTCCTTCTTCTTGTGTTTTTGTCCCTCAAGATGTTCACGGTAGGTTTGAGGCCCGGCACAGCTGATCTTACAGACATCGCAATAGTGCAGTTGTTGAGGTTTAGGGGGCTGCTTGGGCCGCATTGCCTTCATCCCTCCCCCTCCAACGCCAAATCCTTTCCGTCCGTAGCCCTGCCAACCTCCAGTCTTCTGGTTAGTCGAATTGCTGTTTGCACTCTGTTGGGCTACATACATAGTCGCAGCGCTATATAGCGCTGCGTCGTAGCCGGAATACGTTGTACTCGCCGTTTCTAAGGGAAATGAAATTGAAACCTCAAACTTTGGAGGAGTCAATCCTTCGTATTCATGGAATCATTCTACTAACTTGTATTCAACGAAATAATTACTTTATTCTTCTGATAAAACATTTGCAAAGTGAGCTGCTTAATACCGAAACAGTTCTGATACATTCAGATTCTATAAAGTTTCAAAGAAATTTTATTCTGCTAAACTTTTCAACTAAACCCATAGTTTAAAATGTTAGCAGAATCTTTGTTTATGATTCATGTATTCCAATTTTAATAGCCAGAGGATCAATTTCATGTTATTAGTGCCTACATCACGGTTAGGAGATTTACACAGGATTTTGAATTTTGGCGAAAAACGCTAACGTATACTTATATATATATAAACAGAATCCAATAGACACTTACTATTTGTTGCTGTCGATGGTGTAGCAGCGGGAGTAGCTGGTGCTGTATATCCCGAAGAATAGGTAGCACTTTGAGTAGGATTGGACTGTTGGTAAGCTGTGCTCGATGCTTGGTATGTTTTAGCTTGTCCAGTAGTAGTAGCTTGTCTAGCTGTGCCTGTATAAGCACTAGTTGTACTATAAGCAGGCTTCGCTGCTTGATAATGCGTTTCAGTAGTGGTATATGTTGCGGCAGCTGCAGCAGGTTGTTGGTAATAAGTCTTGGTCGCGTCGTACGTAGCTGCAGGCGCAGCACGACCGTACCCGTAATCGTATGTTTGAGCCACAGTACCAGGATTAGCAGCTATAAGAAAAACCATGCACATTCGTTAATGTTAACGTTTAACGAAACGACGTAGAGGAAACAGATAAGTAAGAGAGATAAAGTTACCAGCGTATGTGGTCCCAGTAGCAGCTGCAGCGGCTGCTGCTTGGTAGGTTTCGTACCCTGTAGCCGCGGCAGCAGCGGGTCGTTGAGTGTACGTGGCGGCGGTTGCCGCTGGAGTTACTGCGTATCCCGCTTGACCCGTTTGATAAGCGGCTGCGCTGGTCGCCCTGTTCAAAAGAATAGTAGATTTTATTACAGGGAAGAAATATAATGGAAAAATGGAAACGGGCAAAACGAAAAAGACCTCTATCGGATCCGTGCCCGGGAGAGACGCTCGATGGACGCTCTACTCTCGGCAAGAAATGGCGGCCAAGCCGGCTGGGCTCTCGCGTGCACCGATTTTAACGAACAATTATTACTCCCGCCAACGTAGTTAACGTCACGATTTTTCGATAAACTTAACACTAGCTACTTAATAATTATGGTATGCAATCGATTTCGTACCCATATTGCGTTCCGCCGTGAGTAAACCCAAAATAATTGTTCTGAGCCATCCTTCCTCGCAGAGAATCCCGGAAAGAAGGACAATGGAGGAAGTTGTAGGGCGTGCCACGAACTCGATAGAATGGCGGCGCTGCCGCGGCTCCTATTGGTTATTCTGTTGGAGCCGGGCGCAACAATTGCAAGAATGCCGCGCCCTCAGTGGCCGCTTCCACGAGAACCTTGCGTCGTCCTTCGATAAACTACCTCCGCGCAAATCAACGCGCTACCGTACTAGCCAGAAAAACTACCGCGAGAAAGTATTCACGAAGCGAACAGATGTATACGGTTAATTGAAACTTAACTTACTGCGTGTCTCTCGTTATCTCTGGTTTCCGGGTAGCATGTAGTTCGTGAAAAATTTCGCGGCTGGTGCGTGTTGCGGCGAACGTCCGGCGTGCGCAAGGAAGGGCTAGTTTGCCGGTGACGCGTGCGTTTCACGAATTCTTTTGTCGCCCCCTAGTAGTAACTTTTCCTATCGTTTGGAATTGAAGCGCTCTCTAGTAGATTCTATTATAATCCTAATGGAATTCTTTATCGCTCGCACAACAAATTCAGCAGTAACATTCTGATTTTATATATCTATGTATATTTGAATATATTATTATTTTCTTTTATTGTATAAAACTACGATACAACATGCCGTCACAATTAGCGAAGAAAAAACATGCTAAATACTTTCAAAGGTTACTACAAATAATGCCCGGTAGCATGGCAGAGTTTGATTATTCTAGACTTGCTGTGGCATTTTTTGCTATATCAGGATTAGATATATTGAATTGTTTGAATGAAATTAGCGAAGAAACAAAATTAGAAGCGATAGATTGGATCTATAGGCTTCAAGTAACTGGAGCTGGACCACGTTCCGGCTTTCAGCCATGTACAACAATACCAAAGGATGTTCCAAAATACCAGTGTGGTCATTTAGCGATGACGTATATTGGATTAGTTACTCTTTTAATCCTTGGAGATGATTTAAGTAGAGTAGACAGAAAATCCATTGTCGAAGGGATGAGAGCTTGTCAGAATTCTGATGGATCATTTACAGCTGTCATAATTGGTTGCGAAAGTGACATGAGGTTTCTCTATTGCGCTTGTTGTATATCTAAAATATTAAATGATTGGTCAGGCATTGATAAAACAAGAGCAATCGACTACATTTTAAAGAGCATTGTAAGTTTTTACCTTTTCTTTTTCTTCTTTCTATGCCATGTAAAGAGTATTAACAGAAATGGCTTTTGTCTACCTAATTTTATCATAGCACAATATCTCAACAATGATTATAGTCATATGATGGAGCAATGGGTCAAGGACCTGGTCTAGAATCACACGGAGGATCTACATTCTGTGCTGTAGCTAGTCTGTTTCTCATGAACGAGCTTCATAATGTATTGACAAATGATCAGTTGAACAAATTAAGAAGATGGTGTCTGTTGAGACAAGATAGTGGCTTTCATGGACGTCCTGGAAAACCATCCGATACTTGTTATAGTTTCTGGGTGGGTGCAACCCTACAAATACTTGATGTTAACAAATTATCGGATCCTGATGAAAATAGAGCATTCCTTCTCAATACTCAAGATACAATTGTTGGAGGATTTGCTAAGTTTGCCAATTGTCTACCAGATCCTCTCCATACATACTTAGGTATGTAACATACAGAACTAGCACATATAAACATTTGTAGCGCATATGTAATAGATACATTTATTTTTTTTTTTTTAGGTTTATGTGGTTTAAGTTTGTTAGGAGAGACTGGTTTATGTATGATGAATGCTGCACTTAATATTTCTGATCGAGCATATAAACATTTATTAAAAATTCATGAAGTATGGTAATGCAATTAATATTTATATGAAGTATTTGCAACAACTGAATATCATATCAAACGCACAGAGCAAAAAATAACGAAAGAAATAACATTTTTGCATTTTGTCATGAATTATATTTGTACAGCTCTCATAGATTCTCTGTAGCAAGAACGGTTATTCTAAAGAGGTCAATTAACGAGATTATTATGATTTCAAGATACGTTAATAATGATTTCGTTGAAATCGAGATACTCGTTGAAAATGTATTGAAGCCCATATTAAAAGTGAAAACGGAGAATACATAATAGTATAATTCGAATGCATCAAAAGTATTATTATATACAAATTTTAAAAGTTCTAATAAAAACTATATATATATAATAAGTGTTTATAATTGTGCCTTTTATTAATGTACCAAAACAGTTTTCCCAGACATTACAAGTAGAGCCGGCCATGGGCCTAGGCAGACTAGGCGGCCGCCTAGGGCCTCCATAGCTTTAATGTTAATTTTATAAATTTTATTTAAGGTACTTTTTTCACAGCTCGTCTCGAATCCCTGAAATCTCAGGGCCGGCCCTGATTATAAAAATAAAACAAAATTGAAGTGTTAAAAGATCAATTGATATAATTGTTGGTGTTACTACCGTTAAATTGAGAAATACGACCATGTCGTATTTTTTCGTATCCATGATATAAACCACCCCTTCGACGATCGAGCGCGTACTGCGAGGAAGAAAACTTCTTGACGCTGTGAAGTTGCCCGAGCGTAGCTGCCACATGCGCCCCACCTCGCGGAGCGATGATTCCATGGTAACCGGGGTGGGTTCGCAGACCACAACAGATGACGTTTGTTCGTTGGAGAAGGCAGTGATACTCACGAGAGCGTGTTCAGTTGTTGCCGGTGTTAATTTTCATTTATTTCGAAAATTTGTGTATCGCGTCGATTAACGTTTCTGACAGTTCTGTTATATCAGTGAAATTTAGTTCGAAGTGAAACGCGAAGATATCAACAGAACAATATATCCATTCTCTAATTGTTGGAAAAGAGAAATTTCATTGTCGACTGTTAGGGTCGCGAACGCGACCCAGCTCATCAGCAGAGGTTAGTGCGCGCCTAAAATTTAAATTACTCTGACATAAGTAAAATTAATTTTACGTTATTAGAAATAACTCAATAATCATTTGAATGGTATTCGAGATGAGTATTGTCAGATAGATACGCGTAATCAAAGAAACTTTGTCTCACCATACATTTTACTCCAATATACCACTTTCACTGGAAAGGTAAAAACTACTGTATACTGGATATGCAATTTCCACGTATTAAATTATCAATACTACCGCGCCAATAGATAACTCTCCTTTGATTAAAATAAGTTATGATTAAATTTGATCTTATGAATATGATTAAGTTGTCATGTGATCTATTGCATGACATCAAAATCCTTGCGTTGAGGAAACAAGAGTTTCGCAAAACCGACGAGTCCGTTTAATTGCGTCACTTAGTCATGGCCGAACGGATGCGTGTAACTTAATTCGTTACATGTGTATTATTCGTCAGTATGTACTGAAAGTAATAGATATCAACAGAGTATCGTGGGTATGTCGTGTATATTTAGAAACAACGGCCAAAGCCTTTCTCCCGAGGTATCGCGAATTAATCGATTATCAGTACAGCGTGAAATTTTCCACGGTACATGATTTTCACTCGCGCGGTCGCGTACATCCGACGGTGACAAATAAAAAACAAAAAAGATGGATAAACGTCGAGTAAACAGTTTTTCCGACTCGACGTATAAACGTGCTTTTGCTCGTCCGTGGAACGTGGCCTGTAAATAGGTAACGTTAACCGAGCAATGAACGAGACTGTTGCGCAGCTCGCGCTCACCGCCTGTTTTTAATTACCATTAAAACTACGGCCGGCCCGCCCGCATTTTCACGATTGATTTTCATCTCTGCGAGTTCATCTCACATGTGCAGACTCGGCTATGAATTTATCGTAAAGTTTTATACGTACGCGCATTTTACCGACTTTTACCCGGGCCCCGTAAACTCTAGGGACAGCTCTGCGTATATACGCGCTCATCAACTCTGGCGGTAAATTCATTCACGGTATTTAACGAGTTGATTCGCGTTACAGTGACCAATTATCTTCACTATTGTGCACGACGATGCGTGCTGCATTTTCATTCACCTAGAATCGTTTAAAAATTAATTTAACTCGATATTTTTAACGAATTAATGTATCGATGAAAAATATACTATTCGCAACGGCTCGTGGCACGGATTATAATTTAAAATTACATTGCTATAGCTCGCATCCGTGCCGAACGTGTCTCCAACCTTGAATAAACTACCTGCTTAAAACAGAAAGAGAGGCAATAATATGTTCTAGAGCTTCGAAGGATATAAAAATAAAAGCTAGTTTATGCTGAACGCCAGGACAGGAATTTTATTATAAGATGATACCGAAGGAGTTATTTTCTAGTAACTTTAAGCCAGTGGATATTAGTCTTGATACTATAATCTACTGCGATTAAAAAATATAGATATTATCCGTGGCTATGTGTGTAGTGATTTAGATAGTTAAGGTAAGTTTAATTTTCTGCATCGAGGGATGCTTAATCAGTATGTGAAGTGATCCTCATCAGCATCATCATTGAATCAAGATCAAGCCCTCCCCTTCAGTGACGGATACTCGTGCATGCTCTTATTAAAGTAAATCAATTTACAATTTCATAAGTATACTGTAAATGTACAAACATTCGCATCCTAATAAAAAAAAAAAATTGAAAAATTATTATTACAGTGAAGAATTTGAAACCTTGATTAACCCTTTCGTTGCCACGATGGTCTAATGGGACCGGCGCTTGTCTTTTCATTTGGGCCATGGTGGTCAACGATGTCCACCACTAATTGTAAGAAAAATGTGCTATTGCCAAGATTGTACCGTTATTTTAATATATTTCGCAATTCTTTGCCATTATAAAATTTTTAATATGAAATTTCTGGCCCAATGGTGTAAGTTCAAAAATTCGCGTGGCAACGAAAGGGTTAACTATACCACTTTATCCTTGCCCTTGTTACTTGCATGCAAGAATCACGCGTGGATCAATATCCAAAAAGGACGGCTAGGGATAACCAGAAAGGAACACGTGTACGCCTGGAAAGTCGTATTTTAACAGACAAACGCGTGACCTTACCGAAGAAAGCATAATCCGTCTCTCGTAACTTTGCCCGTGTGACCACGCGCGTGTTACATGCGTGCGCAAAAGATGTGCGCGTACACGCGTGTAGTTGGTCGAAGGGCAGGTGGTGGGTATATTCTCAGACAAGATGCTCAATTTAACAAGGTGGTACGTGCCAGTTGCACAGCTGTCGGGGTGACAGCTGCTTCTTTTCGATTGTAGAAAGAAAAACGTTAAGGAAACTGGGGAGGGAGAAAAAAGGGGCGGCAGGGTTAAGGGTTGGTTGTCGATTCAAAATGGTTCCCAGTAGGTTTAACAAAGATTTTGTTGCTTTCTGCTGTTATAGGAAAGTCAAAATTTTATATTTGCTTCGGTTAGCTAAGAATCGATTTGTTTCCTGAATTCTATTTCGTAGATTTGAAAAATGTTAAGGAAACTGAGGGGAAGAAAAAGTGGGCGGGAAATTTGAGGGTTGATTACCGATTCAAAATGATCCCCAGTAGAGTTACCAAAGATTTGGTTGCTTTCTGCAACTAGAGGAAAGTAAAAATTTTAGATCTGCTGTATTTTCCTAAGAATCGATTTGTTCACTGAATTCTATTTCGTAGATTTGATCGCGTGCAGATACTGCCTTTCTAAATTCAATGCAAAATGCAAGAAACTCTGTACACGCAATGTTGAAGTTAATAAAAATTACATTCGCGTATAATTCAAGGAACTTGGGTCATTAACGACGTCCTTCCACCTATCGTGATAATACAAGCCAGATAACTAATTATAGAAATGACGAGCCTCGAGTTTAAACTATACTTATGTTCGTATAAACATCATTGCATTTCTCGAGGTGTAACAAACGTGTGTAACACACAGCGAAGTCTATAATAACGGAAGTCTATTAATAAACTTTTCCATGCTATCGATTATTGACTAGAAACCAATTAATAAACCTTTAATTACTATCGATTCACCTGCGACTCCGGTAAAATAATGAAAGTTAGGTGCGCCGTAATTAAAATAAAATTGAAAGTAACGGTCACTCCTTTTAATCTTTAAATTAGTATCAACTTATAAAATGTTAGCGTTAATCCATTTAATTTAGAAAGAAATAAATAATGTTAAGAAATATGGATCATCGATCAGTCTATAATTTATCTTGAAAGTAATTCACTGGCTCGTTGTATCGGTATGTTTAATGTATTAGTCACGGTTGACTCACGACAGCCAACCGGAAGTGATTTTTTTCTTTTTAAATATACGTTTAATATTACAACAATGAAAGACGGAAGGAAGATAAAAAGGCGGGAATTTCACAAGATTGATCATCTCACACAGATAAATATAAGAATGAAATCTTTTGACCCGCTTTAGCCGTACCGGAAGGCCGGTAAGTTTCACTCGTCACTGACATACAGTTTTATGCAATCCAATTTTCCACGATCCGCTTGAATAGAATTCAGGGAACAGTGAGATGTTTACCGGGAAATGATGACAATTCCGTTAATTGTGACAAATGCGTGGGAACAATAAAAATTGAAAAATTCTCATTGCGAAGAGCATTGTTATCGAATTTAAATAAAAGAAAGTAGAGCACTTTAGAAAATGTACTCCAATTATAGAAATCATGTTAACGCGACGGTTGATACCGATGAAAGAATTTGTAGAACAAATTGGAAAATTCAATTAATAAAAAAGGTTTGAAAAACGTCTGAAAGCTTAACAGCACCGAGTATTCCCAGTAATTTCATCCCAGTAATTTTTTATTTAATGTTAATTGAAAAATTAAAAAAGAAAATTAATATTTACAGGGGTTGCAATGATTACTGTGAAACTTCATCCATGATAGCCTTCAAAATAAGTATACAGTCAGCTACGTTGTACCAATTTAGCTGTTTTCTTTTCAGATCAACGATTATGTTAATAAAGTTTGCAAAACGATAAGCGAAAAACTTTAAAATTGACTGGCTCGAAGTTTCTGAAAAACCTAATTTCTCGGTTTACCAAGCATCGCTACTTTCTAACTGCATCAGTTGATCTAAATCACTACTACTTTCTTTATAAGTTCAATGCATATGTATACATTAACCCTTGAAGAAAATACGTCTTCGTTCCAATCATCTGAATTATTCAAACACTCCAACGATCCGAAGTTTTACAATCCTAGTTAACAGGGGATCGGTTAGGTTGCTTTAACCCTTTCGCTGCCAGGGTGGTCCCATGGGACCGGCGCTTGTCTTTTCATTTGGGTCATGGTGGTCACCGATGCCCAAATGAAAGAAAAATACGCTATTGGTAAGATTATACCGTTATTTTAATACATTTCGCAGTTCTTTGCCATTATAAAATTTTTAATATGAAATTTCTATTATGGCCCACTGGTGCAAGTTCAAAAATTCGCATGTCAGCGAAAGGGTTAATAACGGATACTCGAGCAAGCAGGTAACTGGGAAACGTAGCTACTCGATGATCGATTACAAATTGGGAAACCGCTAAAGTAAAGAGAGCGAAAGCTGTACGATCGATCACCTGTTCTCTCGTACAACTTTCCAGTGTCTCGACATGGTAGAACGTCAATTACGTCAACCCTTTGCCGGTAACGGAATTGAATTTCGTTCATGTAGATGGAAACATTAGGAATGCAGCTCGTGCTTGCGTAACCCCGTAATGTATACAAATGAATGGTATGTAGGTAACGTCTAATTAGAACGATATCGAGTGATGACTTAACACTCGACGTACACACTTTGCTCTCAACTAATTTTCCCCTAAATGGAATTCGGTAGCTCGCAATTACACGAGTAGCTGAACTGACCGCAATATAGATGAAATGGTTTTGATAGTTGGAGAGCGTTTAATGGGATCACCGATGGTCGTCGAGTGTCGGGTGATTGTTGGGACGTTGGAGTAAGTCCTTGAAGATTCGCAATCGGATGAAACGACGGGAAATTTTGAAATGCCTGACACTCCGACCGATATCGATGTTCGTCACGTTCTCGAAATACACTATGGCCGGCTGTATCGGGACTAGGTCCGAACCGTTTCCATTTGCCCTTATTACTTGAACAAATGAAAGAACGAGAGTCTCTCGCTTGCCTTGACGCTCCTTACAAATCGATCCAACTACCATACGATTACGCTTCTTATGCGAAGCGTTTCGTGTAACTGGTGTTAGGTACACGAAAAAAAATATGCTAATTCATAGGGAAGCGAGAATGTAATCGTTTATGGTAGCGGAATGTTTAATTGCATGGATAAAATTAACTCGCGTACAATTTGAAACAGCCACGAGGAAATCCTAACGTTTCTCGGTAATGTGTTTTTTCAGGTGGCGTGGGGTACGGCAGTGATGGAATTGCAGAGCTGGCTGCTCTATCATCTTGTAGCCGTAACCGACTGTAATCAAGGTATACAAATGTTAACTGTATAATGCTCTGATTCATTCCCATGAACGAGAACATCAACACCAAGAAACTCGGTGCGTCCGCGTCGCTCGACGATCGCTGCCTTACGTTGCCTCGTTACTTTCATCATCGTACACATTCGTCGTTCTTATATTTTCTCCGCAAACATTAATTCATTCGTTTTCTATCCATGGTTTATTTTAGTTACTTTTGCCTGAGTTCCGAGCGTGCTCATCGAGCATTTCTTTATTTCACTCACAATCCCGTTATCGCCTAGAGGAAACAGCAGACCACCAATGTTTGACGGTAAGTTCCGATGATTATTCATAACATTATGCTTTAACGATGTATCGTTATGTATCGTAACCGGTGATGGCTATTTTTATATTGTATCAGTTGAAAAGCCTCGAGATACATCTGCCGACGATTCCCTCGACCAAACAGAGGGTCGATTATTCGAGCGGGTATCTCGAGTGAATGTGGAATTTCTTTCTAGTGATGCAGTCGGCGGCTACACTGAACGGCGGATCTTATCCAGCCGGCGGCACCGGAAGTCGGGCTCGTGATTTAGGTCTTCGTGCCCAGAAAAAACTGCTCGGCCGAGTGGTATCAACAGGGGCCGGAAGATCGCTTCTGATAGACGACGCCACCACGTCGCTTTTAGACAATCTTTACAAACTCATGGAACGGGCTGCTAAAGCTAACCCGAACTTGGACAAAAAGCAGCCTGAAAAGGTTTTGAAGAACATCGTTAAGCTGTCCATCAAGGTACGTTAGCCTCGAGTCGACTCTTGACACGGATATGAAAATTCTTGCAGTTTTCAACGAGCCTTCTTTTCAATATTTTCTTCCTTTCTTCGACTACGGTTCTTACAGATCGGTCTTCTGCAACGTAATCAACAATTGAACGCCGCCGATGATGCGAAACTCGCCGAAATAAGGACCACTCTCCGAGCCGTGGCGATGTCCGTGGTGTCGTTTTACGAGCTGGAGTTCAGTTTTGATAGGGCGTATTTAATTAAATCGTTGGAACGTTGCCGAACCGCGATACAAACGCTCATTAAACCACACCTCACGGATAAATCTCAGGACAGATGCGACCAGGTGTTCGATTTCTTGACGCATTCCGACTTCCTCGACTCGGTTTTCAGGCAAGACTCCGAACTCAGACCTATCCTGGGGATGCTAGTCAGTGATATAAATAAGGCCTTGGATGCTGGGCATCTTTGATTCTTTTCAAATGCGTTACTTCTACGTGATCAACTGAAAGAAAGAAAGAAGGATGAGGAAGGGAAGAGTATAAAGTAAAGTTGACGTACTTGCTAATGATTAAGGAAAGATGATGAGGAGTTTCTTTCCACGTGTAGTACAGTTACTTATAATTATCTGTAAAGAAAAAGTACCGATAATTATTGTTTTCAAATGGAAGAAGAGAAATTTTAAGATACCAACAAATGCTCACCAATTTATGCAATAATTGTGAAATACTCTATTTATTTTCAGAATGTATATTGTACGATCGGTGTATATTTATTTACGATACTCGTGTGTTAGGGTACCAATTATACCAAAAAATGAAAAAGGAGAAATGAGCTTATTTATGCCCTCAGGCCAAGGGCGTTTATAGTAATGGTGGTAAAATAACAACTCATTAGTTCCAACAGAATGACGCGTGAAAGAAGCAATTTATTATCGTTAAAATCACGCTAATAATAGACACGTGCCCCGAAAAGAAGATGCCTTTCAAAGGTTCCATCTTCTGCTCGTCAAAGAGGTATGGCCCTCTTCACGTGTCGGACGTGTATACACGGGGCAAAATTGACCTCCGTGTTTTTATTCAAGCTGAGCCTCGGTACATTGTCAAACACACATAATAAAACACAACATATCTAATGTAGTCACGGCTAAGCCTGAATTGAAAAACATTCACATCACATGTTTTGTATGGATTATACACATTTTACACGTTCTTCGTGACGATTCTAAATGAAAATAAAAATATTGTATCAATATACCATTAATAAATTATTTATAAGGAGACTAATCTTTCCTTCTCTTTTGTATTTTGTTCTCTAAGCGTTGTTATTACCTCTTCTCTCAGTTAGAAGAATTGATAAATACAATTTCAATCTTGGCATGTTTATTTACATTAATTACTTAACACATTCGCACACACATAAAATTACAATATTGCAAGGTGTACGTTTACCGTCCAAATAATCCTATCTCTGAGAAACATTTACCATTTCACGTGTCAAACAAACACTTTTTAAGAAATAAATACAATTCAATTTTGTAATTGGTTCTAACAAAATTTTGTATATATTTGTTTAAAAAGTTTGTTGTTACAATAAGTTGATGAAATGTAACAAACATTGAGCTGACTGTAAACTTATCATAAATTTCTTCTCACGTATTACTTGCACTGGATATCTTTTTTCTAACAATTAAATATATTGTAAATTTTTGAAACAAAATATTTAAAAAGAACTTAAAAGGTTACTCGTTACATTGTCCCTCTATTCTTAACACAGATGATAAATACTTTTGTAATAACATTTTATTATAGATCTAGGAACACAACCATACAGAATAACAAATTAAATTATGTACTTTTATAACGAAAAGGAAAAAAAAAAAGAAAAATACATATAACACGTTCTTCTTTAAAAAATAGAAGAAAAATCTGTTAAGAAATACAAGGACAAATATTCTGAAGTTACACATGATTTCTTACAAAAATTTTTCTCTAATATTCTTATGGTAAGCATTAATACACGAGAGAATAGCTTTTCTTTTTACTACAGTAATGCAGCCATTATAACTGCAGAAAATTGTTTTATAACTTATACATATACTTCAAGTATAAAAATTATTTATTTTACACCTTTCCTATTGCATTATATAAGATAAAATATGTGATACTTAGATTTTATTGTTTGTGATATTAGTACGAAAAAATTAGGACGTTTTAAAATGGACATCAAATTGTGTATAGAAAATAGTATCACTTAAAAAGATTTCATATGAAAGCAATGAACTTGAAATAAATTTAACAATTATCGTTGAGAGCCTAAATGGATAAAATTATGGCAGGCATTAAAGACAGAATTATTTGTTATAGTTTTTTGTTCTCAATATTTATAATAAAAGTAGATGTGATAGTCCATATTAAAATGCATTCAATGTATTCGTTCATTATGTATCATCACATATATGTTTTGTATAGTTTAATCATGGATTTATAAATACAACACACATTTTTACTTATTATATAATGTAATGACTTTATGAATATATGCCAACAATTTGTAATCTGTTGGTGTACAGTACCGAATATGGCAGGTTTTCCCAGAGAAAATGACGATATCCCAGGTTTCCTACTTTCCCTGTATCGTAATTTTCCTTAGAGAAATCTACTTCGTTCGACACTATACAAGTACCTAGAATATATTTTGTTATCATATATTCACCACGACACATTGATAATCCAGTTACTTATTGTTTACTTCTCAACAACTTTTCAATCCCCAAAAATGTTGTTCTATTCTAAGCATTGAAAATGCACTTACATCATTGCTGCATCAATGAATTCAATGTATAAGACAATGATTAACATAATGGTGAACTTTATCACTTAAGTACACCAAAATTTGTAGTGTAAAAATTACATGTAAATCTATTTGTTTCAACTTTTAAATGGCTGCACATAATTATAAAATTTCATTGATAAATGCACACAGTTTTTATTCCCTAATACTTCAATTTCATCAAATTCTATATAACACAGAGGTAATGAATCTGATCAAATTTGTGGAGTATTTTCTCAAGGACTAATTCTTACAGTTAATAAGTTTAAGATTTGATGTTTGTGACCATGTTAATAACAAAATTGTATTAAAAGAAAATGAATACACGATGATAGATTATTTCTTTCTTAATAAATTTTGATTCAACAAAATAATAACCACTGTGTACATTCGAAAAATATTATTTAGTAGTTCATGCATTGATCAAAGTTGTAAATGTTTGAGACTCAACTATTTAATACAGAAATACATTATAAAGATTTGAAACAGTTATTGTTTTCCCTAAAATAAACTTTTGTAACATACTTATTGTATATTGTTCTTTTAAGGCCAGTATTAAAATTTCAACTTGATAAATTGTATCTGATAAAACTTAATGTTCATTGCAGTGTTATTCGTTGACTACTTCTTAGATTATCATTTCCAACCCAAGTTATAAAGAATACATTTAAAATCACACTATGTATATAATCATAACATATGAAAACATGTTCTTCAGAAATTATTTGTATTATACCATAAAAGAGATCCTCATTCAAAAGTTCATTAAATTTCATACATAATGACTAATATCGGTGCAAAATTTTATGTTAAATGATGAATCAAATTAAATTAACACCTTCATAATGGCGTGGTAAGGTCATAAATATAAATTATATCGTTCTTAAATCATCATTCCTTCGCGTTAATGTATAAACATACACTAATACGATTGCTTAATAAAGCAATCGAGGCAGTCGAGATATATACACCTTTGAAATTCATTTTCTTATTACATTTTTCTATTATCTCATTTATGTATGAGGTATAAAAATTTCTGACGAGTGTGTTGTTATTTTTTTCTAAATTTTAATAAATAGAAGAAAGGCAAAATTATGTAAGAAGTATGAAAGTACATGATTACTGTAATCAGAAAATGTTTCTTAACTCTAGAAGAGGTGTATATACCATTTTAGATAAAATCTTGATTATGCATATTTAAATGTACAACTTATAATTACTTACGTAAAAATCGATGCGGCTCTTCATTCGGCTAAAATTAACTTTATTGCCATAATCCTGCATAGTTACCATAAAGATTTACAGGAAGTGGTCCACCAGCTGTAAATAACCGCGTCCCGGATCCGTCGTAGCAATGAGTATATATAGCAGGTGTATACTTCACATTTTGGAATCCATCGATGTACTCTTCATCTGGAAACTGGTATCATCGTAAAAATAAATATCACATTCTTCTAAAAAATAAATCAATTTAAATTTCAATCGAATAATGTGTTAAAACGTACCACGTATCCCTTTGAAGCTTTGAGTACTACAGTTCTGTTAGAATTAATCGAAGACTCCAGATACTTTTGCGCTCTAACGTCGTAAAACATTAACATTCCTAAACCAGTTCCAATAGTCAGAACAGAACCTTGAAAGCTAGCCGATCGGATACCACAACCGCTATATCTGTACAAAAAGATACGGACACCTAGCATGTTTGGAAAAGATCATATAATTTAAAAGATTTCGATAGCAGTACGATTATTACATACCGTGAAGGTATTTTTTTAATTGGCTGCAGAGTTCTTGCATCGAGAAGTAAAGTATAAGAACGACATCCTACTGCATAAACACCATCATCTTGTACAGCAAGACAAACATTTTCTTGACAGGCTGGTAGTTTTCTAGATATTTTTTGTCTGAAAGTCTCAGCAGACCATATGTGTATAAAACTATTCAAAGTAAGAGCAGCAATTTCTTTATATGTCCTATTAAAAGCAAGTGCTCGTACTTTTTGCGCTGATCTACATTCCTTGACGCACACGGGCCGAATCAACCTAGAAAAAAGAAAGAAGAAATGAAATGACAGAGTTACAGACCGTTCTTGTTAGATGCACTTTATATTATGCAACCTATGTGTTGGCACATCTGCTTTATCAGGGGCTTCTGCAAGGTCACTGTCTATATGCCATAAAGCCATTTTGGTATCCCTAGCACCAGAAACTAAAAACTCATCATCTAACCAACACATATCAAAGACCCAGTCTCTATGACCTTCTTCTCCTACACAAACTGGATCAAGAGTAGGTAACCTATATATCGCAATTTCGGTACTATTTCTTGCTCCAGTTGATAAAAGAGTTCTGTAATATATAAATTGATGAAAAACAACACAATAATGTAAGAAATTTCAAGCGGTACCAATTTCTTCATTTACATACCTAGAAGGATTTATTTGAACAGAATGTATACCGCATTGCTGATCCGGTACAACACTACCTCCTGAATTAATTTGTCTTCCATGCAGAGATGGTATTTGATCTAATTTCTGTGTTGCTACATCATAAACCATCAATTTGTTGCATTTCGTTCCAAATACTACTTGTCTATCGCTTAACCATTGAGAACAAAAAACTTTATTCATATTATTTAAGCTAACCGAATATTCTTTATATAAATCATGAGTTAATATATGTCGAAATCCATATTCTTGATTAATTTTTCGAACTTCTCTTGTATTTGTTTCTCTAGCACGCACATAATCCACAAAATTAAAAGAAGTTTTTAGGTACTGTACTCCTTCACATATGGAGTCTGCTTCATCGTCGCTCGATTCGTAACAGACAAAATCTTCGGGCTTATCCGGTTTCCGATTTCTTTCTAATCTTAAGGCTGCTCTGTAACAGAAACATAAGTTTTTAAATAAATCAAGTTATATAAAATATATCTATTTAAATTGTTTACAACTTACCTTTTAGCGTGACGCTCTTCTAAACGATTGCCAGTAGCACAAGGAGGACGCGTACCATATACAGGTATTCTTTGCGTTTCAGCCATTTTACCGAGATTTTTAAGTATATAAATTATGATGTGTTAGAATAATGAAATGTTGTTGTACATCAAATTGTTTTAATAATTTATTACGATTTATCTTGTCTATATAATGTTTAAAATTATTCTTGGCAACATAGCCTCAAAAATATGATATTAAATATCATTAATTATTATATTTAATTAAATTCTCCTATTTAGATGGAACATGAATACATGATCTTATTATAATCAGAGCTATGTTTTACTTGTTTGACTTCCAAAAAGGATCTGATAAATTTAAAACATTTGTTGATGTTCATGCATTAATGTGGCCATTATAATGAACAATAAAAATCTCTCAAATGATGTTTAAAAGTCAATTAATCCAAAATTGTTAACGGAATTCCAATCTTCTCGGGCGAAATATTTATAAACGTGGTTGGTATGCAGTGAAATAACAAGAAACTATCTTGGCAGCAATTCTTCTTTGGCTGGAACAGAATCAAATTTAAGTTTTTTAAATATTTGTTCTTAAGAAAATAAATAAGATCTTTTGATTTTCGAAAATGTTATGAGTATACATTTTATATATTCGTGTCTTTATAATTATTTATGAAATATAACAAACCTTAGTAGGACGACAATTGCCGAAACTACTGTGCTGCCTGAGCGAAACAATTTTTTAGATGAAATCTTTTCTTTATCACATGCACAACTTCATAATTACATAACTCGTATGCACTTACAGATAATCATACGAATATCAAGGTTTTGTATCAAAATTATACAAAGAAATACAAAAGAATATCAGGAAATTCATGATAAGTAAAGAGACCTTCGAAGCACTAACGATAAGCAACTAACCATCGCCATATTGAAACGAACAGTAAAACCACATAAAATTCAACAAAGCAAACTGAAATTTTCTAAACATGTCGCTCTCTATTCGTGTAAGATATTTTGAGAAGTATCTGTATCTAAAAATCATAAAGAATAAACTAATTCTTGAACAATTAGGAAAGTTAAAGGGAGCAACTTCCATCAATTGTCAACAGAAGAAGTTTACCCCCTCTACTAAATTTTATTATAGTTGACATTTTAAAAGAAATGGCATCCTTCAAAAAGATAAATACTAAGGTGTTTGCAAGATCGGGGCCTGAATTAACCCCAGATAATATATATTGGAAAAAATATACTGTGAGTATGTTGTAACAACAACAGTAATCAAAATTTATTTATAATTTTGGTGTATCAACTAATTTATGATATGCACGTGTATTGACCTTAACCTAACAAATTATGGTTAAATTACGAAATTAAGATTAATGAAAATATATGTAATTTTTTCTTACAGCCTCCTGTTTTGGTTAAGGAATTTGGACCAATTGATTATATTGATTTTTCACCCGTGGAACCACATTATTTTGCTGTTACTTGTTCAGTAAGGGTGCAGATGTATAATCCCATTACAAAACTAGTCACAAAAAATCTTAGCAGATTTAAGGAAGCTGCTTATGGTGGTTCCTTTCGTGCTGATGGAAAACTGCTGTGTGCTGGTGGAGAAGAAGCAGTAATTAAAGTGTTTGATGTCAATACAAAAAGTCTTCTTAGACTTTTTTCCGGGCACAAAGCTGCTGTACATAGAACCTTCTTTACTGCAGATAATCTTCACATCGCTTCATTTTCTGATGATAAGACTACAGCATTATGGGATATACCCACTGAAAAACAAATTGTATCCTTTAATGAACATTCAGATTATGTCAGAGCTGGTGCAGTTAGTCCTATTTCCATGGATATATTATTATCTGGGGGCTATGATAAAAATATATACATGTATGATACAAGAACAAATAAAAAAATTCTTAATGTGAGCCATGAAGCTCCTGTTGAAAGTTTATTGTTTCTACCATCTGGTGGAATATTTTTGTCAGCAGGTATAATGTTTTAAATTATATATATTCTTGTGAAATAATGTTTTATATCTAAAGTTGCATATATTTATTAAAGGTGGAACTGAAATTAGAGTGTGGGATGCACTTGCTGGTGGTAGGCTACTTGCAAAAATCTCCCAGCATCATAAAACTGTAACCTGTTTAAAAATAGCTTCAAATGGTCACAGAATTTTATCTGGTTCTCTAGATAGACATGTAAAAATTTATGATTCTGGAACATATAAAACTGTTCATTCCTTGGATTACCCCAACTCGGTTCTTAGCATAGGAATTAGTGTAAGAACAAATTCTTATTTTAAATTTCTAATAGTATTTTTGATAGATATTAAATGTAATTTGTAATTGCAGCCAAATGATGAAACTATAGTAGCTGGTATGGTTGATGGTTTAATTTCTGTCAGAAGAAGGGAAGAAGATGTACAAAATGAAAAGCCGCAAAGAAAAAGAGTATCGTATAAGCGTTCCGGAAAAAATGTACATACACCGCAAATAGATGTTGTTGTACAAGAGGAAATGAAAGAAATCATGTCTAAACACGATGCCTGTTTAAGAAAATTTCAATATTCTAAAGCTTTAGATTGTGTAATGATGAGTTATGTAATAAATAAAGCACCACACGTTACCGTTGCTCTGATGCAGGAACTTATTAGAAGACAGGGTTTAAAACAGGCACTTGGCGGTAGAGATGGCAAGAGTCTTGTAAATATTCTGAAATTTTTGAATAAACATATAGGAAGCGTTCGATTTGGAAGAGTGTTATTACACGTTGCTAATGTGCTAATGGGTAAGTGGCTAATTCTTTCCTTTTATCGTTAAAAATTATATTAATAATTTAATCATTATTTAATAGATATCTACGAAGACCATCTAGACGAACTTGCCGCAGAACCACGAAAAATGTTTACTATTTTAGCAGCCAAATTAGAAGAAGAAGAAAGTTTAATATTAGCATTATCAGAATTACAAGGAAAATTACATATGATACTATCAGCTGCAGAAATCGTACCTGTTACATCAACGAAAGATAATCAAACTCTAGAACCTTCAAGTGCTGCTCAAAAAAATCTAATTTTAAGTATAGCATGAACGTAATACATCGCATTGTTTCATACGTGTATCATAGGAAAGTCTTGTACATATTTTTCATACATATTTTAATAAAACCCAAATATCGGATGACACGTATTCTACAATTTTTGAAATGGTAAGATACTTAAAGATGATTATGAATGTTCTAAGTATAATCGACCAGAGAATCTAAATGACTGATGAATATTATTTATGTTTGTACAAATAACTTATTAAGGTATGTAAAAATCAAATTCGACTTATTCCCATACATTAGAATATATAATCATATATTAGTTTATTTCACGAAGTTTCCTTTTTAAGACTTTTTTGCCAGGCAGCAGAGGATGGTTTAACAGGCATTACCCATCCAATTGGAATTGGTGATGCATCACTATCTGAACTTATATACTTATCCCAAGCAGTTCTAAACATAAAATGATATTATTATAAACTTGTATAATATTTTAAACTAAAAACTAGTCAATACCGATATCATCTTTATCTTACCTTACAGCAATAAAATTAGGTAAATCGGTATTATATTGATCAGATGTTATCTTTCTTCCAAACAATACTTTTTCCCATTCATCAAAAACATTTTTCTTCTGTTTCTCAATTCTATTTTCATTATCAGTCTTTAACATTAACTTTAAACCCTGTTCTTCTATAGAATACTCGCGATCGAGTGCTGACCATTGAGTTGATAATTTTGCTGTACATAAAAGGTATTTGTAAGTTTAATTTTTAAAATAGTTATTAAAAATAAACATTATAATAATACCAATAATGTTATTAAATGCTTCATCAGCTGCTGAAGATAAATGTTCTCCTCTTGCTCTGGCGATATTAGCTTTAATATTTCTCAAATTTTGTAATTCTTGTAACAATCCAAGATATTTCCGTGCATCATTTCGTTTTCCTCGAACATCAAATAGAATCATATCGGCATCTTTTCGCAAATTTTCCTCCTGTTTTTCTTTTTCTATGACAGCTTGTTTTTTTCGAATCCACAAATCAATTTGAGCATGCATCCTTTCTCTATTTTCCATCCTCATTAATTTTTCATTCTTCCATTTCTCTCTTTTAACCTTTTCTCTTAATCTTTTCTTCTTACGTTTTTCTAAATCTTTATTTAATTGACTCAGAAAATTTGGATCTGTAATAGGCTTTAACAGTTCAACAATTTCTTCTTTTGCCGCATTACAGACGTTCATTTTCTCCTGCCATTCCTCTTCTGTCAAATTTTGATTATTTTTAAGTTCTGAACAAATTGTTTTTAACTTTTCATTTAATTTGTATACCGATGCCATAACATTTTTGGTTTCTGCAATTTTAGACTTTTTACATTTGCTTCTCTGGTCATCTATATTATTACTTTGACCAACTTCTGCAAGAAACTTTTCAATTTCTTGTTTATCAGCTTGTCTTTTTTCTATATTAATTAGTGATGTAGGATCTTCATTAACATTTTCAAAAGTTTTACCCATTGGATAAACATAATTTTGATACATATTCATATTGTAACTTGTATTATAAATAGGTTGTTGGTTCATTTGGTTATATACATTATAGGATGGGTCCTTACAACTTTGTGCAGGACCCTTTAAGAAACTTTGATCATTAAACATAATTATTAAAAATTAACACCTAATTTGGAAAAATATAAAATACCCTAATACTATTTACTTTCTTAACGCATTAAATGATTATTTTAATTTGTTTACAAATTATATGTTAGCAGAAAATATAATTCTTTCATAACTTATTGCAGTATCTTCATAGAATTATTAGACTTAGTTTCTTAACACATCTCCATAATTTCTCCTTCTTTAGGAAGTTGAGCCTCTGCTTCTTTCAGTACTTTCTCAGCTTCGATATAATCTTCGATTTCTTTTAAATCTTGTTCTGTATCCAAAATCTTTTTAAGTTCCTCAAATGCTTTCCCAAGACGTCTTTGACAATCTGGCACCATCATAAGAGATTCTTGAAGTACTTCTTCTTGTTTCTTTATATCATAGTCATCCTTGTCTGTAACAAATATAAAATATTAAAAGTAGTTATCTTTAACAAAGGTGAAATGCAAATTTTAAACTATTTTAATCAATGCATTTTGTACACCAATCATTGCAACGTATGTTTTTTGAATGTTTAAACATTTCGACGATTAAAATAAATGAAAAACATACAGAAGCATTTAAACAAATAACACAGCTATTGAAAGGATTTAATTGGCTAGAGAGTTTTTTTCAATATATTTTTCAATATATTCTCACCCTGTTCCTTTAATTTTTGTACCCTTTCACGTTGCTGTGCTGCTTCTTTCTCATAAGTGACTTTTTCTTTTGCGAGACGTTTCACTACTCCAGTCTTAATTTTTAGAGTTCTTATACGAGGATCAGACATTGTTTTAACTTAAATATTTTACCTCGAATGTTGGAAACGAAGTGGACAGTGATTAAGAAAAATTTTTCCTTATAAGGTAAGACGAATGGCTAGAAATGAAATCAAGAGGAACTACGTTTTTTATAGGTTATACCGATTTATAGCCGGAGACTTGTACCCCGTTAAGTATTAAGTGAAGTTCTTATGATAGAACAAGACAATTATCGAAAATGTCGATAACTTTAATCGATCATTTATGGTATACCAAATTATTTTTGCGTTTTAAATTGTATTACAAATTTTATGCTAAAAATGGTATAAAATTTCTATTACATCGAATATGTTCGCGGTTATTACTCCTTACGATGAACGATGTTCTTGATAATACTTATGCATATTTATTAATACAACAGGTGACTCTTTATTTTATAAAGTTTTAACTTAAGATCTGGACAATTGTTACTATAACAATTAGCAAAACTTCTTATATTTTAATATTTACATAAGAATAATAATATGTTAGTTATTGATTTATATTCATGAACACATTACAGAGAGGTGGTACAGATAATCTTAATTCTAAAGAAATAATGATGAGCCTATTTGTATTTATATTTACTACCATTTTTATTTGTAATATAAGGTGTATTTAAGTTTTATTTCTTATCAACGTAGGTCAAAGTTAATAATTTCGCGCCATTTAATTTCGAACGTTCGAGACTTGCAGGAAACTTCAAATGGTATCGCAGTCATATCCCCCACACTTCCGCAGAAAAACGCTACATCGTGTCTGCATTGAAAGGTGCAGTAAGAGAAACAGAAGGGTTAATTGTGTATTAGTTTATACTTGATTCTCCGAGACATGTAACGAACAATAGTGACGGGATTACAATGCAAGACGACATTTTTCCGGCTGCAGAGAAAATCCTTTCCGACATCGAAAATGTGGTGAAGAAGAATCCGTCACTGTGAGTGTTTTTCTTAGATACATTACGAGGGCGGAGTCTTTAAAAATATCTGTGAAATGTGCCTTTTAACTCTTAAGTTTGATGCATTAATATATACTATAGACATTATAACGTTATAATCAGTGCGTTTTAATTTTCATGAGATTAAATTATAAACATCATTTTTATACGTTTCAATCAAACACGAGTATGTATGATGGTTCGTATAAGGTTTGCACAGTAAATACAGTGTCAGTAATGTTGGTATCTGATATCTAACGATAGGAAACTGGCGCCATCGTGATTATTATATTTTAATGTTTATGATTGTATATTTCTATATATGCATTAATATTATTATTAATATTATTATTCGAACTATCTGTCCTATGTCATAGAAATAACTAGTGAAAATTTCATAATGTTATAAAAATATTATATATATATATATTAGTCTCTTATTTTTCTTTGTATTTCCTGAAAGATTTTTATTCTGACTTGTGATTTATTATTTAATATTTAAAACGAGCCAATGACAGTGTTATGAAAAATGATACCAGGTATCTATAGTCTAATTTTTTCATTCAGTAGCAGTAATTGAAAAAAATTGAAGTTAGCGTTGTTCACGTGTAATTTCAGGAAAAGTTTCGAAATAGTCCCCGCGGAGGATAATGAAAACAAATCGCCGGTGTTCCACCAGGAAGACTACCTCGGTCTAGCGTCCTGGTGCGTGCAACCACTTTACTGCTACGCTTACCGTCGCCTCTTCGAACTTCGCCAGAATAAGCACAGACGAGAGGAGCCTAGTACAGTTGCAAGATGGTTGCTGGGAGCTTTGTTATTAAATCCAGACGTTACAACGTTCTGGAACATGCGACGAGAGTTAGTAAGGGGACACAAGTTGGAAGCAACCGAGGAATTCTCGTTTTCACGATTAGTGCTTTACCATAAGCCGAAATGCTTCGAGGCGTTCGCCTACCGACGGTGGTTACTGTCCTATGTATTGAACTCTAAGGACACCCGTTACGATCCTGAACCAACGGAATCGCCGTTGTGCACGGAATTGGACATAGCGGCAACGTGCGCTGACCGATACGCGAGTAATTATCACGCATGGAGTCATAGGCGTCACATAATGACCCTACGCGAATCACGGGCATTCACTTATCCGACGCTCGAAACCGAATGGAAGAATTCTCTTGCTTGGTGTCAACGACACGTGTCGGATTACAGCGGACTCTCCTATCGACAGTTCTTGCTGAGGAAGTACATGTTCGAGTTGAAAGAACCATCGAAAGAACTGTTTAGAAAGTGTCCCGACGCCGGTGAACAATGTACAGAGGAACTGTTTGATTACATTAAATCAAACATCGGTGACACGGAGGAAGCTGATAAACTGCAAAGGCTGTTCTCTACGACCAACGCGGAATTCCGAACGACTTCCATGAGAATGGAACAACAATCGTATTTCCGCGCTTTGTCTTACTGGGTGGAAGAATGTCGCGTGAACGACAACAGTATTTCCATGTACCACGGTCACGAGTCTCTCTGGTGTCACCGTAGGTTCCTCGGTTATCTTTTAACGCGCTTCATAGAATCCTATGGGAAGCATCGTTCTTCCTGTAGGGACGCGAACGAGGTCAAGAGCGAATCTATTGATAAATCAATCGAAACGAAGGATGTCGAAAAGATGGTGGTTACGATAGACGACGATGTAACTTTGTACCACGATTTTCTCGTCCAAGCTTTCCGTGCCTCGACCGAGAGAATCGGTAACGTTGCGACGAAACGAGATCAACACGAAAAGATGCTCGTAGAGAGATTTTTGAAATTTCTGAAAAGCATCGGGTTCGAGATTAGGTCGTGATTTTATTAGCCACGAACGAAATTATACCTTTCCGGTAAAAACAGATAAAAAGAAAGGAAAAAAAATGGTATGTAATCTTATAAATAATATAATATAGTATCAGAGGAATAACGCAATAATTGTCATTCTGTATTCCAGGCAGATGTTATTCCTAGGCGTGTATCTACTACCCATGAATTGTATCTCTCATTAGTGCTCTCTCGTGTGACCCATTCGCACGGCGAACCCTCTGTGCATAAATGATAGCGCCGTTTCAATACGTAAGATTTAATCAGTAATGTAGATCAGATGGAATGAGTATCAATATTTATTTTTGAGACGTTTATGGTGCATCGTATGAAGGTAAACCTCAAATAAACCGGACACGAGATCGTGTCGTAATAATCAAAGGGAAAGAACACGAAATCGGTCAGCGTTTGATTTTTCTAAATGCTGTCCAACCTTATTCAGGAGAATATTATTATAATTGCGTGATACAAAAGAAAAAAAAGTGTCTTTTGAGGCTATAGGGAAGTATTATAGCGAGACAAACGTGTATAGCAGTATGTTGATAAAAGTTCGAAGAAAAGAAAGATGTTAGTTTTGTAATCGTATGTTTTTAGTCACCTTAGAATAGCGAGGGCCTGCGCGCAGGCCATTTTACATCATCAGGCCAGTTGTTTTCACGCGACTAGGTACATATGCGACATTGGCCACGTTGTCCTTCTTTGGCACGACAATCTGACCAAAAATAAACTTTTAGAATTTTGACTGAACTATTCAGTCTACCGGGAATGGTTGCTGAGCGCGTGCGATCGTCAGGATTTTCGGCCACCAACTTCTATAACTTCCGTTTCATTGTTACATGTTAATAAAGTTCAGTGAATCCTGTCAACAGCTTATTCTTTTGTACACATAACATTATGATCCATGTTAAAATAGTTTTTGTCATTCAATAACCTCCATCTTTAGAATGATTTTTGATTCGCTTTCGCAGGATGAAGGTACATTAAAAAATATTAATTATGTGTCTTAATGTTTCTGTCGATGGCTTTTAGTTTTAGAGATATTAAGCTTTGAACTATCAGAAAGTTTGTACATAACTTCGCGTTCGATGACGTAATGATACAGTTTATATTTTCGCGTCATTTTTCATTTTATTCTATTTCTTATAAACTGTGAGAAAATTCTATTTGTATCATATTTATTTTATCCCATTATTTAAAAAAATGTATAATTATCTAACGTACTTATAGAGGCAGCTTAATTTACCTAAAATACAATAAATTATGTGCGTACATACCTTCGCAGATTATTATTTCTCGCGTGTGGTGGTTAATAGATCGATAATCGCAGACGCTGTCATCGACTATGTGATCAATCGATAACGTAGTTTTCGAGAACGCGGCAACGTGCATACTGTGCGGGGTAAAACGAGACTCGTGAAAAGTTTGGTTATTGTTTTAGACGCGGTTCTATTAACGATTTACTCTTAATATATTATTCGAAAGTCGCACGTGACTATTCTCTAATACGTCTATTGGTCGATTGATTCGATTGTGCGACGACGAGGCGGTCGATAGGCATCCTCAGAAATTCCGCTAGTGAGGTACGTTAAAGAAGCAACGTTCAACGCGTAGTGGCGGGTCGGACAAGTATTTTTTTTTCTATTCATTCAAAAATCAAGCATTCCTCGAAAGTGAGGTTCAATGGCGTCTGAAACTAGCCCCGCTATTCAAGATAATCTTCAAGATTTTTCGAAACAAAACAAGACGCAGGTCCTGCAAAATACAGGTGAGACAATTTTTATTTTCTAACCGTCACGCTTTCGATGTATTAGACAAAATTCATTCCTTTGTTTATTCAATCAGTTAGAACATTTGCGTTGAATTTTAATGAAATAAAATTCAATTGTTCCTATTTGCAAAGTTCCCATTATTTATTTCGATTATTTTCAGGTTTTTGTTTATTTTTGATATGGACATAAAAATTGATACGTAACGAACTATGGCCGAGTGATTGCAAAAAGTTCACGTTACGAGGTTAAAATTGATAATCTGAAATTCGTGGGTGAACTGTACAAAATGATACTGATCTTCATTCGGGGATTCCCGCTATTTTTGAAAACACGTGGTTTGAAACAAAAGCCTTGAAACGAGGACTTTTATATTATCGTGGGAAAGAAAATTATTTTTCTTCAGCTACTGGACATCCGTCCAGGCAAAAATCAGCCGCAACGATAGAAAATTATTGAACCTTGACCTATTGCCCAATTAACCCCTCCCTTTCACCTCCTGATCCTTTATTCATTGACCCGACGGCGAATGTAATAGACTTCAAAGCGACATCACGCTCCATTTATTCCCAGGAATGCGTGAATTTTAGTTGAATAATAATCGAAGCTCGTCAAAGTGGTAAAAATCCTTTAAGAGGATTGACGTAGCGCGATCGAGAGCTATGGAGTGTTTGTAAGAAATATTTTATTTAAATGAACATTACCTAGCCAAAGGTACTTATAGCCCAGAAGCATGGGATACCCTGTATGAATGGAGGATAGAGAATCGATATAGAACACCGTCGTTGTTGAACGAACTTTAACCTCAGTTTGATTGGCATCTACAGTTGGTCACAGAATTATTCGCTCACCGTTTAAAACAGAATACTTCGTTTAAAATTGGACCAAATTACTTGAGATTTCTCGAGAAGCTATACAAATTAATTTACCAATTTCAATTAGTTGTAACTTCTAATTGACCGATCTTAATGAAATTTTCAGCAAACACGTAACATACTTAAATTGACAAATGTCATATTTTAAATTTTCGTTACAGGTTCAGATAAGAAAGTTAAAAAATTTCCTTTTACTATTTCTTTCCCAATTTCGGCAAATTTTAATTTTTTAAAACGACGAAGGCAAATAATTTAGTAAATTAATTTGTATACCTTCCCGAGAAACCTCAAGTCATTTGGTCCAATTTTAAACGAGGTATTCTGTTTTAAACGATGCGCGAATAATTTTTTGACCCACTGTATATTACTATAGCACGCTCTAAACAGGAACTAATTTATTAGGTTGTTGCATATTAAATGGGCGATTTCGAGACATCAAAGGTTTAAATATTCCAAAGGTGACCACGCAAATCTGTAATTAATGATCTTAATACAAATTGATTGAAACATAGTTGCACTATTTTTCAGCTAAATACAAAGCAGTTTGGATTATTTCGTGCTAGGCAATGATTCGACGATAATTCCGCTTAATTCGTTGTTGGCATGCTGAATTGTAAATAGAGAGCAAGAGTCCTTCAGTGTCTCGCTTTAAATATCGCGATGAATTGCGTTCGTGCACGAGTAAACAAGACATCCCATGAAAGATTTAGGGAAACCGGTTGGGTATCATTGAGGAACACGATCGACGAAGCTGAATCGTCTCTGCGTAGGATATATCTTCTTGTCACGGAATAACTGTGAACTTGCGACCTTCTGACCAGAACGGACGCGCACACACGCACGCATGATCACTTAATACTAATTGAGACCGAAATAACGAGCACACGGATAAAATGGTACTCCGACGTGCTATCGGTCAAACTCAGAAGATATTACGGTTATCGCTGCTCTTTTCCATCTCGCGAACATGCCTCACGGATGCTCGTTTTCATTCCCGACTCTTGCGAATTCCATGCAGCTACCTCATCGTGGAATTCCCTGGCAAACAACCAGGGAATCGTTCTGACTCAACTAGGATCCTCAAATATGCATCGGCGTAATTTGGATTTTTATCTGGAATAGGACAGGTTCGTTGTCTTTAAATAACAGTGTCAAGAGTCTAACATCGGTAAAAGTAAATAAATAGCAGTACAAAATTTCAGGAAATACCTTTGACCAGCTTTTCCATGCAAACGTCCCACTGTGCGTCGCCAGGTTAACGGAGCAAGGATCTTCAATTCGATTCTTTCAAAAGTAAGAAATCGTGGAAACGTTTATTTTGTAAGCTTCGCGACGGTTTATAGCCGTCACCGGTACCTGAGTAAGCAGGGACGCTGCAACATTGTGTAGTTTCCCTTCCATTACCTTATATTTGTTGCAGGTGTTCGCGTAAATGCGGTATTCCTCGGAAGGATGCGCGGTCTATTGCCAAAATCTGTACGTGATCGCCTTTGTGCATACCTGAGAGAGCGTCGAGGTTTAGTCTTTAGTCAGAGGCACTCGAGGTCGTGTCTGGTCTACTGGCGAGGTGCCCTCCGATTCTTCAAACGGAAAACGGGAAATACCGTAACGCGTCATCCGGTTTCAGACGAATCGTACTGTTTCACCCGAGAACACGTCATGTTCTTTGTAAATATTCTATAGACAAACGCTTTCTCTTTTTGATTATCGATCAGTGAAAAGGTCACTTTTTTAATGGCGCTAAGAATTTATCAGATACAAGGTAAGCTGGCCCGATATACACGAACCGTCCGCGCGGTGAACTTTATTACGAAAGCGAATGTCTTCTTTAATGCGCTCACGTAACTCAGAAACCGAAGAAATAGTATACTAATGCTAAGGTTGACATGATGCAAGAGGGCTTTTTAAACGAATTAAAACGCCGTTCGAGGGGAACAGGCGTGAAATCGCGTCTTCGTTAAATTGTTTCCTCAACATCAGTCGCTACCCATTCAACGGTATCTTCCTTTCGCGCTGTTTCTTGTCATTTCCGATCGCTTCGTGTCTGTTTTATTACATCACTCGTTTACGTGCTGGTATATTCGTCGCACGCTTTTCTGTCATGTCGACGCGAGGATTCTCAGGTGATTCAATATTACGATACTTCCAAAGTTCGTGTATCCAAGATTAACCGCAATTAAATATTGTACTGTGACGTGTTACACGTGTTTAACACTCCGATTGATTAACACTTATGTCTCGCTTTTATTACAACTCTCGTTTTTAATTTTGATTTTTAAGGATAGGGTAATAAAAGCTTGTTTTGAAAATTTTCCAGAAATAGAACAATGTTTCTTTTTCTATTAAATAAAATCAGCTTTAAAATATGACAAAACTAATGCATAAATATATTAATATATAAAAAGTGTTTGATTAGAGGTAGGCATCCTTCGAGGGGATGGTAGCTGGAATGATTTTGAACAACTTTTCCTTTTACCAAAATGCTAATTAATGCTTAGTTTTTGAATTATTAATGAAAAACAAGGACCAATGAGTGCGCGCATAGTGCGCATGCGCCGACCCTGGAGTGTAGGCTATGAACCGACGCGCCGAGTAGTTTGTTCGCGACCACGGTCGAGCGCGCTTCTCGTAGCTGTCACTCGTACCCACGTTCTATCCCACGCTCTGATTGGTCGATGTCTTTCAATTAATTATTCAAAAATTATACCCTAATAAGCATTTTGGTAATCATCCCAACTACCACCTCCTTAAATAATGTTCATCCCTAGCCAAACATTCTGTATAATGGTACGATTATTTCGAAATGTAACAACAAATTAATTAATATTACTTCCAAAAAATACATATCCTTTATTCTCCATCAAAAAATAATTTAGAATGAAATATACACATATTAACCGCGACTACTGTGAATTCATTTCAGACAGTGAATTAGGATCGTCCTTTCGTCGAGCCAGTTCCTTAAGGATATCAAAGTCATCGAATTCGAGCAACGCCGATCGTAATCGATTACACGTGTCATCTTACGATGGTAAGACATCTCCATCCGCTTCATGGTCGTCCGAAAAATCGAATGCTACGTCAGTCCGGCCCGCCAGGCATTCCGCACCTGCGATCGACGCACCTGCGCCGGAATATCTCGCCAGAAATCTTCTGCAACTTGGCTGCCCGGCTGTGTCAATGCCCACGTAAGTCAATCTGATTTATCACGTATGCATTCGTTACGAATCATCGGATCCTTTCGGACGTACTCGGTGTAAGGGACGTCTATCGCCGCGGACGTGTCGTCGATGTTTTCTCAGTCAGAATTCGGAGCACCGCGCACATCGTTTCAGGATGCTGGCCATCGCGTGACGCAGTTGGGTGTGTTATCATCGTTATGCAAGGATCCGTCTTACATATCAAGTGAATTGTTACAAAATCCTAAGTAGCTAGAATAGTGTGAAAAGTTGTAATCGTAGGAAATTAGTGATACTCTGAAAGCGTTACAATTTTAATGCAATTTGTCGAAACGATAGGGCTTGGAGTATCGTAACTGGTACATGGTATTCGGTGCGAACAGATAGAAGATTGTTTACGCATATATTTGGCTGAAGGTTAAACATAAGTAATTCCAGTACCTCAAGCCCTCTCGTTATGTCTCTAACTCGACATTTGGGAACCTCTCTAAGTGATACAGTTTCCCTGTCCAAAATTTCTAATCGTCCTATCGAATTGTTATCATCGTAAATTTCTATCTGGCGCAATGCTCCAGAAAGATTAGAAAGCGGTGGTGAAACGTCGATCTCGTTACACGTCCTACTTGACACGGTGGACATTTTTCTCGCCCCGGGATCCACGAGCATCTCGTTACGCCACTGTGTCAGTTCCTAGCGCTTGCTATATACCGGTAGTACCTTAATGAGGAAGTTATTTTTATTTGGTCGGCCCGTGTGGCAATTAAATGTCCACTGTAAATATATAGTTGTCGCGAGAATGCGCACGTGTATCGTTCTGTTTCGCTCGTACTAAAGTATACGTGATGCGACAGAACTAGAGGACGCGATTCGTTTAGTCCCGGGAAACAACATTCGCGATCAGCTGACCGGCACTGCTCTCCCTCTCTCTATTGGCCGTCTTCCTGGGTGCAGCGATGCGATCTTTCCCGGTTCATTAGTGTGAAATAACGTGTACACGTGTACACAGACACCCGTCCAACGTTCGTGCACTCGTACACAAGTCGGCCACATGTATATAGCTATACGTGCCCAGCAACGTGGTATTCGGTCAATAGCTGGCAGACTGGCGCAGACGCGCCGAAACAGCTGAGTGTGCGTTCACGTACATCCCATAGTGATGTACCATTGGTGTACATCCGCGAAAGTGTCGTCGAGTATCGAAGAGCCCCACGAGCGTGGAACTGCACCACGATCCACGCACCGCATTGCCGTATTTTTCGTAGCAAGCATTCGTGGGACACGCTTTCGCCACGTTGTCCGATATCTGACGCACGCACGAGCCGTTCCTTCCGGTTGGATCCGTGCCGTTCAAACCGCAACGAGATGAAGGATACCGATTCGCTTTAGAAGATCATCGAGAGGATCCCTAACAGACAACTGGATACATCGATCTTCGGCAAGAGAATTCAAGAAAAAAAATAAATATAAAAACAGAAGAGTTAAGAATTGGATTCATCTTCCGGATAGTTCTCCGGAGAAATGATGCTGCAACCGTATTGACCGAGTGAACAACCGAGGTGTCCTCAGATTCTAACGGAGGATTGTCAGGGCCCTTTTTATTGTATACGATGAATATATAGAAAGAGTTTGAAAGTAATTAAATCTGTGGATCGTGGGAGAAGATCTGTTTCGAGTCGTTTTTTTGCATGTGACAGTGTAGCAATAACGTGGGACAGTGGCGCCCCTCTATTGGACTGCTAGCTACGACAACACTCATCGCAGGTGTGATTTTGTTTAAACTAGTTGAATATTAAATTGTGTAATCGAGCATAGTTGGATACTTCCATATATTTGTCTGTTGCGTATCTTGTAATTTGAAAAAAAAAAAAAAAAATTTCTCCTAAACTGTGACTATTTCATCCCCGTCTTAATATATTTAATAACATATTGTTGAAGCGTTCGAATTTTATGCAGGTTAATTAATAAATGACAAAGGTCGTTTCTTAATTGAAATTCAAATTAAAGGCTGATCAAGTATCTTTGTTGAATAAATTCTTGGAAAATGAATTCATAACGAAACAATGTATCGTTCTAAGAATAACTAAGTAAGTGTTTTCCTGTTACGCGATTTAATATCTGGAAATGAATGTTTGTTTCAGACCTCGTGGAGGAGTAGGATCCGAGCCTCCGCAGAGTAGCGACAGCGATGAATACCCGACGACACATAGCCATCATCAACAGCAAGCAGGTCATGGTCATGGGCAGGGATATGGTCAAGGACAGGTGGATGTTTACAACTTGCCCAAAGTCCAGGTGTCGGGACCGCCTAGCAACGATGAATCCTCTTCCATCATCAATGGGTAAGTCTCAATGTCTTTCTTTACCTTCTATTTCCGGCGATGATCATGCGTTGTTTATCATTAGTAGTCCGCGGGTGTTTATGCAAATATAAATACAGGGTGTTTTAGTAATCATGATATAAGTGGGATCAGGTTGATTCATCTTGAGAAAATAAATTGAAAGCATGTACACGTGTAGAATATAGTTGAAGCTGTAAAATAATTTATTTAGGACGTTATACATTAACCCTTTAACTGCAGGTGTGATTTATAAAGCACATACTAAAATTATAGCCAGAGGCGGGTGTGGTATATAAACACCATGTTAATTTTTGCTAATATCAAATAGCGACTGTGGCTTATATACCACTAAAATAAAAAATCACTTTAAGTGATTTTTCACCAAAAGAATATCACTTTAGTAATATCATTTGAAATTAGAGCGATCGGCTGTGCTAAAAGTACCCACAGTTAAAGGGTTAATAGGGATACAGGCAGAGTTAAAACGTGTCTTCCTGGTTCTCGTTGCAGAAAAATCAGAATGAGCTTATTAATTTACTCTCGTGGGAAAAAATGGAGAAATTCCAAACTGTTCTCGTTAAACGATACTTGCGCGTACACCGTTACACTTCGATGAATCAATTTTCCCATTAGTAAATAAGCTCTCACGATTGGTCACTTATTTTTAGTTCAACTTTTATACAACCAAGGTTGTGGCATCTGTTCTTCTAAAAATACTTTGTTCGGATATTCCTTTTTATTCGATGTATCGATTTTTTGCCACAGCTTTGATGATCATTAATTTATTAACACCGGAACAATCTAATCTGTCAGAACGACGAATTACAAATTTACTTGTTAATTATCGTTGAAGTGTTAATGGATACTTGAATAGCTCATAATCTGATTATCTAATAATTATCTTTTCAATTCAGAACGCATGGAAAGTCGAGTTAAATTAATCGTATAATCAATGGGTAATTAAAAATTTTTATTTATCGTTCAATTAATTGCCTCGGAACGATTCCCTTAAAAAATTCCTAGAACCGTGTCAGCGTGTTATAAATTGATTTGAAATACTTCCACTTCCGTAGACTGTAATTTCATAGAACGCTGACGGATGCATTATTGGAAAATAACAGTTGAACGACTGTTTTACGAGCTTTTTGTTCCTATTATATATTTCAATTTTCACTTTTTTTTTTTCTAAGTCAGCGGTCACTAAACTACGACCCTCCAAAGATTTTCATCTGGCCCCTGAATTTTATTTATAAATATTTTATATAAGAAATATTAATATTAATTTTGTTACAAAATTGCTCTATTATGATTTGGTACATTTTAATAGATATTTTCCATTATAAATTCCAATTTACACACGCAATGTAAATTAATGTTCTAATAGGATTTCAATAAGAATATTTTTCGTCCAGCCCCCGTGTTTTTAAAAATTTCAATCCGGCCCGTTTCTCAAAAAATTTGATTAAGTAAAACCATTAAATTCCAAGTTGCTACAAAAAAAGGAAACTGGAAGTCATGGGTTAATTGATGCAAATTGAAATCCTTTGTATGTGGTAACCTGGACACAGGAAGTTGAATCGATATTAAGTAATCCTGGTTTCCGGAATAACCAGCTCGAAGGGTTAATCGTGAATCCCTTATCTCGTGCTTAACCCTAATCAGCCAACGTTCATGGCAGAACGATATATTTCCACGACAGCGTGGTGTGTGCGTTTCCATCTAGCGATACAGAATTTTCCAGTAGATCGCGTGCGACAAACAGTTTTAATTGCTATTGATTATTGCAATTTCGCAATGCGGTCGTCGATAAAAAGAATCCAAGAGAGCGACAGAGGTTTCTGTATGCACGATACGCACGCACGCGTCATCTCCGCACACGATTATCTATTTTTCAAAGATCTTTTTATCTAACCGCGTCGAATCGCGTTCTAAATTCGTTCGACATTGACTCGGAGGATTTAACTTCGAAGCTAGAGAGTCTCTTCAATCAGAGAACTCACGCGTTTTTATCGATCGCGTAAGAGTCTACCCTGCGAACGAAAGGGAGAAAAGATTTTTGAAAGCCACGAAACGAGAGTCAGCCGCTGAATACGCGACAAAGCCGAGAGGGAAACGCAAACGAAGTCGTTACAGATCAGGTTTTGTGCGAACGTTCAGTTCCTGTCGAGTAGACACCAGTCTGCTCGGAAATTATGCTCTTTATTGAAGGTATTCACCCGACCACGTTTCAACTAGCACGCGTGTTCCCGGCCACACGTGCACGAGCAGAAAGGTGTAAATAGAACGTGATTGCCTGGTTACGCTACTGGGAATCTTTTTTCTGTCGTTGACGATCGAATCGCAATGGAAGAAATTTATTATATCTTCTTAGAGTACTTGCATTTTCACGTGCCAGTAAATCGAGTCTACTTTTATTAGCTTTTTTTACTGTTTTATTGAGGAATAAATCTGAGATAAATGGAGAAAAAGAACTGCCAATCAAGAAATTGGCATGGCTAATTTTCAAATGGTCACATGAATTTCTCATAAATCACCACAGCATGAGTTGCCATAATACATAAAATTCCTTCATTTAAGGTATCGTATAGAACTGATCGTTTGCCAAGTTACATGGAAGATTACTTTATTAATGGTCATTCGATTTTCATGAAAAACAGATGAACCTAGATAAATGTAATTGGGACGAGAATCTTGACTCTCGTGACAGTGATCCGTTGCCACTCTTTCACGGAATTACACTTTAAGGTTTCCCGATGTAAGCTTTTGATATTAAGGTTAATCTCCCTGATCCAGTTTTTAACCTGTGCCATAGTTATTGCACTTTTAGATGGCATAGATCGTCTATCGTTATCGCTCTGATTCGCGAACGAATCGTGTTCTTTAATGAATTTACAGCAAGAGATACATCGTTGCGAAATCGTTCGAGTATATTTGACGAGATACAAGTAGGACACGATTATTAGTTTGTACATATTATATTTGTTTGCTTCTTGATCGACGATAAGAGTTTCGTAGATTTCAAGCCTCTTTGACTCTCGTATGATAAGGCTGGGTCAATCGTGGCCTTACGTAACGATGGTACATTCATTAGAAATAGACTCTTGAATTTTGTTATGGAATGTATACTTTCATATCTACAGGGTGTCCCAGCACCCTAGTATTCTATATGATAAAACAAATCGAAAATAAAGAAAAAAAATTTTTTCATTTCAGACTTTGTTCTTGAGATCAGTTTTGAATATTCAGTTAAGTATAGATAGGAGTCATATGTCACTTATAAGTAGTACTAATATCAGTATCACAATTAGTAGCACAATGGGCAGCATTTTCAACAATTTTTGCATTAATAAAGTAAGTTAGTAACTAAATTACATGTCTTATTTTCATTTAAATCTACTTTAAATCCATAGGTAGAAATAAGTAATACAGCACATCATGTTGATACTAATGATATTAGTACTACTTATAAGTGACACATGACTTCTATCGAGATCCATACATCTAAATCATAGTTAAATGAAAAAATTTTTTTCTTTATTTTTAATTTGTTTCTTCATGTAGAATCCCCCCCCTCCTCGGTCGTACTACCTATGCTGGGACACCCTGTATATAGAATTGCAGGAAGCATATGACAAATATGTATTATCTTACGTAACTTATGTTTTGCCTGCCATTTCTCGCTGAAATTAAAAGGAAAGGCTTTGTCTCGAATTGTGTACATACAAAATGATAACAGTCTTGATATCATTGCACTGTAAACAATTCGTCTTTTCTGATATCTAAATATCACCTTTGAGTTTAATTGGGTAGATCAATCCAAACCCGAAAGATGACGATTTTCAGCGCAATTTTATCTTCGGTATAAAATACCATCCCGATCGATATATCGTATCTCTACCTAGAAAATTTTCCAGCAGAAAGGATTCGATCGTTTAAAATACCACGGACTGGTAGTCGCTTCCTAACGGTCGACGTTTTTCCTTAGTTCGGATCGATGGAAATATGATAGGAAGCCAATTCCACGTGACGTAAATCCATGTCGGTTGTCATACGAGGCTTCCGTTGCTTCCAGTTGTCCGTCGGATTAATTGCAAACCCTTTCCTGGTGGTCAAGTCTCTCGTCTTCTTGCTTTTAATTCTCGGCTAGACTTTCGTAACACGTACCCTCGTGGATCAGCCTCGGGCCATTATGACGTTCTGCCCGTCTTTTGCCACGTGTGTGCGATGGACGTGTTTCCATACGACCGATGGGACTTCATTTACCAGACGAGACGATGGAAGAAAGAGGGTGGCAATTGAGACAACAACGAGTGCCTTCGAAGGCCGGAATTTTCTTAAAGAGACTCGTTATCCGGGAAATATTGACGCGGATAACGAGCTGTACTCTAAAACGTCGCAGTTTTTCCACCCCTTTTCGCGATCTCCTCTGTTCCCACCTAGGGGAAGCTTAAGTCCATCGATTTTACCAACGAAACGTTTCTCTCCAATTAAGGGTTCCTTTACGTAAATCAGAGAAAACTAACAGATGTACCATTTTAAATGGATTTATTTGTTTAGTTCGTTCATTGGAGAAATCAATATATTAGGTCGAGTAAAAAGTCCGCGTTTCTTCACAATAATATAAAGTTTTGTTATTTTAATATCATGTACCATTTTGTTCTATGACCTTTTTCCATCTCTTTGATAACACGAATATTCCTTTTTCATAAAATTTTTGTGATTTTTCATTAAAACATTTAGATACATGTGTTTTTCCTTATTCTATGTTTTTAAACGATTTTCCATCAAGGGAATTTTGCAATGCTCGAAATAAATAAATATCAGTGAATATGGTGGGTTAGGTCATATATCCCAATCAAATTGTAGTAATGTTTCTCGTGTCATCAAAGATGTGTGCAGTCGTGCGTTGTCTTGATGGAAGATCATTCCTTTTCTGGATGAAAGTGAATACCCTTTTTCTTGTATTGCTGCTTTTAGGTGACGCAGTTATTCACAATACT